AGTCTAAGGACTACATGTAGTAAGTCAGTTAAAAAGTTAAGGTTGACCATTGCTAGATTTCACGTTTAACCCACACGCCGGAATACAAGGAACCCAAATTATTATTTCACTTCACTTCCAATATGGAACCCTTACATGTACTGTCTGTAGTTATTATTGGGAAGCTTGAGCACCGTCAAGTGGACTCTTTGCACTCTTGAGCAGTGATTTTGAACAAATTATTGGTCAAATCGTCTCTATAAGAGTCAAGAAACTTAGCAATACAAATTTGTAAGTGTTAGGGCAAATTAAAAGAGAAAAAGGCTCACTTCTGGTTGACGTGCGTGCGTTGATGTGTGTCGCTCAAAAACTTTACTGCTTAAACTCCACACCGAACTGGGGACCCTGTGGTATGCTTTCACCAGGGTCAAGTCAAGTCAAATGACTATGATATATCTTATACCTGCCAACTCTCACGCCTTAGGCGTGAGTCTCACGCCTGCGGGTTGAAAACTTTGATCTCACGCCCGCTCACGCCTGCGCACCAATTTCTCACGCCTGGTTGAAAAATGTGAGTTGTTGCCGTCTTGCTTGACACAATTTCCAAAAATATGTTAACTCAGACCCATGTAAGGAACAAAAACCATGTGTAAAATGAATAAATGACAATACCTTCCTCGCGATCTCTGATTTTGTGGATAAGCGTTTTCTCGACAACTTCGCCTTCGGCAGACTTCGGACGTCTTCGGAAGACTTCGGACTTCTTCGGGAATCTTCGGAAATGATCGTGTCGTTTTCAAAAATCCCAGCACTCCCAGGATAAAAATCTCACGCCTACATCTCAGAAAAAGTTGGCAGGTATAATATCTTCATCAAGAAGCTTGAGCAGAAATAAATAGAAACCAGAGAGTAAGCCAGTTTAAGCTGACAGTTATAGCATAACAAAGTACAGTAAACAGTAGCAAGTCTATTAAAACTTACATCGTGTTTTCACGCCAGAACTTCTTCTTCACGTGCATCGCTCTCCGATTATTGAATTCTTGCTTGTCCTTCGAAAACTCTGGCTTTTTCTTTAACTTCAATCAACCGCATAAATGGTCAAGTATTCTTAAGTGATCTTCACTCCAGAAAGGTGCGTTTTCCTTTCGAATAAACGAATGAATCAGGAGTTGAATTTCCCTCTGTTGCTCACCATTCATCGTACACGAACGCTCGAATGAGGTAGACTGGCTTCCATACGCTGATTGGAGAATCTTAATCACATGGCCTTAGCGCGCGGAAAATGAAAATGGCAGACAAGGGTGTAACGACGTGTAGCGCTGCAGTCAAATCGTGGACAAAATGTTCGGCTGGACTCGTCGTTTCTTTGTGTCAAATCGTTACTTCCTTTTGTGAACTCGTCTCGTCCACCACGAACTGCCCACACAACTGACATCGACACTGACATCAGGAAGTTGATAAGCCAGTTCTTAAGCCGCTGACCGCCGGGTTTGCATAAGCTCCTGCTCGTGTCTCAAATTCCTTATGCGCATGCTTAACTTACCACGTAGGCTTTATAGGATCACCCACAAAGTGAAAAAATTTATTATGCAACAACAACAACAACAACAAAAATAGTTACAATTTGAATAGAACCTACCCACAAATAGTTAAAAAAACAACAATAACAACAACAAAAAACTAGTCGAGGCGGGTAGGTATGATTAAGTTAGACCACGAGTGCTTAGTCTTCATTTTTTTTTTATATAGATTTAGCCAGGGCTAAAAGCGAAGCTCTCGATAATATTTATGGTTCGCTCAAACAAAATATAAAATCGTGTAATGCTAAGCGACGAAGGCGTCGAGAACGGTGAATGACGATGAAAAAAAAAAATTTTGTTAAGGTGTCCTTAAGAAATTAGCTGAGGGGAAAAGTCCCCTCTACAAATTGAGGAACCTTCTAACAATGTCTAAAATAGATAAATAAAATAAATAAATAAATAAATTACCTTATAAAGATTTTTACAGTTTACATACCTAAAACTTGAACTAAAGATTATAGTACGAAGTGCGGCATATTTTACAATTTTTACAGAAATCAGTGTCAAGAATGTTGGACAGATCGGTCTCGCGCACGAAGAGTTTAAATTGCTTTAGCGATGAGATATTTCTTGCTTCAGTTGCAAGTTTGTTCCATAGTTTAGGTCCTGTATAGCGAAGGGAGTGCTTTCACATGGTAACAGTCGAAATCGGGGGAGAATAAAGTCCGCGTTTCTTATATTGTAGGGTGAGGTACTTAGTGTGAATAAGTTATGGTTCTCCGTAGTAGAAGTTTAAACTTTACTTTGTACATGAGGATTTAAAGGTCTTGTATATGTCTGTTGTATAACGAGGGTAAGTTGTCTTTTACTAGCAGTTCTTCATATCCAGATTGTTTGTCATTGAATGTCACCCTAAGCCTTCTTTCTTGAATGCGCTCCAGTTTTCTCTTATCACATGTGCCAGGTTGAATGGCAATAGGTTAGATGAGGTAGTATGGCCGCTTTGTACAGTTGTAGCTTTGCGGCTGTTGGTACAAGGTTTTTTAGCCTCATGAGAGCCCCAATCCTTTGACTATCTTTCTTCGTTACGCTGTTAATATGGTCGCTGAAGTTCAAATTACAGTCGATGAAAAATACAGCAATAGGTCTAATTAGTAAAAAAGCAATTTTGCACGTGCAGTACACTTCTTTCGTACATTTATTTGCCGTTGTTTTGCACGACTACAACTTAAAACTTCCAGAAACTTCCTAGTTACAGGTTTTATGGAGGAAATGTCGCACGTGTTCTTGTTCAACATTTTTTTTTCACTGCCGCTCGATCATTTTCACCTTGGTGGCCGCTAGCACTTCTCATTTTCTCACCGCCACTACAAAATTTTCATGTTTTTCTTCCAACAAAAAAATTTTATCGTTTGCTTTTTTCTCTCGCGCTAGCTCTCTGTCGCTCTCTTTCTCGTTGAGCTTCGCTGGCCTGTCGCCTACTTTATCTTTATCTCTGTCTTTACACGGATACAGAAACAATTTCCGCTTTCCGTTTTCTTCTTTGTTGACTCTTTAGTCGTCTCTGCTTCACAAGACACGGGGAGACACGGATGACTATGCGATTTCCCGCCAAAATAACCTCAAGATGCATTTGGGTTGCCATACCTGTTGATTAAGTTATTTTACATTGGTTTGCCTGTGGTGCGGACGGACGGCGGGCGGGCAGGCGGGCGTACGGTCACGTGATTACCAAAATTTCTCGGATGGGTAGATGACCAAATTTTCTTAGGTATGGGGGTCCGCTATTACAACTACTTTTATACGAAGAAAAACTAAGTTTTTTCTATGAAGAAATTTATTAATCGTAATAACTTAATGTACAATAACGCTTGCCTACAAGGTGCAAAGGTGCATAGCGTACGTAACCTCAAATTACTTCATGGGCCCACTATAAATACAGCGGCTTAAGGACCTGCCTTAATAATAACTAAATAACTTACACCTGCATAGTGCTAACTTGTTTTCACTTAGCTACAAATTATCAAATACACAAAATATCATAAGAATGCTCTATCTTTACCTTAAGTTTTTTTTCAAGAAAACCCCAGTGCAGATCAGTCTGTCTGTAAATATACCTTTAGGTGCTAAATTCCAAAATATATCATTTTTACATTTGGGCAATTTTATCAGAAAACACACTGAGCAAAGTACATCCGCTGTTCCCTAACTCTACAAAATGGCTATAATAAATTTAAGTCATTGCAGCACAGTGTATTTCGTCTGTAGTAGTGTTGAATCTTTGGCTCTTACTATACATAGAAACTATACTGAATATGCGTTATGAGCTCTTTTACACGTTACTAGAAGTTGCTCAGTTTGTCAAATATGGCCGAATAATCCTGCTAAGACCTTAAGCAACCACGACAACGACGGCAGCGAAGACATCACTTAAAAATAAGAATTTGCATTCCTTCAAACAATATCGCGTTTGTTTAACCTACGTCGATTTGTAACGTGAAGGCGAATTTTCGTGAAGTTGAAATCCTCTTAAGGACTCTTTCAAATTTAAAACAGAGAGAGAGAAAAATTCGTCACCGAGTCTTCACGTCTTCCGTAAAACTTCGCATTACGGTATTAAAGTCAAGTGTTACCCTCTTTTAAGTCAAGTCTTCACTTCACTTTAGACCAGGACGTTTCACGTTGTAGTCGTGCAGTGGACGTCGCTCGAAGAGAAATTTACCAAAGAGCGTTGATGCTGTTGTTGTTTATTATTTTTGCCAGTTTTATTGTTGCTGGTTGTGTTTTCTTTTTAGCGTTCTCGTTGCCGCCGTCGTCGTGGTGGTGGTTGCTAAAGCTCCCTAATCTGAAATTTTAGAGTTTTCAGTTTGAAGTCGGTAAATGTGAATTAGCTGGATGAAACGTTTGAGATTCGAGGTAGAATCGGCGGGTAAACTTCATACACGGATCCTGAAAGAACTGTAAAAATAAAAAAACAACGCTTCGGTTACGGTAATATCACCATAAGGAAACAACGAAACAATTACCGTAGACTTGCTTGAAAGCCAAGCCCAGCGAGAAGCGGAAAAAGGAGTGAGGCTAAATAAGACGCGTGTTATATGCTCGTATAAATGGCACGGTTTGTATCTTCTTTAAGGCGCATCTCGAGTAAAATGCACCTTACTTTAAATATCATACATGTGCATGAAGCACAAAAACCATCCGAGCAGGGAGAGCAAGAAAACGAATCCGCGCGAGCTCGAACTTCTCGCGGGGAGTTCTTCTTGCGCTTGCCCTCTCAGCCGGCTCCCTTTCAAGAGAGAGCCTGTTAAGTGTTCGCATACGTTCAGGGCGGGACTTAAATTCGGGGCCTCCAGATTTAAGTCCAAAGAGCTAGCCTCTCTGGCACAATGCGTCTCTTAGTCGCACGTTTTTGTCACAGACAAAGTATGCATTTGTCTGTGGCCAGAGTGATGACTTCTTGCTAGTCAATTGAAAACCATTTCAGTTCAAAGCTAAAACTTACTTGACAAAGTCCGGAGCTTTCGATATAACGTGTTCAAATTCGGCAAACGACAGTTGGCTGTCATCGTCAAGGTCAGCCTCGTCAAAAATCTAACAAAACGGAAACACGAATTGTCATAAGTTCATTTAAAATACACAAACCACAGCTAGGTGATGAAGCACTCATAACAAAGATTAACTTAGCTGCGAGCCAGCTCTTCTGTTTGGGCAAGCGAAGCGAGCCGCAACCGCTTTGGCGTCTCCTCTCGCTTTTCATGATATCCCCCAAATGGAGAGCTTGCTCGCAGGCTAAGATTACCTTCACGAGCCACGGGCCAAAGAAAGAGCTCAGGGAATGTTGACCCCTTCCACGGCCTCTACCGTTTAGGATGGCAGGGTAGTGTATTTAAGGATAGTCTGTCCACAGACAGAGAAAACAAAATGTCTTTAAACCGGCAGATAAAAGAATTTTCCAAGGATTATGCTGCCGGTGCTGTACCCATCACAACCGGTGTCAGTTATTATCAAGGGGTGTAGCTGTATCCGCCAAATAAGTTTGTAACCAAAGAGACTGATCTCGTTCGCATACAGCACCTTTTGAACGATGGAATGAGGCTGATTGCGGCACTGAATTGTTCCACTTTGAATTTACAGCTAAAACGTACTGTTTGGGAAAGAGTAGCGACTGCTGGAGTGTTTGTGCTACCATATGCTTCTCGTGCTTGTGACTAGTCATACTTTCCAGCGACAAACGGGTCGCCCTGGGGACTAGCTTTATGACCTTTATATTAGTCAGTACTGGCCGGTTTAATAAACAAATGAAAGGGGCACTGGAGATAAGCATTTATTCAACTGGACATAAACGATTCTCATGTAAATGAGTCAATAACATATAGTACACTCTTTTTTCTTATAAGAATGTTGTTTTTCCGGTCCAGGCTGAATATTCTTATTTTTCTGCCGATTTTAGGCTGAAAATATTCTTGTATTATTCCTAAATTATAGCTCATGAATTTGTCAGAATACTTTTTTGCGGTTTAGTTTATGTCTTTTGTGCTGAATACTGTATATATGTATTACATGTACCGTTTATCATGTCATTAGGGTTGAACATTTTGCTCTAGCTAGTGCAGGTTTTTTCGTTTTGTTGGCTAGTTTCGCCGTTCACAGAAAGGAATAATTTTATACGGTTAAGTTAAAAACATAAAATTTTATTGTATTTTATATCTATCCTTTTCAAAATCTCAGCCTCGGCTTTATTCTTAAAATATTCTTAAAATTTCGCAAATTTCAGCCTCGATATTCTTATAAAATATATTCTTATATAAAAAAAGAGTGTATGTCCATAATGATGTACTTAAGAGAAGGCCCCAGTAGTGTCATGTTGCCTTGTTTTACATTAAATCAAGAAACAGTGAAACTATATATTTAAATCTGAAAAAGAATTGAAAGATGAACGTGCCGCTCCAGTTTCTCTCAAACTCAAACTGCTTACACAGCTTGGTGTTATCTGTACTACACATCGCCCTTGTTAGCCACTAAAATAGTAGCGGCATTGGTGATAGGGTGGCTTTAGCACTTTCCGACATAAAAGCAATTGCCAACTTAGGAATATTAGAATATCTTGAAAATTTGTAAAATTGCAGCGACATTTTCGCTGCTGTTAAAAAATGCCACGAGCTCCTTAGTTGTACTAAAGGAGCAACTTGATCATATTTGTCCCTAATACTATAAAACGCAACAGTACATAAATTTTCGCTCCAATGTTTTCACGAAAATTTCTCTTCATACGTGCGTATCCCTTGCGCATGGATATTAACGACAACAACAAATTCATAGAAATTAAATAGATAACTACGTACATTACTTTCCCACGCACCCGCAAATAGTTTTTGAACTAATCGAGGCGGGGGTAACTAAGGACATGTTACAAATACAAGGTTTTTCTATAGATGGACTAAACAACAACAAAGACACTACAATACAATATAACTAGAACCACTACGTGGAACTTACCGGGGCCCAGAGGGACACGGGATTGCATAGATATAGTTTACCTCTCGCACCCCTCCCCCCTCCTCTGTGGAGGCTAATACTTAGTCTGAATTAACTCATGCAGAAGAAAAGCAACAAAATGCATGAGAAAGGAGGATGTTGTTGGAAGTTTGTTCAGTGTTATTACAGCTAACGGTCTGTATTATAGTAGTGTTTTTAGTAACACTGTGATGTCAATAAGTGTGATCTGTATAAGGTTTTCATTTGTTTTTAAGTTTGAGTGAAAAAGCAAAAATCACTGACAGTTTTGGGTTGAATGGTAATGACAAAGTTTGCAAGGAAGTTTGTTACAGAATTATCACAATTTCACATTTTCTCAAGTACGTTATCATCAGGTTTATCATTGAGATTTATTAATCACATTTATCTATTTTTTGCGAAAACACTGTGAATTTGAAATGATAACAGACATAAGACATTTTTGAAATAGATCTTTGTGGTCATGGATTGTTGTCTTGCACTGTAAAAATGTCATCCAGTGTTATATATAGACATAATAAAATGCTTATTTATTGATGACTGAGTATCATTTGTTAATTCATTGCACATTGAAATGGAGGCACTTGATTGTAAGGCAGTGGTTGATACATAGTAGCATTCATCAATATGACCTATAATAATTGTAGAGGAAGTATTTCTTTCCTGAACTGGCTAAACAGTAGTATATCTGCAACTGCTTGAATGATAAGTGCATCAGCCCATGTACCTTGAATACACATATTATTCAGATATCTTAGCCGTGAATTTTCGGTACTGCTCTCAATAAATCTCTCTGGATTGTCTCTCATAAATTGAACCCCAGCAGTACGTATATGCATATGATGGTTGCTATTGTCATATAATTGATGTGATACAGATCTAAAGAAACAATCACCTACACCGCGAACATCTATTGATTGTAAACAAAGTGCACCTAATCTTGACTGCATCAAATTCTCAGAGGAAATAGGAGAGATCAACTGCATTGTTGAGCTGTGATTTTGCATAGAAGGTCTAATTATTACTTCATGATGATCAGTGTTGTATTGAGTAGTTTGAAATTCACATAATTGGTCATATGACTCACACAATTGCAAGAAAACAATGATAAATATCGACGTGCTTTACATTTTAGTTTCATTATCCTGTGATAATGCCTGCTAAAGAAAGACAACAAATAAGCTTTCTTGGGTATAGCCATTTTATTTAAGTTAATTGTCTTTGGATCGCGTTCGTTATTACATTTGTATCGTGCATGATAAAGTTTTCTCACCTTATTAACATAGCGATGGAGCTTTGAAGACTTCGGTATGTCAATCATTGAAATCTTTTTGAAGACAAATTTTGATAAGTGTTCGCTTTGATTCTCGATAAATTTCACGATGGAAGGTTCACTCAATTTCTCGATAAGTTTCACGATGGAAGGTTCACTCTTAGGAGATCGCTCGTAAATTTGTCTCTCCAAATATTCACTTTTAAATTTTCGCTCATAAACTAGTGCATCGTAAAGGTTGGGGAACGTGTCGTTCCCCAAAAAACTACAATCTTTCTCTTGACTGTCCTCCATGCCTCGTTCTTTTCAAAATGGCGGATAAGATTTCAATGAGCCAGCGATATATCTCAGTCAGCGATATATCCCTAACAATGTAACGTTGAAAAAACGGACCGTCTGCATTTTAAGACCGGTGCCAGCCTTCGGCTGGGCCCCGGTAATAAATAAACTCCAAAACCGTGATACAAGTTCAATAAAATTGTGGAACTTCAGAGTTGTCTTTCGCCAACATTTCAGCAAAGATGGTCGAATAGGGGTTTTCAAGTTGACGTTCTAGCAAGCCCTAGTCCCTTGTCAAAAGAATCTACGGAGGAAAAGCAGTAGAGGTTGAACACTGTTCGACACAAAACTCAGATGATCATACCAAATATATGACTTGTGTCAGTTCTACCTCCTCAACGACACAAAATCTTGATGTTGGTCAGCAACAATCCTTTTTTGGCTAAATAATTTGAACGGTAGATAAAAGCGTCGGTTTCCCGAACGTTCCGGTGACTACTCAGACGCAAACCTCATATTTTAAATTCACAACTGCAGGAAGCAATGCTAGTGGGATCTTTGCCGCTCAGAGACCAGTCAATTTTGTTCCGTTAGTTGATAGTTTTATGGTATTACTTTCAATCAGAACGAACTTGGTGAGAAACATATTCAAAACTTCACTGCTTTCACTCAGTGAGTACGCTAAACTTAAGAACACGTGAGCAAGTTTTACGCAAGTATCTTTTTTTTAGTACTTTCTTGACAAGCTCTCAACTTTCTTTAATTTACTCATGACATAACTCATTTACTATTAAACCTTAAGGAACTGTCTTCCTTTCTTTTACGCATTGGCGCGTAAAATTCTTCTTAATAGCATTTGTAAAGCGTTCGTGAGGTATCCGAGGCATTGAGCTGTACACAAACATAAAACATGACTATATTTTATTTGTTTTGTTTTTAGGTACGCTCATTAAAATACCACTCCATGCATGAGTGAAAAAAGAATATATTGCTTTCATCAAGAGACAAAAAATAGAGGACGCGAAAACAGACCTTTGTGCGATGCTATTGTAGCATGCTGTGTACGCCCCTCGAGTTCTCTGTCACGCTTCATGGGCCGTTGCAGTAACAAAAACTTCAAATACCAGAAAAATTGAACAGGAAAATTGAGTGGAAAAATTTGTTTAAAATAATCGAAAACCGTAGATGGCAAGAAACGGACCAAAACAAGAGAAAATGATACTCCACATAAAATTGGTCCACTTGAAAAACAGTTGCCACTAAACTGAACCTCTTACATCATGCTGCAGAAGAATCACACAATGAGTCATTTAAAAACACTTTTAAAAACCAGAAACTTCCTATTGTCCGGATAGGACGCCAACAGTTTTTCTACTTGACGGAGCACAGCTTTTATGCGAAAAAAAGAGCAGTTTACAAAGTAACTTTCAAAGCCTCTAAAAAAAGAAAGACAGAATATATCAAACATGCGAGCGACCACTGTCCTTCGGTGTAAAAACAGGCAGTATATATCATTTAAACTTCGTTACCATTTCACGGTCTAATGCCGACTGTTTATGGATTAATGAACATAAAAAGTTGAATATTTAAATCACCGGTAATTAAAACTTTCTTAAATAACTAGGAGCGGATTGTTTGTGCTTGAGCACTGTGAACATCCACTGATGTCGCAGAGCAGAAAACTCTGATGCCGGTTTAAGACACCTTGCACACAACAGAAACGGAAATGTTGGGCAGTAAGTTGGTAGTAAGTCTTACAAGGCAGAAGACGGACGACTTTGTTCCATCAGACACTCCTTTGAAGAGATGTATGACTCTCTTCGACCTGACAGCGCTAGGAATCGGTTCTTTGGTAGACGCAGGGCTGTATGTTGTCATAGGCCAAGTTGCGCATTCCGTAGCAGGTCCAGCGATCGTTCTGTCGTTTGTCATAGCCGCTGTAGCATCTCTACTGGCTGGTCTCTGTTATGCTGAGTTCGCATCGAGGGTGAACCGAGCTGGAGCAGGCTACATCTATACCTATATAGCCATTGGTGAAATCTGGGCGTTTATAACGGGCTGGTGCATGATCACGGAATTTGTTCTGTCCGCTGCATCTCTAGCATCTGCGTGCAGCCAGTACATCAACTTTTTATTCAATGGTTCGGTCTACAACTTCTTTAAGGAAGAATTCGGCGTCTGGAATGAACCAGTCTTAGCACCTTATCCCGATCTGCTGGCCTTCGGTTTGGTTTTCGTTGTAATCATCATAGTTTGCCTTGGCGTGAAAGAGTCCAAGCTAGCAGTGGATATTACCGTTTTGTGCAATCTACTAGTAGTCTTGTTCATCATTTTCGCCGGTGCATACTACTCTGATGCGAGTAACTGGTCGAGTTTAGAGAAGTTTGCACCCTACGGATGGACAGGCATACTTACAGCTGCTTCAAAATGCTTCTATTGCTTTATAGGATTCGATACTATACCCAGTGCTAGCGAAGAAGCTATTAACCCAACAGTGTCAGTCTCACTAGCGATTCTACTATCATTAGGAATAAGCTTGCTGGCCTATATAGGTGTAATAGTAGTATTGACAATGATGGTTCCATATTACGAACTCAAAGACCTCGCACCCATTGCTGAGGCTTTCGCAGTGCGGGGTTTTAAAGCTTCAAAGTACATTGTGTCAGTTGGGGCCCTGTGTTCGATGCTGAGCAGTTTATTGGCTGCTTGCTTTGCAGCGCCTCGTCTTATCTATGCCTTAGCCTATGATGGTCTTCTATTCAGCTGTTTCACCACGATCGACAAGGAAAAGAGGACGCCGTTACGTGCCGTGGTGGTTAGCGGAGCGTTAAGCGTAATCTTGGCGTTCCTGTTCGACATAAGCCAACTGGTGGAAATGGTATCCATCACGGCCATTACAACCTATACCATGGTGTCATTATCAGTGATACTCACACGCTATCGACCCTCCTTAGACTCTGTACTTAACGAAGGACAAAGCAAACAACGAACGCAATCATGGCTCAGAAAATTCTTTTCAAAGCCTACGAAAGGAGCAGGTCATAGCTATGAGAAACTTTCCCGCGAAAATGATAGCGTGACGACAACGTGTCACGCTCATCCCACTGAATACACCAGCACTATTGCGAACGTCACGGTCACGATCATGCTGCTGTCCATGTTCGCTCTTTGCGTTTCGCTGAAAACCTGGATGATAAGCAGCGACAATATGAACACCATGACATTGTTTGCAGTGTCACTGTACGCCATTGTTACCGTAGCATGTCTGGTTGTTTTAGGGCTGCAACCGCAAAATGGCGCTTCTTTTCCGTTCATGGTTCCTTGGGTACCGCTTCTTCCCGCCATCAGCATATTCATAAATATGCTACTCTTAACGCTTCTTCGCCCATTCACTTACGTGCAGTTCGCTTTTTGGGTAACAGTTGGTAAGATATCTAAACTATACATAATACATCAATCTACTATGCGATCTACTATCCCTTTGATCATTCTTATTTCTTCTTTCTCTGCTAAAGTGCATATTTAACTCAATTCAAGCCTCGACAGCTGGTACTAAGTTATTAGCTAACAATAATAATGATAAATAATTACAGTTTTTGGAACGCATTATGCATTGCCTCGATGCGTTTACAGAAATAAAAATCTATCATGGCCTAAGATTAGAATCAACAGACCAAAAAAATTCGAAATGCTATAATGCTGCAGAAATATGCTATAAGAATGCGTCCTGAAAGAGATCCTTTTAAAAGAATCTAAGGAAATCGTTGTTTTAATATTCACTGGCAGGTTTTTCCAAAGTTTGGGTGCAGTAATTTAGTATAAATCCTTGGCAAAAAATTTCTTTGATGCTTGCCGGCCGCCCAAATTTCCAGTCACACCCATAAATTTTGACATAAACACAAGGCAAGGAAAAGAAAAAGATAAATACAAACTTTGGAGACGCGTAACAATACGCTTCCAGAACAAATCAATGATGCATTAAAATGGAGATCTTGAGACGCCACCAGGTCAAGAATAGTGTTTACAATGGAAAGAAAACAATTTGAATGCTTTTATAAACCACAAGCGTCAATTTAGCCTGTCGAAGTCATATAAATAGAATCTTACGGATAATTTACCTAAGCGTAAAGGTTACTCTTATCAATCAAAACAATCAGCTCTAATGCTAATTTTTTAAAAACACTGTTTGACGAAAATAAGTGAAAGACATTTTACAATTGACCCAGTGAGGCGAAAAAAAAAATTGAGAAACAAGTTGCAGCAAAGATCTGCAGTTTGCATGCATAAAATTTCAAAAATACTTATGAACAGTTTTCATTTTAGAAGAACAATTTAAATATTAAAAAGAGGTTCCAGAAACCTCACACTGAGATGAACGAATACAGTAGCGGAGAGGAGGGGTGGCAATCCAGGAGGTGGGAGATTGGTGTAGGACTAGGAAAATTGACAAAAAACATGCAAAGGCTTGGAATAAAAAGCCATTAGGTTCAGCTCCTATCATACACCACAAAAAGTGGCCAGGCCAAAAAGTACGGGAAACCCCAACATTTTACGTCGTAAAATATTAAAAACGAAGTTTAAAACGAAGTAACTCAATACTAACTGATGAAGAGAATTTTTACTCGAAGGTCACTTTGTTGCGGGGTTTTGTCAATAGACTCGACAGCTGGAAATAACTTTCATGTTTTTATCATTAACTTTTGAAGCAATATTCAACTATAGTCTTTCTCACTGTGTTTCCAATTTTTCCTTCGTTTCCTTGCAGGAATGTTTGTTTATTTCCTCTATGGATATCACAATAGTATTGAAGGAAAGAAGCCCAAGAACATAGAACTGGAACTTGAGCCAGTCCCTGGAATACCAGTCTTTGAAACAAATGCCAACCTGCCCATGAAGCCATGATAATATAGCGCTTTATAAAATATGCTAGATTCACAGAGTTTTCGTTTGAACAATAAAATCATGCACAATTTTTACTGAGTTTATTAAACACCAATTACTGCAAAGCTTTTGTCTTCTTTTGTTTTCTTGACCAAACAATGGAATCCGCGTATAATAAGAATTGTAAATTTGAAGGTCGATTTCATGGAAAAACAGTGAGCATTAAACACGGGTAAATACGGTAATGTGATGTAAGACAACTTCTAGAAATAACAAATCCACAAATTGGTTCTTTATCTACCATTCTGGAACACAGCTACTGTACTGTTATATGAATGAAATTAGAAATGGGAAATAAAATAAACCAATACAAGTAAGCTGTGAGCATCCAATTGATAAAGTTCCATTTTATCACTACACTTTATTTCACTTCAGCTAAATATTATTAAAGAACACATAACCTTCTCTTTAACCTCAAGATGGTACTTATAAAATGCATTTTTAGACTGTTCACAGTTCCCTACTCAGGGGCGGATCCAGGAGTTTTTTTTAGGACGCGGTGCACTCGTCTCTTGCTGTACTTCAACACCAATAAACCACATAGTTTTTTTTTTTTGCAGAATACTAGTTGTATTAGAAAACCGCAGGTCATCTCAGGGGGGGTTTGCACCCCCTGCACCCTCCCCCTAGATCTGCCCCTGCTACTTTTTCATAAGATCGTCAGAAGTCCAGGATAGAGCGCTTACTGGTACGACAGCCATCTTGGTTTCAAGTGTACCAAGGGGGCAGGCATTGGGGTCTAAAGTGGTGGGGAGAGGAAGGCTTCCTTTCAAACTGTCCCCCAGCCCCTAAGTAGATTTGACACTCATCCAAGATGGCTGCCAGTAATGCAAAGCATTCAATTGCAATGATCTTAGGGAAAAATAAGGAACTGTGAACAATCTACATTGTATGCATTTATAAGCTTCAAGAATAAACTTGATAAAACAAAAATGGGTAATCCTGTATACGGTTACCTTTTGAATCAAAGCATTCACATTGTCCTCTGAAAGTCTTTGCTCTCCACACAATCTTACGATTACTCGTTTTAAATCATTTTCACAGATATAATCATCCTCATTGAAATCTATGGAACCAAAATTTTTGTTGAGCAGTGCTGTTGATGACTATATAATTATCATCTATCAGAAACAGATAGTGTTACATTAGAGAGATTAAGATTCACGTTTATGGCATACGGCAAACGTCAGTTGAGAATTTCTCAGAATAGAAAATAAGCAGCGAAAAACAGTCCAGAGCGATTCTTATGGATAAAGCTAGCATAAAATTACTTATTTTTGTGTAGAAGCAGTAACCAGTAAATGAAAAATAAGCGGAAATCTTGGTCACGTGGTAGAAATTCACGTTTGCCGTTTGGCGTAAACGTGAATCTTAATCTCTCTATTAAAAGCATTGACCCTCTCTCCTTGATAAACCGCCCAACAAAGTGCAAAAAACCCCTACCAATACCGGTATCATTCTCATCATAGGGTTGTACCCAGCCTCCTTGTGAGAGGGGGCTCCCAATCATCTCAAATCAGCTGCCAAAGAGAGTTGTAACACGTTCAAAAATAAATTCATTCAGAACTTGAAGGTAGAGGTGTACGCCCATGTCGTGTGGAAAAACAAAAATAAATTATTACTGTTGATTCTTTCTTCAGATTCTACTCAGTCTCACTCAGTCATTCTTTAGACAGAGCAACAGGTATTGTGGGCATATTCCAACAAAAATAATCATTGCCAATATTCTGGTCATGGTGAATATTCAACAAAACAAGGGAAGACTCTCACTCATACCCTAAACACTGTTATCTGCACGTATATCTTTACAAAAAGCAAAACCGTTGGCTACTGCACACAACCCTTTAACTCTTGCCTGGGTTCCTCCCTGCCATCAAGTAACACATCCACCTTCAGTAACATAAATGCAGTTATGACTATCAACATGATCAGTGGCCATTCAACATCCTCTCCGTGCCAAATAATAATAAACACTTGGAAACTTACCATAAATTCTAAATGCATATTCCACCTTTACACTCTTTGGGGCCTGAAGTAATAAAAGAGTGAGTTTGATGCAGTCCAGAATCAGTGAGTCCCAGTTCAAAACCCAGTGAGTCCTCACTACATTAAAACATGCCAGAACTATCATGAAACCAGACAATCATGTTTAATCTGTAGTCTTCTGTGAATAGCAAAGCACTTATCGCTGTAATACATTACAGTGTACTAAAATGAAATAAATTATTACAGTGTTCCCAACAAAAAATATTATAATTTCCAATTTCCTTTTAACATTAACAAGCTTTGCCGTATTATGAACCACTGTCCGCCATCTTCAAGGTTCAGCCACCTGCTTTCCATATATGGCAAACATAATGAGTAAACACTCCTACAGTATTGCAGAATTTGTGTGGAAATATTTCTGTCTATTCATTCACAAATTATTCTTAACCTATTTTATGAGCAGACAATATTACTCTTTTGTTTGGAGGTAGCAGCTTCAATACACAATTTCAAAACCCGCAAACTAGGCATTCTTCAAAAACATTCCTTAGATCGAGCAATCATAATTTGCATCCCAAAGGACGCAAGCCGTCAATTATTCTGCGTCCTTGAGAATTTTTACGTATCAGGGACGCAGGACGCAGGGGTAACAAAATCATGACTGCAGCTTCAACGAGAACTTTCCTTCTTTGTATAAAACCAAAATTCAATTGGTTTTTTAATTAGTATCGTATTTTAATAATTAATACGATACTAATGATACATTTTGTCAAACACAAAATGAATATTTTTTATCCTTGGTATAATTTTATTAACAGTAAAAAGCAATAATGACAAACCAATGTGTTTTAGGCTAAAAGAATAAAAAATCAAAGGTACATGTGTATATCCTTAGTTTCTTAAACATTTTTCTTTCAGTCATCTCAGAGTCAATTAAAGTACATGTACAACAACTATATATTAATTGAAAAAACTGACTGTTTGCAAGTTAATTGCATTTTCAGCCAAAATTGTGAAAGACAACAAACTTGACACAGTACTGCAGGTTTTTGTCAATAAAGTGAACAATGTAACATTAACCACCTATACGAGTTTATAAGCAACTCACATTTTCACTAAAAACAGACATCATATCCAAAAAGTCTTCAAAGGTGAGCTCTCCATCTTTGGATGATGAAAACACTTTGCAAATTCTGTCTTTAAAAGGATTTACCTGAAAAAGAGACATTGATGTCAGACTTCAAATACACACATGATAATTAGTAATATTCTTATCCCTGGGTTCTTTGGGCCTGAAGGATAAAAACTCCCAACCTGGACACAAGGATGCAAAATAATTCACAGCACCCCCAAAGATTGATCGATCAGTCAATCCTATAACATTAATTATTAGATAGTTTTAGGAATATCCTGTTTGCGTTAGGTTAGAACCTAGGAGTCAGTTCATGAGAGGTTGGGTTATGATTGTCCAGGTGAGTGTAGTCCTGAATGGGTCTGTTGTTGACAATGACTGACATTTTGACAACCAGAGGGGTAGTCTTCAGAGTCAAAGTGAGTTGTATCCCGTCAGTAGATGGTTTTCAACTCTCTGGTTATTGACCTGATTGGTCAAATAAGTCACCGTCTGTCAGTTTAGCAGTGATGTTATTGTCTATTATTAGTTATAATATCAGTTATCCTTTGATCTTCAATGTATGGTTGTCAGTTTTACTTGAGTCTGTCAACAAGATGTTTGTACAGACTGCTAGTAACTCTCAAGCCAATTGAGTGGCATTTGTTCTAAACAGCTTTCTTCCCCTTTTTATTAGAAAATATATCTTCAGTAACAGGGAAAAAAGGTGCTAAAAACACATTTATTTAAGAAGGCATTTCCTAGCCATTTATTTCTGGAATTTGTAAATGGGATTTTAAGGAATAATTAGTCATTGTTTTAAGAATTTCTAGATGTAGGATATGTACTAGGAATGTATTTTATTTTTTATAAACATTGATTTTTTTTATAGTAGGGTTTGTAAGTAGGATTTACGTAAGCGTAAATGAAAATTTCGTCTAGATTGATATTTGTGCCATACATATTAATAAATATTATATTATTGTTAACAAAATGATTGGATAACAAGTAAAAAGATGAAAAGGCTCTGAGTAACAAGAATGAACATCTGACTCACTTTATCATAATTTGTGCATTCAAACAAATGTACATACCCTTAGTTCTGGTAAGGTCATGATCTTCCTTGAAGGAAGTTTTGCATTCTTGTTGGCCCTCACAGCCTCAGGGTCAAGCTGCGAAAACCTTTTATGACAACTACAAAAAAATAAAAAGGTTATCACAGAATTGCTACAACAAACAGCAACACTAGATACAAGGTTTTTGACGAAATGTATCAAATGATAACAGAAAGGGGGTGCTACTCCAATGACAGTAGCTGGCAACCTGACCGTTTATAGCTCTCCTAACTACAACTCATCTTTGTATTATTTGTCACGGCATTGCCATGTCATCTGAACTTCATCACCGTTTCAGGTCACTTGTCAAATCTATCCCCTAACAGGGTCTCTCCAATGATCATTGCATTATTTTTTTATCTGACCCCCTATGGATGAGATACATGACTTCTGTTTGTGGCTTGTCCCAGGTCTAGTATTTACTGGATTTTTAAGAGGATGAAACGAATTTGTCTGTTGTGGTTGTATTTAGTATAATATTTGTATTTAAGTGAAACCCAGTTACCCTGGTACATGCTGCTACAATTTAATGATCTGTTGAATGATTGTCATGATTCTCTAAAAGTAGTTACAGTCAAAGCTCTTGCAAGCGACCACCTCAGTGGTTGCTAGAGCTGGTCGCTTACAAGAATGAGCTCTTGCAAGCGATCGCAAACAATAGAGGGTGGTTGCTTACGAGAGCTTAAAAATAATAAATACTTTATTTAAACTGCAAAAAACAGGTCAGATGAGTATAAAAAAAACAGCTGGTATAAACCTATGTCCAGTAATAAAATATTTCAAGATTAAAAAAAAAAAATAGTACACCGTACGTACTAGTAAAATAGCAGAAAGACTAATAATTACAATAAAAAAGGTGTAGAAAAAAATAAAAGGAATTAAACTACAATATACATTAATTTTATGCTGTGTTTTGTCTTGTTCTTGCAAATACTTAAATGTCTTTCTTTTAAATGATCCTAAAGATAGGCCATCAGCCCGTAATTCATTACGTAACTTGTTCCAATCCTTTGCTAAAGAAACTTGTTTTTCTTTGTCCCATGCTCATAACATGTTTATATCACATCACTTCTCATTTCTTCACTTAACATTGCTAATCCTAGCAGTAAGCAGGACGCATGCAATACATGAACCTTGTATATGGTGCAGCTCACCACGAGTCCTTTATAGCTCAATAGTTAGAGTATCTGACCAGTGTAGAGGTCATAGGTTCAGTTTCTGTCGGGGACTCAGACTTTTTCTTTGTCCTGTGCTTGTGACATGTTGATCACATCACTTCTCTTTTCTTCACTGAGCTTAAAATTCACCATCTTTCTTTTGTCAAAATAAATTAATGCTTATATTATATGAGTGTCTTCATATCCGATATAGACACGGCTAAACTTTACATCCAGTTTTTAGACCATTAGCACAGTGTGCAGTTTCTTTAAAATGTTGATTTGAATAATTAAGATTCTGAGTGGTTGATTATGAGAGCTTAAAAAAGGAAGGAAAAGCCCAGTTGGGCAATCCCAAAAGTGGTTGCCGCTGCTTAGAGGAGCAGTTGCTTACCAGACCTTTCCATCACAAAGTTTAAGTCACAGAACAAAGCGGGTTTCACAAAGCTAGGTGGTCGTAACTAGAGCTGGTCACTTACTGAGCAGATTAACAAGCAGCAATGTGTAAACATCTGTTGAAAGAAGCTTGTTCATTCTCCTACATGTTTCATGCGACTGACACTTGCATAACTGAAGATTTAGTTTGTATGCCAATCGCATGGCAATAGAAGAAATTTGAGACTACTTTTGTGTGATTATCTATTGGTCATTGACTGGCCGATGCCAATCGATATCAATTAGCAGAAATTAATCGATTGTTATCAATAATTTGATCGATTGATTTTCCGATCATCGATTTCATAGATTGTTCATGCCCGGCCGAATTTGGTGACCGTTATTTACCAGTAAAATAATGACATTGAATTCTATTAGTCTAAAGGGTGACTGCCTCTGTAATATATGCCTGTATGACTTGATTCAGCAATTCAGTTTTAGTATGATTCTTAGAGTACAAATCATGCAGTTTTAGTAGACAGTATTTTTATTAGTTGGTTACAGTATGTTTCCCAGTATCCGGATGGTACCAGTATCTGGACACTTAAAACAAAAACTCAATTTTTGAGGCGCCCTTTCCAGTTCTCGGTAAACAAAGTATTTCAAATGAAAGCTGAACATTTCAGCTTTAAGATGAAAGTTTTGGCAAGTTTAAAGCTTGTGAAACTGTCCCAGAAGACGACGTTCTGTTTAGGTGAGTAAACTTTTCATGGCTAATATTTATGCTGTTTACTGCGCATTAAAATTAGTGCTGCTCAGAAAAGGGTAGGTAACATGTGATATTTTCAAGAAAACTGTTTTATATTTAAAGTGAAGATACTTAAAGAAGTCAGGTTCTCAGAAAGTTTATTAATTCTTCTTGAAATTTGATTTGTTTGGAATAATGGAGGCCAGAAACATTCACTAAGTATTGATATCAGGTGCCCAGTACCCAGACAGTTTTTTCTTTGCTGTACAGAATCGAATTAGCTGTGTACATTATCCGGATAAGATTTATTTCATATCTATAACTATAATAATATTAAAGCTTGGGATATATGATGTAGTCGTAAAATGTAAATGTATGGAAATTTTCTTCACTCATTCAGAGTCGACTTGATTTCGTGTGCACAGCTTGTTTGCGTGACTGCATTTTCTGTATATAACTGAAAGCATTGGAGTTGAACCTGGAAATTTCATACTTTCCCCAGTTGTGACTGCTAGAATGGGGGGTTGCAACGGTCTGAAAAATGTCACAAAGGAATTAAGAGATGTGAAAAAAGGAGGAATTAGAGCTAGAAAAGCAGGCTTACTGTGGGGACTGAGCATGAAGAAATCAACACTGCAGGTAAGACTAAATAGGAGGGTGACCTTTGACCATTGGATTGAGGTCCATTCCCCAAGCTTTTTTTTTTAAATAAAAAATGAAGAAAAAAAGTCATTTGCAGATTGGCTAATTGAGCTTGCAAATGGCGGCTTTGGTATGTCCACGGATGCCTTCCTTAAATCAGTGAAAAAGTTCCTAGACAAGGGAGTAATAATAATATACCATTTAACAGCCGCTTGTGTTCTCCACCATACCCCCGTCATCTGTTATGTTTTATTTCATGATGCTAGGTTGTATGTTTGAAATCGATTGCCAGACTACTTAGCAAGTGCAAGAGAAGCTTATAAGTCGCTTGCCTGTCGAAATTCATGTACAATTACGCTGTTATTGTTTTGTCCGGATACTGGGCAATACAGGAGCTCTGCAAAAATATTAATTTCGCGATGGAAACAAAAGCAAAAAAGTTAAACTGTCTTTCGTCATATTGAGGACTAAGTAAATTTTCTCTGGGCCAAATTTCACAGCTCTTGCGACTAACAAAGGAAAGTCATTGTAGTACATGTTAAACTTAAGTGTCCGCATACTGGGCAACATACTGGTCATACTGTATATAGTTTTTTCGTAAACCGTGCTTATTGAGGATATTTCTTTTAATATTGTAGAGCTTTTATCATTTTAATGACAATAAAAACATCACGGCTCACTTATATATATCTACACGGGTGACCGTAACATACAGGTCAACTTTTCACAATTTCGGTGACCGTATAGACTGCTGTAATAAAAGCCTAAATATAAATACAGGGTCGTTATAACACAAGAGCATTGCGGTTGGTGGTTCAGTACTACTTGATTCAACAATTTAGCTAAGCCATTTTAGTTAACTATACGGTTAACAGTTAGGGCTTCACTGCTAATGGAGCAAAAATTACGGTGACGGGAAGATCAGGGGAGAAGATAAACTCACTGTAAGATTTCCTTCTGCGTGAAATACGTCAGTTCCTGCAACGAGGTAAACACTACTGTTACTACTAACCCTAACACCTTCTTCAAATATTTCAAAAAAATACAATCAAGAATAAGAAGAAATCATATCGAATAAAGCATAAAGATAGCGTCTTTACCTGATAATCTTTGAGTTCTTCTTCTGTGAACTGAGAGTGCTGTCCCCCCATGTTTGAGAAAGAAAGACACGAAAAATGGAAATGTGAACATGACGTCACAGCTGCCTCGTCCTAGAGGTTGATGTATCGTCTTTTCGTCGCCTAGCAATTATCATTCCAAAATGGCGGCAATAAGAGGTAGCACTTACTTTGACAAACTCGTCTTTTGTGAGATTATTGAAGGAAGCATTGAAGAGTAATAATGCCGACTGTAGATAATACAGGGAAACACAGCGTGGAAAGCAAGAAAGCTGGAATTAGTGATGGGATAACATTCCCAACTCAGGAAAGTCAAACTGTCAACCGCAGCGCAGCAAAAGCCAAAAAATCACTCTCAGAACGTTCGGCATTTAGCGAAAATGATCTGAAGGGAAGATTGGCTACAAGCGAGCAAGGAAATACTATAAAAGATGGAATTGTCACTCGTCATTCGGAGAGTAATATTCACCTAGCAAAGTTGGATGTTCCATTTTTTGATGACTCTAGATCAGAGGCAAGTGGTGGATCAGGTTTGGCGATTGTACCGTCCTTGGATGGAAGAAGTTTGCTTTCACAAGACAGTGGAAGAGAAATTCTTCCCAGCGTATCCACTGTTGGGGGTAAAAATGAGCACAGCTTTGACCAAGAAGAAAAAGGTAGTCATACATTACGGCTGATGTCAGTAAACAAGATTCATTGTACCTAGAACAGAAAATAATAATAACAAACTAATAGTAAAAATAATAATAATGATAATAATAATAATAATATCTACCCAGCGAGCAAGCACCCCTTCTGCCCCCTCCCAAGAAAAAATAGACTTTATGATGTGGTTGTCAGTGGTGTTCAATAATAAGGAAGGAAAAATATTATTGTTCTCTTCTAGACATAGTTCCTTCCCTTCCTGAAGGATGGCCACAGTTTAAAAGCAGATTGTGGCGCCGTAGAAGCTGTGAGCTTGTCAAGAGCTCTTCTTCATGTGTGCGAAAGGCAGTTTCTCATCTGCATCAGTTGCAGGACCTGGTTGATTTATTTTACAAGACCGAACACTTTGATGAGGATGAAAGATTAAGCAAGCAAAGATTCAGTGCAGTATCAGGTGCTGTAACACTTATAATATTGTAAATTATATTTTGCCTCATTTATAACAAAATAGCAAGATTAAAACGCTTGGATGACAGCCCATAGAATTGTTCTGACAAATGGTGCGGGTGGAATTTGAACCATGGATAAATATTACTAGTAATCCTTCATCCTTTTTTATGATCTTTCTTTTTTAGGCGAACAAAGTTTTTAAATATTCTTTTGCTGTGCAAGGCGCTATTTATTACGTAGGCATAGCAACAGTGATCTTTTCACGGAAGATAACATTTTATAATTCACATGTGGATGATATCATGTTTTCACACAAATGCTCATTTTGTATTTCATTGATGTTTATATTAATTTCTTTTTTATTTTCCTTTGATTTTGGCTTGAACCCCAAGATACTTAGCCTGCGTCGCAAACATAATTTAATGCTGGTCGGTAACGACTGCAAAGCAGCGCCCGTATACATGTTCTGGGGCCCCCAATGGACTCAATGAATTACTTGAAATACATTTTTAATCTCTTTTCATCTTGATTGGCAAATCAGCGATGGCTTTTTTAACAGGCCAGTCATGGCACTTAGTCAAATCTTGGTACACTAGTTTGAACAAGAACAAGGATAATGACTAGAGTTTAGTTTCATCTGTGGTGCAGGCTCCAAAATACGTGTATATGTGCTGGTTAAAATGTTGTAAAAAGGGTCTTTCAAGAAACACCGAGAAGAGAGTTCTTGCTAGCAAAAACACTGTGTCGAAGTTTGAAAAATCAAAATCTTTTTGAAGGAGAAATTACAAATACTAAGCAGTGTTTCATCCGATTTCCAAACACTCATTAAACATTAATTTCCTTTGTATTTTCTTAATGAATTATTAATGAGTTTGAGAAGAAAAAATCTAAACACTGATGGTGTGTTTGCCTATTGATTTAGAGGGTAAGAGTACAAGACAAGTTGAGCAGATTCTAGAAAGTCAAGGTGTTACTGAAGAGTCAAGCCAATTGTCCTCAGCTAGCAGCCATGGAAGACGAATTCGGTGGCTTCTAAGTTCTGCATCTCTTGGTAACATTGAAGAAGAAGCAGATTCAGTTAGAGTGGAGTCTTCTGCCAGTGGGGCAACATTAGAGGTTAGCATCCACATTAAATATGATAAATTTATCTTAACATTCTATTCTAACATTCAAATACACGTAATATTTACAATGCACCTTTATTGTTAAACTCCTCTATAGCTGGAGGGTTGTCTACTTTACAAGTGCACCAGAAATTTTGTAATATTGAGATTTGTCATCCAAAGAAATATCTTTTTTTGGTAAAATATCTGATGCTTATTTTAGTGATCATTCTCTTGTATTCTGCTGATTTTATGGAAGAAGGAAAAAACTAAAAACCTGTACAGGAAGTACCATGCAAAGAAAAAAAGGGACAGCAACTGCTGACAGAGTGGGAAAAGTTTAAATTTGACAAGGATTCTTGGAAGCAGGAAATTCCAGAGGGGATGAACGAAAGCCACCTAGAAACAGCCATGGAGTGATGCCTAAAATGGCTTATCTCCCTCAAAGCCGCCTACAGCACTGTGTTCCCTGCCCTTGCAAACATGAATAATAATAATAATAATAACTTTATTAATCTCCTCAAAAAGGCTTTTCAGCTTAATTTACAATGTCAAATATCTAAAACTTAGTTTTCCAAAATACCCTTAAAAAATGCTGTTTTATTTTTACTTTAAATACATCTAAATTAGTGATAGACTGAAACTCGTCTGGGAGACTATTCCACAGCTTTTGGCCTCTGAAGGTAAACGCGCGCTGACCTGCAGCCATCTTGCAGAGTGGTATATGTAGGCGGTCCCTATTCTTAGTGTTGCAGTTGTGCACTTCCGATCTGGTTTTAAACTTCTGACAAAGATATGGAGGTGCAAGTCCATTTCAACATTTGAATACCATGGTAGCACCCCTAACTGCAAGTTGTTTAATAATTGGCAGCCACTGTAACTGCTTAAGAATAGGTGTAACATGATCAAATTTCCTCGTTCCAGAAACTATCTGGGCTGCAAACTTTTGCACTGTTTGTAACATTGCTGAAGTTTGCTTGTCAATGCCAGTGTCCAATGCATGGCCAGAAAGAGGTTGCAGTGCCCTAAAACGTATCAAGACTAGGCTGAGGATCACTGCCACAAAGCGGCTTTAAATTAAGAGAAATGTCCTATTGTACCAACCCTCCACAATGATTCTTCATTAATTTGTGGTTCAATTTAACAATTCATAGTTTTGAAGACAAGGGCAATTTTGCTGTTTATGATAAAGATTGTCAAAATGTTTTAACTCCACGCTAGCATGCCAGGCATGCGATCCACTAAATATCAGACAACGGTCCCACTAAAATTTCTCATGTCAGTGAAGGGGTGCATACAAGATAGCGTGAAGAGACGATTTGGTCAATATTTAGATTTTTAAAGATACATGGTGGATTATGCGTAAGTGTGCTTTATCACGTAGCAAAATTTTCAGTCTAAAAACTCAAAATTTTTGACCATACATCACAATATATTTGTGTGCAGGAATAATTCTTGCAAAACTTTTGCTGAGAAAATTGTGAATATTGATATTGAAATTTGGGTGCACTCCTGCAGCAGACTGCCACTCTATTCTGTGGAGGACTGGTATCTAAATTAAGAGAAATTGTGTCGTGTACATGTAATTATATGGAAAAGTCCATTTGTACAGAAAATTTATGGCAGATTTTGCAAAGTTTGCTGAGCCATTTTCACGGCAATGTAAATTGATCCATTTAATCAGATCCGGGCTCCATGCTGTGTGTGATGATAAACATACATAATTATGCAAATGCTTGCCTTGGACAATCAACCAATCAAAATCACTACCCAGTTTTCGGGCAGTGATGTCACTGGACAACATGAACATCCAGTTGATTCAGACATTACTGAGGAAGTAAAATTGACTCGAAGTAATCATCTGAAATTCAGGGAAACACTGTAGTGTATTCACTTTAAAAAAATGATTTTATTATTTGCTGATGTAGGTTCGAGGCAAAAGTGCTGGAACTATTGTAAGTAAAGTTTCAACTCCCAAGACTGTAAAAGCCACTGAGGCTCTTCCAAAGGGTTATGATATCATTGAGGAGGTCATAACATTACTTGGAAGGATGGAATGTGACAGGATTGCTACCCAAGAAGCTTTGATAAAAGAGAGAGAAAGAGTGCTCTTTTTACGAAATGAGATTGACACACTAGCATACAAGAGAATGTATGATCTTCCATTGGCTGTGCAAAAAGGTAGGTCTAAAAAAGTTCCTCTTTCAAGAAGTTTCAACTCAGAAACTATGTAGTCTTGTAGTAACTAGAACCAGTACGGGCACATTTGCAATAAGCAACTATTCCTTAGTCTAAATTACAGTATATGACCATGGTAAAGAAGCAACCATTGGTTTGAAAAATGATAAGTGTTTCTCTTTATTTCAGTGACTATCATCATGTGTCACTTGTAAATTGAGTGGGTTTTTTTGTGTTTTATTATAAGAAACAATTGTGTCTTAAAATAATTCCCACTACCACTGTACAATGTTAAAGCAGATTAGTGTCAGCAATGGTACTCGATATTGAGTACTGATATAATTTTGTTACGTGTACCATCATGTGATTAGTGGATTGTACAGTGTAACAACTCTTTCACTCTGTTCATTGATTTGACAGAACATGAGGCATGTGCCATTGACATCAATGAACTCAGATGGCATTGTGCTTACCAAGGTAGAATTGAGGCCAGGATAAGTGAAAGAGTTCATCAAGCAGGTACATCACAAAGAATTTGTTGTTGTTGTTGTTGATGATGATTTTTTTTCTACTGTTATGAAATATTTTAACTTGATTTTTTCTTTAGTTGTTAGAAAAAGGCATGCAGAGCATAAATGCCCACAGCTGCATGTTAGTTCTGGTTGCCAGTCAACTTGTCTTGTCTGACAAAATATCCTTCGTGTTTTCTGTATGTTTTTCACAATTTCAACTGTTGTCTTTCCTTCATCCGTTTTTCCTTGACATTTTATTTTATACGTGTATGTTATATACATAGTACATATTCTAACTTGCATTAGCCCATTCACCCCAGGAGATTTTGCCAAAAATCACGCTTTGGACACTATCATATTATTAAGAGCTAAATCTTACCACAAAGCGGTTTACAGTTCGTACACTTCACGGCCTTCTGATCCAGATGCAAAACCTTAGGTTGCAAAGTTCGGGCATGCACAGAAAGCAAAATTTTGAGATTTTTACTTTTCTCCTCTTTTTTTGCTTTTCTTTCCTCATTTTTTTTTTCTCTTGCTGGGCATTTAGTAGGCTTCATTTTGGTGGGAAAGGTTTTTAGGAAAGCTTTTAGGATCTTAGGATTAGATGAAAGGAAAGGTATGTGGGTAGTGGAACAAAATTTTCATGGAAATTTTCAAGTCAATGTTACATGGGTTTTTGCCTTTTTCTCCAGTGTCCTTGACTTAAATGTACCCATTCTGGTATGGTTTGAAAGATCTCTTAAATCTGCAATAGTTAGTGGACAAAGTTGTCCTTGACCATTAAAACTGATGATGTCACAAGCGGTAGAAAGGAAATGGATCCCTATGGGCGGTTATGGGCAGCTCAGGGGCGAATGGGTTAAGGGCTGGCTTCAGAATTCTCCTTTCCAAAAAATGTTAAAACAATAGTTGGTTAGGGTTCAGTTCTCATTATTTTATTAGGCTGAGTTTGTTGTTCCTTTATTAGTTATTCTGGAAGTTGAACTCTGTGCGTGGGTTGTGAATATGCATACTTTGGTCAACTATATTCTTTGAAGGTTCCTGAACCAAATTACATAAACACAACTTGGTTTTTAATTCTTCGACTTTCTTCCCCGGCTCTGCAATCTTATTTTGAGTCTTGTTATTTGTCATGTATTCCTCTTTCTACAGTAAATGACTGCAGAAGCTAACTTCTGTTTGTTTGACTGCTAAACAACCTACATGTATGCTCTTTTCTCTCTTGCTCTATGTAAGTCTTCTTTTATGGCATGTTTCCTTTTTTAATTACCTCCTCATGGTAATAACTCTTGCTGTTTCCTTATTTTGATTTTTGTAGTGTAATTGGTCTCAAAATGCATATACTTTTTCATTGAGTTTCTTGTTGTTTTGGCCCAAGGAAGAGACCTTAAAGTATATTTTGTGGTTCTTCTTTATCTTTGGTTTAAATTTTATTTTCCTTTGTTTTTAGATATGGTAATGTATCATAATGAGTTTGAAACATAGGAAAATCCAACTGTAAAATTTAAACCAAGGATAAAATTGAACCACAAGATATACATTATTCCAACTTGCTTGCCTTTAACCTTGCCTTTAATCTTGATGCTTTGCGAATGTTTTTTTTCCTCATGTTATCCTACATGTATCTTTTTTTTAATCCACAGTCGCATTTTTAGTTTTTTATTGTAAGGAAAATGCTAATGAAGCCCAGTAACAAGGGGAAAGAAACACTTATCATGGTTTGGCACAAAATAAAAGTTTATTCTAAGGTTAATATTTATAATTTAGGTAAGGTTCTATGCTGTCCACATTCCATCTTAGTGACCAAATTTAATTATCGCTATAATATTGACCTCAGTGCACCACTGTTAAGCCAAATACTTAATGTTTAAATTCAATTGCCTCAAATTTGCATTGCAGAAGTAAGACATGCAAAGGTTTTGCAAGATCTCAGCAACATACAAAAGCACTGGTAGGGTTTGAACACTTTTGTTTCTCTTTAATTTCATCCAAAAGTGTACTGAGAGAAATTATTGGTAGAATTTGTGGATTTCCACACTAATTTTTGCTGAAAAAGCTGTTTCTATTGTCACCTTGTAGCATTGTTGTTAATCTTGGTGGATTTTCAGTCCTTTAGTTGAAGAGAAGCTTGAACTGGAAGGAGAAGCTATGTCAAGCATTCAGCATAAACAAGATGAAACGGATGAAGAGCTTCGCAACACTCTTGAACGACTACAGGCTACCGAAAGAAAAACAGCTGAAGCCCAAGGCAAGGCAGCACAGGAAAGATATCTTATTAAACAAGATGTTGATGTTGTAAGGAATGAGCTCAATGCTGTCAGGTATGATTACACTATAGTCTTGTATAATAATTAAATCATTTGAGTGATTTTGTTATTGTTACATGGCTGAGGCCAGGAAATGCTGACGCCATAGTGTTGGGTACTCTCTGCCCAAGTGGATATCAGTTTTTGCATGTCCCTCGTATCACTGAAACTTTTGGAGGTGGAATTAGATTCTTATTCAAAGAATCCCTTGCTGTAAATACTAATGTTTGTGAGACCTTCAAATCATTTGAGCTGATGGATATTTCCCTCAAGTTAGACTACATTGGCTCCCTGTTTCCTATGGTATAAGGTTTAAAGTGCTACTGCTGACTTACAAAGCACTTAATGATTTATCTCCTGAATACATATCTGAGCTACTTAATAAGCCTAAATATACCCGCAATCTTAGATCTCAGTCTCAACATCTGCTTAGTGTTCCTAAATCCAGAGTTGTTACCTGTGACGATAGAGCATTTTCTGTATGTGCTCCTAAGCTATGGAATGAACTGCCTCTTCGGTTGCGCATGTCGTCAAATATACAAGCATTTAAATCAGGACTGAAGATAATACTTTTTAAAATGGCCTATCTTTAGATGGGCATTTGCTTTATTATTTTGCGTACTATTATGTATTTTCTTTTGTTTTCTATTTTTTTGTAGTGTGTAAGATGTAATTAGTAATTATTTTTTAATTATATATAATTGTAGGAATTAGAATAGTAGGATGAAATTGTAAAAACCATTTTATAGTTATTAGAAGGTTAAAATTGTAAAGTGCTATGAATAATTAGTATTAATAGCGCTATATAAATGAATTATATTTATTATTATTATTATCATTATTGTATGTTGTTGTTGTTGTTTTTACATGTATATAAGACTATGATTTATGAATACTAGTTGAGGCAGATATTTTGATTGAGGGAATATCTATAAAGATAACTTTTATTCCCTCTTTTGGTTAATTAATTGTGCAAACAATTCCTGAGTTTATATTAATGGTATCTCTCCCTGAGAATTTTCATAAACCTTTGACAGGTTTTAGTTGGAAATAATATCATCAATCCTTAAAGCTTCTAATGAAGAAAAGGTTAAGCAATGCTGCAAATCTAACATTATTCAAGTGTCAATGTGACTTAAGTTAAACATGCAAACAGTAATGAAGATTCTACTGTTTTTACGTCTCCTACTTGATCGGAGATGGGACTACCATTTCAACATGGTGTTCTGATCCTGCACAAGAAAGTGTAGGGCTAAGGCAGTCCTTCTTTCTCAGTTCTTTTAAGACCCTGACATTCTAAAAAATACCAAAAAGAAAATGAATTAAGTTTAATTTGTAGTTTAGTTGTTGTCTGAGGTGATGAACATTGCAGTACACAGCTTCACGGTACAAATGTTTTTCCCCTCTTGTAACACTTCCCATAAGTACTGTCAGAAGAATTAATGAAATATTATAAATGTAAATTTTTTGGTGAAATATAATGTTTTGATTGTGTAATATATTTGGTTTTATTTAAAATAGTGATGAACTGGCACAACTTCGCATGTACTTCACATCCAACACACATACCATGAATGACATAAGAAACACACTCAGGGAAAATTCACAACAGCAAGTTATTTTGGGTCAGTGCAGACTTTCATTTTATGCTAAATAATAAAGTAAAAGCAAATTAGTGTTTTAGGTCTTTATGTATACTGTATATATTCTTATCAACTAAGTTGATAAAGTAAAAATATTATTCCCTTTGGGGGTCCTCACTGATGCAGTGCCTCAGTTTCTTAGGGTCTGTTTACATGGAGGTGGGGGACCCCAGGTAGGTGAGGTAACCTGCCTGTCCATATAATCTCTGATTTTAATTTGATCATATTAACATGATAGGTGGGGTGGGGTGGGGTAGCCCTGTCTGCCAATTTCAGGGGCACCCAACGACAATTTTCGGAAAAATATCTGTTCATTTGTTATAAAACTTCTTGCTTGCCTTATTTTTACCAAAAAGGTCACCTAGAATTTTCGGGAGCCTTTTTTCTGGCTGAAATTTTCGAACAGGTAAGTTTTGATCCCTATAATTTTCGGATCACTAGACTTTCAGCTAGGAAATCCGAACAGATGAAAAATTTATAGGGGATAAAAATATGCCCATATCCACCGTGTAAATACTAAAACAAGTTTAACAATGCCATGTTTAAGTGGTTTTGAACTATATTCTCGTTGGGTGCCCCTGCAATTTTACCATTTATCCAACATAAGCAGCTACCTCACTTACCTGGGGTCCCCACCTCCATGTAAACAGGCCCTTAGAAACTGTAACCGCTCTATTCATTGGTTGTTTTATAAGTTAAAGTAGTATCAATGATGTCATAAAAGTTGTTTGGTTGGGTTTTGCTGATAATGCATTGAAAAGTTTAGAGTGAGAACCTTATAGACAAATTACATTGATAGTTATATCTTGATTCCAATCATATTATATTCTCTGTTTTAGAGGGCAGAGAAGAAAGAATTAAAGCCTTAGAAGCAACTCAGCAAGATAAGGTACTTGTGTCATTTTTGTTTCATGGTCTCTTGTCTCAGATATCTTTTCAACAATGAATTTGTGAGACTTTTGCATGGACTCCTGTCCCTCTAATAGCGAATTATTTTTATGAATTGAACGTACACCTTGCTTTATCAATGTGGTTTAATGCTTAAGTGAAAGAAATTTAAGGTAAGCTGTGATGAGCAATAATAATGAGGATAATAATGATGATCACGGGGCGGGCGGGCGGTCGGGCGGACCCACATCTCTCCGGCTATGTTTCCCGTTAGTCAGCTGGTTGGTGATTGTATTACAGGTATTAAAACGCGTAATGATAAAGTCGCCAGAAGTTTCAAGTCCATAACAAGATTTATCTAGTTTAAAAGGTCTTTTACTTGTATGTACGGAGGGCATATGTTGTAATTTGCCTTATACATCATTAAAGACTGCAGTGCTTGACTCTTATAAATGTTTTTGGACACTAGGCATTGGGCGAGCGAGTTTGATAAATCACTAGCCCATGAGGACAAGCCACTGGTCCAAGAAAAATTGAGGTTGTTCGAAACTTAAAATTGTTAGAGGCCTGTACAAGGGGTTCAGAACTTTTATGATTCTTAATCAAGTGCAGGCAGAAATTTTCTGTTTTCTGACAAAAGGAGAGTTCGGATTTCTTAATATCTCAGCGCTCAGTGGGTTATCACGCCGATAAGCCCATAGATAGTGTGGTCTATTGCCGTTATAAAATAACTTGACGTTTTCTATGAGTTTACCGGCACAATAAACCATAGGTTTTTAACCAATCAGAACGCGCGTACTATCTTATCTTTATTTTATAAAGATATATCAACAGATGACAGACCCTCGGTGGCTCTCGCCCACCCAGTCCCAGGCCCCTATTTTATTGAGTAACATGGAAACAAGGACGTAAGTTCATTTCCAACATGGCATCCGTGCTGCGACTGGAGTCAACTGTACGATATGGATAGCAAGTCCTTTGGCTTACATTTATACTATAACTATTGATGAAGCGTTTTAGAAAAAGAACTTCTCAAGTTATAGAGTTGTAGAAGATTTATTTTTTCCGCTAAACCGTGAACTGGTCTAGGGGCTAGTTGGAGCACATTTTTACCAGCCCAGCGTGAAGTTTGACTAGTCTTGGACTAGTGGACTAGCGTTAGTGTCGAGTACTACTAGCTACTACTAGTGTTGAAAGTTTAGCTTTTCTCAAGAGTTCCTCGTAATTATGAACTTCTCGTGTCGCATTAGACGGCCCTTAACGCTCTTGCGTGTATGCGCGCCATCTTTCTACAATCTGATGCCCGACAGAATAAAATTCCACCGTATGACAGAACGTAATTTGAGGCAGTATAAAAGACATGCAAATGATGATAATGATAATGATCAATAATGGACTGACCAATCTATTGGCTTTTTCTAACAAGCGATCTTGGCCTGTGCTTATGTTGGTCATTGTATGATCTACAGTGCAGCTGAACATTAACACAGTGTACCGGCACTGTACGTAAGAGTGTTAACTGCATGTTGTACCTTGATTTTTGTGTTTCTAGGTTCAGAAACTCCGTGAGAAGATTGTGGAACAAGAGGCCGAGCATATAAAACTTGTAGAGGAAAATAACAAACTGAGAAATGAGAAACAGATAACTGTGAGTCAAATCGCTGAATTCGAGGTTCAGCAGAATTTAGTCTTGCTCTTGACAAAATGATTGAAATTCGTCAATTACTGTTTTTTATACGGTATTTCTGTGAAAAGAGCTGGCGTCAATTTTTTTCTTTTAGCAAGCAACGATGGAAAGTGAAAATGCCAAGTTAGAACATGAAATGAAGAACATTTCAAAACGACTCAAAGAATTAAACTCAAGAATCAAGCAAACCAAGTCGGAAAACACTGATATAAACAGAAAACTGGAGCAATGGTGAGAGTTCATATCATATTTGTTCTTTTTTAAATATATCGGCTGCAACACTATCAAAATTGTCCTCCCCCAAAAACGATTTTGACAGTGGCTTCTTGGGGGACGATAAATTATCAAATTTGGGCTTTTTATTCTTTATAGTCGCTTATTGTATGTTCAATTGAGCTTGAACTACCCGCTGCACCTTGTCTTCTTCTTCTTCTTCTTCTTCTTCTTCTTCTTCTTCTTCTTCTTAGCTACCGTATTTATTCGAATAAGCGCCCAACCTCGAATTAGGCAATACGATGGTTCTGCCCTTATTTGACTATTGGGCGGTAGTTTGGGATAGTTGTGGTCAGGTTAGTAAATCCTGCTTCTAGACAAGCTAAGTCGCCGTGCTGCATGTATAATTGCGGGCCGTGCGGTTTAGTCAGATGAACTCTCTACCATATTTTGCTGACCCCATTTGCAAGCGCGCCGTAATTTCCTTAAATCTATCCTTGTCTATAAGTGTATCAATGGAACAGTACCTTCTTATCTGCTGAGTGAATTTAGGTTCCACTCTCACTTCACAAGACGATGTGATCAGCTACGGCTGCCTCTGGCCAAAACCACAAAGTACCAGGGCAATTTTCGGATTAACGGTGCGCGTGCCTAGCTGTGCCTAGAATTCCCTCCACTCCAATATTAAAGCCGTTAAAGACTTCAATAAATTTAAGTCCACAGCAAAACGGTATTTCAAGTCCCAGGCAGCTATCCCCTGAAATTCTTCCATTGTCGTGTGCTTACGTACTTTTAGTGTACTACTATCTTGTCATAATTCCTTTGTATTGATTACAAAGTGGTATTTTTATTAATTAGTAGTAATTAATTAACTGTTTTTCGCAGGACTCTGTTTAAATTAGCTATGCTAAATCAGAATCTCCTGTATAAATAAATAAACTGTAAAAAATTTTAAAAATTAATTAAAAACAAGTTGAAAATCGGTTGTTTTTACAAATAAAATCGAGAAGAATTCTCGATATTTTGTGGGCGTTTTTAATTAAAACAATTATTCCACTCGCGCTTGTTGGATATGAGATGACCATAGCCAACTCGGCGCCACGCTCCTCGTTGACTATCCATCATCTCATATCCAACGCGCACTTGTGGAATAATTGTCAATTAACTAAGATATACACTGTAGTTTGATATTTAAAGAATATGATCATTTTCCTTAGAATATAGTCATTTCAAATGCAACTGATCAGGCATGCCGCAGTATACCCTTGTAGTTAACCCTTATACAGTCTATAGCGTGGTGATCTACAGTGATAATTCTCTCTTTATTCTTCTAGTGCCAAACAAAAGGTTGCTGATGAGAAGGCCATTAAGCGTTCTGAGCAAGAAATGGAGAAGATTAATGAGCAGATGGAGGTTATTGTCTTAAGTCTTATTTTTCTAAAAAATTGTTATGCTCTTATTAAGCTGTGTTGGTTTGATGGGCAGTCTATTGAGTTAAAGGGGTTTCGAAGCTGTTTGTTATAGCTCAAGTGAAGATAGGAATATACGTTATTATTCTGGCTTTGTTCTTCCAATGAATTATTTGTGAAACTTTTCAACATAATGTCTTGTGCAAAATGCAGGAAAAACGTCACTAAGATGTAAATAGGATAGTGTTTGTTCATTTTGTTGTTGTTTTTCAATTTATTAATAAGGAATCGAGTACTAGAAATGTCCTTTGCATGATCCAAACGTATGAACTGGCTGGAGAAGGTGTGATTTCTCTTTAATCTCTATCCTCTGGTTCTGGGTCCTTTGGTTACGGCTACACTGTTAAGTAAAGTGACTCGATTTTCACTTGACGGGCACCTCTATAAGATGGATACCTCGGTAAAACGGACATCACCTAGAGTTGGTGCCTTCAGCCTTTCTTCACTTCGGCCTTTATTTGACTTTAGTCTCTTCTCTATAAGACTGCGGTAAGTTGACTGCGGTATTGCGGCCGTTAACTTTCATTGGATCAGTATCGCTGCCAACATTACCAGCATTCAACGAATGACACTGATATTGAAGAGTTTGAATAAATACCAACAACACCCCAATATCGGTGGGAGTTGTTGAATAGTGGGCGAAGTGAAGAACTAACCAGCAAACGAATGAATGAATGACTGTGTGAAGATTATTCAGCTCATAAAGGATGGTGTAAGTTCATGTAACACAACATTAGTGCTCAAAACAGGTCATTTAATTCATGTTACTATTTCGAGCAGTTTTCGAGCCTGTCTTTCTTGATTATTAGGTGTCCAAGGAGGAGACGAAAAAAGTTGAAGTGCTTCATAGCAATCTTGTTGAAACCCTTGTTGTAAAGAAGGAGGAGGTAATGGGTGTTGAGGAATCTTTAAAAACAACAGCTGATGCACTCAAGAAACAGCTGAAGGACGAGGCACACGCTAGGACTGTACTACAGGTTAGAAAACTGTCATCTAGACTGGTTACGTTTGGTTAGTGAAAAATATGTCGCTTGCGGGTACATCGAGGGCGATTCCGAGCTTGCAATATTATTCCATCTTGCCCGGCTATGTAAATTATAGTATCGGAGTTAAACAGGCAGATATAAAGAAAAAAAAAGATGTAAAGAAATGAGGTCTTCGTCGCCGTTTAACTGCTGTCCCACGAGCGGATGTGGAGCAAAAAGTGCCTGATGTTTGTCAGCGTGGCCATGATCACTCATAAAATGTGATCCCCATTATTTGGAGGCAAACAGCAGGAGAAGCAGGGGTTGCACTTCCCCACTCACAACACAACGTCTACTCAGCAAATTCTTTGTTAGAATTCCGTAATATCACTATAATTATTATCAGAAGTTAAGCTGTCCGAAATGTTTAACGTTTTTTGTTGAATTAGGCAAGGATCACTTCGGATACACAAGATCTTGCAAAGAGCCATGTTGACTCTAAAAAGAAACGTGAGAAGGTACGTACTTTTCTGGTTATTTGGCAGTTTTCCTTAAAATATTGTTACGTGTCTATGCGTTTAAGTGTAACTGTTCTGTGCCAGTCGGAACTCAATTAGTAAAACGGCCGTACGAAAGCTGTTCATGATTCATGAGCAAACAGCACATGGTTTTCTAATAAATGTGGTGTGATGTGTGTAAACTAACTGCTTTTGTTACTTCTTGATATCCCTTCTGTAGGCAACCCAAAGGGCAGATGAAATAGTCAAGCTTGTAGATAATGTCCGAGATCAGGTTTGTTGAATGTTGTTCAGGTTGTTTGTTGCATGTTCGTACATACACCTTAAATACCGTATCAGTAAAATCTCCCCCACTACAGAACTTATATAAAATAGATCCTACATTTTATGCTAGTAAAAATAAACTTCCAAATTCGCAAATTGTTGATGCTAGGAGCATTTATGACGTAAAGGACTTTAAAATAAAAAAAGTGATATGATTCTCAAGCAGACGTTAAGCCTTATTTTTTTTCTTCTTCGTATTCTTCTTTACTATCGTCGCCTTTGTCATCAATTGTGCGTTATGTTTTTTTTTAATTATTATTTATTTATCATTTGTTCATTTACTCTTGGTTCTATAAAGTTGACCCTGTTCTTTGTTGTTGGTTTTTTATGTTATAATCCGTGTTTGTACTGATTTATTCTTTGCGGTATGTTAACTCTCCTAGGTTTCAAAACTTGAAAAGATTCACAACGAAAGGCAACAGGTAAAATAGACCTATTTTGAAACTTTATTTTGGTGAATGATTTATGATTTATTGACGGGCTTCGTCTGTCGGTTAATATAATTGTCTTGTCCGTTTCAGACCATTGCACAACTTGACAAGATTTTAGAGAAAGTCGCACAACAGCACGATGAAATGGCGTCGAAATTTCAGGGGGAAATAGCAGATTTAAAACCCAGAGAGGAGGAGTTGAAGGTTAGTTTTGTTTGGTTGTCTGTTTAACGTTCCACGAGGAATAATTGGCCTAATTAATGTCAATGGTATGATATTAATAGTGTTATTAAATACAATTGATTACTACTATTACTAGAAGTAACAATAATGATATTTATAGCTACCTGTGAGCATAATCAACTGGATTTTGGATCTTTGTGATTGCTATGAGAAATGAAACTTGCTAATTGATGTCTATCAGAATGGGGCTCGTCCCTACTGCGTTCCTCAAGGTACCTAATTAGTATCTTGGCGATATATTATCATGATTGAACTATCGGTCTGACCTGATCAGCCTCAACAAGACCGAGGTACTGTATATTCCTGCTGCAAACCCCACACCCGTGGAGCCAAACATCAGCATCGATGACACGCCGATGGCACCTGTCGACAGCTTCAAGTAGGCAGGATCATCTCAAACGACGGATACCTGGAGGAAGAAATTAAGTCCAGGATCAGCAAAGCAAGCCAAGCGCTAGGGAGGCTGCGCACAAAGGTGCTCAATCACCATAACATTTGCCTCTTTACGAAGCTAAAAGTCTACAGAGCTGTTATCTTGACCTTTCTCCTGCGGTATGGATGCGAGACTTGGATACTGTACCGCAGCCATGTCAGTTCACTTCCAGACTGGGTTTGCAGAGCCACCAGCGATGATCCGTAGATGATCACACAACACGCAGTCTTCTTCGGACACGAATGACAACCTTCGTAACGATCTGGTTGTCCAACAGTATGCAGGTTACGCAAAGCATACAAAGAACTTTTAGTGACAACAAATTTTCTTCCAAAAAGTATACTTTTGGAGACCCATTCTCGGACGGGATCCTACGTGGGTCGACTTTTGGGTGATCGCCTACAGAAGGTTGGACAGTAGTTCTAAATAAGTATATCCTTATGTTTCATCTTTCAAGTAGCTTCTTTTTTGTATGAATTATCGATCTGGGGAGCAGGGGTGGCGCAATAGTTAGAGCACTCGCCTTCCGCCAATGTGGCCCCGGTTCAAATTCCGGCGTTGACGCCGTAGGGGCTTGAGTTTGTTGTTGATTTTCTCCTTTTTCTCCGTGTACTTCGGTTTTTCCCTTACCTCAAAAACCAAGATTTTTAAATTCCAATTTGACCAGGAAAAATGAAGACGATAACGAAGAACCACAATATGGATGCACTACCTCTAGCTTTTTCGCTGCCACGAAAATCATACCGGATAGGGCTGTTCACAGACGACAATGGTTGTAGCGGCGCGACTTCTGTAAAGGAGCGAAAGCTGCGCCGCGTTGATCTCGAAAGTGGAGCGTCACATATCGGATAGCTGGTTTTGCGCCTTTTTTGGTGCAGTGTGAACACCTATTCGACCCATCGCGGAAGTAAATAAGTAGGAGCGAGGCCAGGAACCCACTGAGACGGAAGTAAATATTGAGGAGTGAGGACTGGAATTAAGTACACCAAACCCTCTCGGCCAACCGTGCCGGCACGATGTACGACATGTGTATGAAATATAGTACATGTATCTATCTTTAATTAATATGTTTATAGCAGCGCGTCACTGTTTGTTCCTCTTGTGTTGTTACAGAAGGAAACCATGGAACTTACAAAACGCCTGGATCATATCACGTGGAAGTCGGAGATGATGGAAAAGAAAATGGCTGACATGGAGTCCTCGACTCAAATGATGAATAAAGCTATAGCTACAACACAGGAGTGCATTAATGATCTTAAGTAAGTTCACTGTCTTTTATCAGATACCCAGATGGTGCGCAGGCAAATGAAACAAATTTGTTGCCCAACTGGTTCTGGGAGGAGGAGGAGGGGGGGGGGGTACTCAACAAATGTTTATACAGGGAGGCTCCGCCCCGAGGTCCAACCCCTTACCCTTTCATATACCATTTTTCACGAAAAAGGTAGCCCTTTTGTATTCCTTCTATTGACAAATGATACCGCTTTGACATACCCTGTTAACTGCTGTAAATGCACCGTCTTTTAAATAGGAATCCATCACAAAAATAGAACATTTTCTCGATTTTTTAAAGAAAATTTCTGCACCTTTTAACCCAAATAACAGCTGTTTTAATACAACGTCTTTTTCAATACCTGAATCCATCACAAATCCCCTATAGGCCATCATATGGAGTAACCCCCCACCCCACCGGGATTGGTTACCCACCAGTTTTTTTTATTTTTTGTTATTTTCTAGCTAGGCATTTAAAAGGGCGGGCGGGCGGGCGAAAACACGCCACGTCGGGGGGCTTCACCATTTGCTAAGGCTGGAAAAACTGGAGCATACAGGTGAAACAAGTTAATTATCCTTCACGTAAAATGTCAACTGAGTTTTTATGATGTGTTGCTTTTCAGTGACGAAATGACAGAGTTGAAAATACAGATAGAAACTGGATTCGAGACTGAGCAAGACTTAAAGAAATCTTTGCTTCAGCTTGAAGGTAATGATGTCTAGCATATACTTCCTGAACAACGTCACAGTTTGTCCGCGTTGCCTCGAGAACTGCTGCATCCGGGGACTACATTACATAAAATACATGTAGCTCAAACGTTCTGAAAAATGCTATGGGTTTAATCCATGTAGTTTCCACTCAACCACTTCTGGCTGCACTGAACCAGACATGCTGTTGGTTATTTTCCCTTTCAGAGCGAACAAGCCGTGGAAAAGAAAGTCATGAGTTGCACATGTGTGAAAGAAATACAGTGTTAACAACAAATCAAGTAAGAAAGATGAATGATATGTACCAAACACGACATCAGCTCAGTGTTTGTATTCGATATCCCTGACACACTGAGAAGTGGATCGTAAAAAAACAAGGCGTAGCCGTGATGTTTAACTGACGTCTTCGGCTTAGTTCATGCGGCACCCGACGAATTTTCCGGAAGTGACGGGTCACTTGGTTCATACGGGACCGTTCAACATTTTCGCTGTGTTCACACGGAACTTTAACCGGCTAGGCGTCTAAATTTTCGTACAGTTAAGGTGGTTCCGTATGAACGAAACAGCTTAACGCACGAATTTTCAACTGGTCGAAAATTCGTCTGGATTTCGCATGAAGCATTGCGTCGACGGGTTGATATAACTTCTCAATTAATCAACTGCCTTCCTTAAGTGCAATTTCAGATTCTAGGTTGTTAATGATATATGAAATAAATCATATATGAGCTGCGGAAATCAAATGAAAACGAAGAAGTGATCGTCGCAGTGAACACAATTTATGCAATTGCGTAAAGAAGCCTGAAAAAAAAAAAGAAAAAATATTCACGGGAACATATGAACCCACAACTGACCTGCTCCCAACATCAGTGGCTTCATAACTCAGTTGGTAGAGCATCGCACCGGTATTGCGAGGTCACGGGTTCAAACCCCGTTGAAGTCCGGAAATTTTTTCAGGCTTCTTTACGCAATTGCATAAATTGCGTTCACTGCGACGATCATATCTTCATTTTCAGATTCTAGTTTAGTAACTAAATGTTCTATTTCATTACGTTAGGCTGGAGTGACGACCGCCTTGAGTCAAAACAAAAAGTTGGCGGTAATTTATCAAAAATTACAAAACACATTTCTCAACAACAAAGCTGCCTTGCTGCGACTTGTTGAAAGAAGAGTTAACAACGAAGGAAGTTTGAAGGACCACAGGGAAGTAAGTTAAATCCTTTATTATAATATCCCTTCGTTCCAAATTTGAAATGAAGCAAACAAAAATAATTAAGGACCGGATTACTTCTCTAACCTGCATAGGCTAGCCCTAAAAACTACTCGTTCCTCTTGAGTTTTGACGTCATTTCTTTTCGAAATTGTTAACGTAATGAAAAGCACCCTGAGTGTCGCGATGATCAAAGCCAAATCAATTGCTCGACTGGCCTATCACAGCACTCCAAGGCACCAGTCATTCCTGAGCCAGGTCATGTAACATACCGCAATCACGGAAACATGCGTACCAGCAAATCATTAGCCTGCGTAGCTGGTGGGATTGTTGTGCCCGGGTTTCTTTCTTGGCACCAGAGCCGCGAGGGATTTGACTTGCTCCCAACTTTCACGCGACTTCAAAGCCAAAAAAAACTACACCACCAGCATACTAATCCCGCCAGCTACGCGGGTTTACAATATCATGATTGACCTTTGATTGGTTGAGAAAGTGCTGGAAAAGAATTGTAGCGGTACAAGACTAGGCTGGGTGGCAGGCGTTTGAAGGGAAAGGGAAAGTGGGAATAAAGCACGCTTCCGAGAACACGATAGCGACCCTTCATGTACTCACTCTCTCCTGCGAAACGACTCTAGTGGTTTTCACATGACGTCACTAAAATTCAAACTAAGAAACTATTGATTCTTCTGAGTTTCTGAGTTTCATGAGGTATTACAGCACCTAAACACCTTTATTTAAAGAGAGTTTTGGTTCGAAAGGGTTCTTCGTTTTGCGATAGAGGACGTTTGAATTTCTAGGCTTTTGCGTGACGCGGCATTTAGCTGGCGGCCACAACGGCTCTTATGTGGGTTAAAAACATTACCAATTTTGGGAGATTTTGCTGTCTAAACATTCCTTGTCTCAGAATAAATATCACTTTAATAGTTTATGAGTTTTTCAAGCGATGAATTAACGCATTAGTAGGAAAACTCAAAAACAGATGTTTCTGTTGGTTTCCGGCGGCCATATTTGTGCCCCGCAAAGGGACACAAACATGGCGTCTCCATACAAAGCTCTCTAAATTTGGGTAAAACGTTTTTCCTAATATCTCGCATATGAAATATCGCACAGACCTGATTCTTGGCGAGGCCTTTTGCTTATTTATCTTCTTTTATTTCCTAGATTCGGGACCTTCTGTATTGAATGGTTTGCAATTTTATTTTTGATTGCGTGACAGTGAAAACCGAGAATTAGGAGAGACGGCTGTTTTCGCAGGCAACGCTTTTGCTTGCCGAGTGAAAAAACTTGAGAACGGTTTAAGTAAAAAACGAAGCTTTTTATTCCCCGCGGCGTTAACGTGGCTGGTGCTTGATATCGGTCAACTACTTTTGAACTAAGAAGTAACTTCATCTCTCTCTTTCTTTCTCAATTTTTTTAGCTGTATGTCCTGCAAGGTCGCATGCGTGAAGCTCTCGAGTATTTTTATCGTCTGCGTGGCTTACAAAGCAGAGCGGACATTGCTGACTTCGAACTGAAGTGCGTCACAAATGGAGATAAGTTGGTGACTTTACAGTCTGAAATGATGAGAGTCATCGAACATATTAATCGCTTCCTAGAAGCAAACAATGCTGCTCATGATATTATCTCAATGGAGGCTGCAAAGATTGCACAAACACCGGCGACCAATGGTACTCTTGTTTCTTAAAACATGGCTTTGGGCAGTTTTCAAATCAAGAAGTCCACTTTACTGTACATAGACCTTGAGAAAAAGATACAGTGTAAACGAATTTATGACCGCAGGAGATATTAAAACATTTACAAACTGATTACACCAAGAGTACATTAGAGAGTTTTTGCTTAATAAAGTCTTTAAGGATCTTTACCAAAAAAAGTCTGATGTGCTCAGCTGTTACCGCATCTTAGCGAAGTGGTGGGGTTAACTGTTACGACCGTTACAAATCAGTGTTTCTTCCACCCTAAACGTCCAAGTGCTTACAGGAAACATTTTTCATGTTTTTGAAATTTCATAAAACTTTATTTTTGCCAGAGCTCGCTGGCTCGCAGATCTATCAAAACTCTTCTGACCCTTCCGCGGAAAGCAAAGCGCAACAGCTCAGTAAACCAGAACAAGCATGCTTTATCTAGCATAAATATTTAGGAAAAAAGGACTCACAAATTTTCAGCTCTGAGTATCAGGGTAAACGTCTTTTTAAAATACGGTATCATTTTTTTTGTTGTTGTTTGTTTTTTTCGATTTTCGCCGGCGTTACTATCACGTGGGGTGAGTATCGGGTGCAATTATCGCGTGCATGGTATTAATCATGTGACAGTCACGACTCCCAGTCTGCGCCACTGGTCGCGTACTGTCTGCATCATGGCGTTTTGGCTTGTAGTCTTCTTGTCTTCCCTTTCCACTACGTTTGGAAAGTCCGTTCCCTTGAGAGATTTGCCTCCAAGATGGCCGACTGCCTATTCGGTTTCTGGAGTTCTTCGCTTGCCTTACGCTGAAATCGTGGAACCATTTCAAGCCTGGTTTGACGCGCCAAATAAAAGGAGCAGAATAGATTACTACGGAGGTAAAATTAAATGATAGTTCTAACTTTTGAATCAACCAAATTACGGTGATATAGTGTCTATTATTAAATTAAAGGTCAGTATTTGAAGCTCAGAGCTTATACTGAAGAAGGGCATTTTTTCCCCTCCGTAATAGTGTTATAATCGTGACACCATTTTATAAAATTCTTTTATGACAAGCTTAAGAGTGGTTGTCAGAGAAAACCGGGCAAAATGTTAAAAATGTCAACGGAAGGGGGTCAACAGAATAAGTTCATACTAACATCATAGATAGGTCTGGTGGAGTAATGGACAAATATACCAAACATAGGTTCTTCACTGCTCTTGTATTAGAGATACGAGCATCACTTTATTCGACCCCCTCGGACGCCATTTTTGTAAGCAAGTTTTCACCATTTTCTGAAACTCACAGAACCCTCCAAATTTAACGAGCGAAGTTTATTTTTTTGTATGCGATACAACACATCACAGAACTACTTTCTAAAACCATAAGATTTGTTAAGTATCCACGGACAAGACTAACATTTTCTTATTTTATCTGACCTACACTCAGTGTCTGCAAAAGAGCAAAAAATCGGGCATTTTTGAATTGATCTACAGCACACAACTAAAACGACAGAACAACTCTGACAGCCAAATTGCAGTCTACTATCATCCATGTAACCAAAACACTAATAATCATTTTGGGCCATTGAAACAGGAAGAAATTAGAAAACTCACATTTGTTATAGTTTCCAAGCTTTTTCTTGTAAACAAGCCGATCCCTTCGTGTTTGTTTTAAGACCTCTTCGTGAATTTTCCTTCCCATGTCGCTGTAAAGTATGTTCAGCAGCTGAAGGACATACCAAAAAGCTCGAAATACTGCTCAAGTTACATTTTGAAAGGGCAAAAAGTGCTAAACGATAGGATGAAACTAGAAAATAACAAAGCGACGCCATCTTGAAAATTCAGCACTCAGGAGGGACTGGCACTAGTAGATGCCTTGTCCACAAGTGAATTACCAAACAAATAAAAAACAAAAACAAACAAACCGGCTTATCAGCGACCTATTACAGTCCTATTTCTTCTTCAATTACTACTTTTAGTTAAATTGTTGTCGTTTTTTTTTTCCGGCGGAGTGATGGGGTGTGGTGAACAGGTGACCAATTGACAGTACTTTATTCAGTCTTCATTTGCTCTTCATTCACTTCATTTTGAGTTATCCCATATAAGTCTTAGCGTTTCTTTGGACTCTTTATTGTATCATTTATTTTTGCGTCAGTCTTCAATCACCGTGCATGTCCGAAGGTCCACTTATCTCCTGTTCATGATTTCAGGATGCACAGTTTCATAGTCCGGAAGGCTTCGCCCGAAGGGTACCTCTTTCAGGCATCAGGTGTATCAAAGGGTAGCTAGGAAATCACAAGTTGACGTATGTGAAAGGAGAGGAAAATCTTTCATTAAGTATTTTAAAGAGCCTATTATTAAAATGCTTCGAAGAAACACGCCTTATGGCAATATCATTTACATGTTAAGGTTACTCGAAAATGACCGGAAGACCTCTTTTCTTACCGATTTATTCTCACGAAGCAGATATAAAGGGTTCAACTTTTTAATGGAAGATACAAGAAAGGGGTACCTTTCGTTAAAAATAGTATATTTAAGGGTAAGGGACTGGACCTCGAGGCGAAGCCTCTCCGAACAAAGCTTTATTGAGTAGCCTCCCACCCCTTCCCCACTCCCGCGGCCCTTCTCCCTAGAGCTTTTCACAAGTTGCTCGCCAACGTTTTGGCAACTTGTAGTATTTCGAGCAACTTTTTTCGTTTCAAGCAACTTTTTGCATAATTTCTGAGCAATTTCTCTTACTAGTTTTCTTGCAATTCTGAGATATCTGAGCAGCTTTCAGTGCTTAAATTGGCCTTGCTTTCATATTGCACAGTGTTTTAGTAGACAATTTATGAATTTCCTATGAAAAAGGAGCCAGATCCTCAACCCTTGGGGGCAGATGATGGGCGCAAGATGCAGCCAGGCTGTTAGGTCAGAGGTTTTTTGAACAAAATTCAAAATGGCGGACGTCGATTCACACTTGACTGACACGAGTGTCTGAGGTGAAGAAGGTCATTCAACAATTTTAATGGCTCATACTAGAATTTTTAGAAGATTAATATTAATATTGATGTGTAGTCTTTACTCATACATTTTTTTTAAATTGTGGTTTACGGGCTCCTGATGGCGGACAGAGTTAACTAACAACGCTAATTACGCTGCAAAATTGCACAAATGTGTGATTCGCGCGCGCTTTTTTTGCAACAGCGCCGTGGACAGGATTAACAAACGAAATGCCGTTCGAAATTACCTCCGCAGCAGATGAATAAATTCCGTTTCTGTCATCATTGCCTCCTCTGAATTTAAGGCAAGACCTTGACAATTACTCTAAATGTGAGGACTGTGAACATGATTCTGCTTGTGTTAAATCCCGTAGTGAGAGTGTTTTTGACAAATCCAGTGACGAAGAGATGTAGGAGATGTCAAAACTCGAGTTAACACTCAGACCCCTTTTAAAAATTTTTGAACTGCCAAAAACTTGCATGGATCCGCATTTTTCTTTACATGCGACTCGCGGAACCGTAAAGTTTTTGAGCTGCAAACAGTACTGCAATCTATGGAGAATTTGCACGTTCCCTCTAAACGGGTTCGTCCGGACCCGTGGCGTTAAGCCCGTGTGGACCGTGGAAAGAGCATACTGAAAAAGAAGTGAGCAGGAAAAACAATGAGGGGAAGGGATACGGAGTGAAGCCGTAGGAACTCCTGTTATGGTACTTTTTAACAAAAGCTCCTTCCGAATCCTTCCAGTAAACCAGATTCTGGTAAGCCCTTTGAATGGTTTATTTTGACAGCTCTTGTCAACAGTCTATTACCTTATGGAAATGCGAATTGATAGCGATGAGATCATCAGTTAGAAGGCTTACTTTCAAACCCGGGGGGACTCCGCATACGGTTCCGCGGAGAAGTTTTGCCTTTCAAGGGGCTCTAGTTTAATATACGTTACCTCGGCATTTGAGAAATTTAATTTCTCGGTTTCTTTTTAAGAGTAATTTAAAAGAGTTTTTCAATAGTATTCCATAATTCACAACTCTTTTCAGTCTTATAAGTCAATAATTTTTACAGATTTTGATTTTTGAATCTTAGATTTCGTAGTGTTATTTTATTTTCCTCTTTCGATTTTCTTTTTTAGTTTTTAGCTATTTATGAGATAATTACAGGACCCTTTTGATAACAGTTCTTTTTATTAGAACTGATAGGTTATCCTGTATAAATATTCGCGTTATTATTACAGTCTCAGGTGTGTATCGTTGGATTCAGTAAATTGATGCTCGTCGGAAATTTTGAATTAAACCCCTAAAGGAGACCGATCTGGGCGTGACCCAAGCTTTTTTTGATCCCTGAAAGAGACCATGTTAAAACACAGACAAATGAGAAAACTAGGATGATATGAATGGAGTAAATAAAACGAATTAAAAATATACATATCAAATATATATTTTTATCTTTTTTCGCGTGCAACCCTAAACGAGACCTTCACGGCTAAATATGATGGCGTTTTGCCCAGAACACCCTAAATGAGACCAAAATCCGAAATTTACACCCCAAAGCGAGACGACGAGCATCCCCACCCCTTTCAAATGCGGAGTCCCCCCCCCCCGGGCTTTCAAAAATTACTTCGTCCGCTGTCTAGGCCGCTTTGCGGCCTAAAATGCCCGCTCCGCACGCGGATTTTTTTATTTTAGGTGATAAAAATTATTGCAAATTTTACAGCAAGCAATATCCACTGCCCGTAGTTAGCCCGCACGCTTAGAAACTCGCGAGGTTGATATATAGCAAGCCTAGCTAGCTTCCATAAGAGCGACGTTAAGTGATTCATAAAGAGACAAAATAGATCTTTAATATTATCTACATTCGCGGGACACCTAGAGATGAGAAGGGAATGAAGCAATGCCAGTTAATCACCTATTAACCTGCGATCAGGCGTTCTTCTTGTTTTTTCCTTTGAAAGAAAAACAAGCTAAATTCAACTAAAAGAAGTAATTGAAGAAGAAATAAGACTGGCGTAGGTCGCTGATAAGCTGGTTTGTTTGTTTTTTTGTTTTTTATCTTACTGGTAGCTACAGGAGCCCATAGGCTCCTGGTAATAGTTCGTAATAGCCAACGTACGATAAAGAAACTTAATTCTTACATGAATCCGAGGCTTTCTGGTTACATTTCTGTATTAGGTTTGGTTTTCTATGTGCTCAAGTCTCTTTTGGGAATTACGAGACAATTGAGTCGTGAAAACTTTGCAATTTTTGTCCTTACGCAGCTACTAGTGCCAGTCCCTCCTGAGTGCTGAATTTTCAAGATGGCGTCGCTTTGTTATTTTCTAGTTTCATCCTATCGTTTAGCACTTTTTGCCCTTTCAAAATGTAACTTAGGCAGTATTTCGAGCTTTTTGATATGTCCTCCAGCTGCTGAACATACTTTACAGCGAAATATGAAGGAAAATTCACGAAGAGGACTTAAAACAAACACGAAGGGATCAGCCTGTTTACAAGAAAAAGCATGGAAACTATAACAAATGTGAGTTTTCAAATTTCTTCCTGTTTCAATGGCCCAAAATGATTATTAGTGTTTTGGTTACATGGATGATAGCAGACTGCAATTTGGCTGTCAGAGTTGTTCTGTCGTTTTAGTTGTGCGCTGTAGATCAATTCAAAAATGCCCGATTTTTTGCTCCTTTGCAGACACTGAGTTTAGGTCAGATAAAATAAGAAAATGTTAGTCTTGTCCGTGGATACTTAACAAATCTTATGGTTTTAGAAAGTAGTTCTGTGATGTGTTGTATCGCATACAAAAAATAAACTTCGCTCGTTAAATTTTGAGGGTTCTGTGAGTTTCAGAAAATGGTGAAAATTTGCTTATAAAAATGGCGTCCGAGGGGGTCGAATAAAGTGATGCTCGTATCTCTAATACAAGAGCAGTGAAGAACCTATGTTTGGTATATTTGTCCATTACTCCACCAGACCTATCTATGATGTTAGTATGAACTTATTCTGTTGACCCCCTTCCGTTGACATTTTTAACATTTTGCCCGGTTTTCTCTGACAACCACTCTTAATTATTTTTGTGTGCGTACTCTAAGAAAAATCATGTTCACAAACTGTCAAAACAAGTTTATCCATCAAAAATGTCTTTTTCAATCCTTCATATTAAATGGCAGGGGGCCGGGAGCTGAGGGGAGTTTTGTCGAGGCGGGGGGGTCAGAGGGGAACTGCTTACCAAAATAGAGGAAACCAAGCGTACATTGTATGTAACTATTTATTACAGTCAAACCAAGTCAAGCGTACCCCTCAAGATTCTATCAGTGAATTGATTATTTGAAAAATGAAGCCGTTAGTCGTCCCCGTAACTGCGTAATGAGCAGTGAATATTTTACGAAAACTTCTCTGTATTTAGTCAGAATGGAAATCTTTCAATGGATTAAGCTTCTTAGAAGACATTTACATCAATTTCAGGAAAATGGAGCTGGTAGAAATTTCATAACTACCTCGCGTGTGAATTCACGGCTCATCACAAATACAAGAATGCAGAGATCAATCTGAAATCTACAACTAGCAACGGATTCAACTTTTGAATAATAAATTCATTATTGGATTCTTGGGGGGTACGCTTGACCTGGTTTGACTGTAACCTTTGCAAGAAACAAACAAATGATGCTTCTGTCTTAACAGCGGTAAGCTAATTCTAAAGTGGGCCTTCAGCATATTGTAAAACAATTCCTTTAGTGGTTATTGGGTACAGAGGTGTTTTTTCAGGAATGAGAGGGAAGGGGAGAAATAAGGAAACGCTTGCCTGCAAACCCTAGATTTTGAAAAACAACTGTGTTCGTGTACGAACGCGGCTTCTGATTGGTGTGGTGTCAGTAATGTTGACTGAATAGCGATCAATGCATCAATCAAACCAGGTATGTTTTGTTGTGCATCGCAGATCTGGTCTGATAATGATGAGATCTCTAGTCGCAGATTATAAATGCCTTTTGGACTGATATTTATTTGAATCATGTTAGTGCAAAGGCTTATCAGATCTGAGCTGAAAGGAGGTTGTTTTTTCACCCCTTCAAAGAATAATTGGAGATTGAGCAGTGGAGACTAGTAAAGGCTAATTTATTGGGAATGGCAGCATGCGGATCTGACTGGAAAAATTGGACTGTTTGTTGGAGATAACATAGCCCCTTTCGGTTTGCATGCGGGCAGGCGTTTCCTCTTCTACCCCCCCCTACCTTGCATTTGTTTTGCTCTTACTCCAACTTTTGTGGAATAACTCATCTGGAAACACTTGCTATGCAGGCTGCATGAATTATTGAATGTGTACTGGATGAGGGCCGACAGCCAATTTCTCCCATTATTCTTTAAATGTCATCTCTACATGACCTGCAGTGTTTTTAACCGTAGCACCAAATTATCTCAAATTGCATTTCCGGTGTATGACATTTGCAGACTGCAGACCGCAGACTGCAGACTGCATGAGGCAGCAAGACTGTAAATTGAATGAAACCAAAAATATCGTAATAAAGGTAGCATCATCATCAACATTACCTTGTTCTAAGAAGTACATGTAAGGCCTAGAAGCGAAGTTTATATTTTTCACACAAATTAACTCCGACCTGATTCCTGAAGGAGTTGTTGGCTGATTGAATTAGAGCAGAATAATGTCTGCCAATTTCACAAACTCGCTCATGAATCCGTAGCAACAGGCTAGCAATTTAGCCTGCACCACAGAGGAAACTAAACTCTGGTTATATAAGTCTGTCTGTGAAACAGCGCTGGAATCCCTATTCTGCGGGGGGCCCACCTGTGTACTAGGATTTGAGTATGAGCAATGATTGGCCTGTTAAAAATGCCATTGTTGATTTGCCTATTTAGAAATTCAAAATGCACTTCCGGTAATTCGTGAAGTCCAAGTAGGATCTGTTCGGTTTAGATTATTTGGTGTATCCTTAAATACTACTTAGATGAAATACGTCATTAAAAAGGTGTTAAATGCCCGTGATCTATCCTAAATGTTTTTGTCGACGTAACTGTAGTGAGCATGAAGTGCTCACAATCTAAACACTTTTTTTGACAGAAGACTACTATTTAGACAGGCATTAGTGAGCATTGCTACTTGTCATTATCAATTCACAATAATCAAAGAAGAATGAAGAATCAATGGGTGAGTCAATAAAGAGTCGCGTCGGTGAAGAATAGCCAACAGCATCTTGGAAATGAGGCCAATGTAACTTTGCGCAAAAATATCAAACTTGTTCCCAGGCTACTTTCTCACTTTCACACGATGTTATATTTTTAATGGTGCACCTTTATTAGGAAGATTTTTGGTGTCTTTTAATTTACAATCTGCAATCTGTGGTCTGCAGTCTGCAGTCTGCGGTCTGCAAATGTCATACACCAGTGGTAGTGTTGGTAGAGTATTGTACCTCAATGTATGATAGTTTTTCTGTAGAAAATGTAGATAGGGGTGACAGCCTGGCTATCAGATGTCAGTAAGCTGAAAGGCTTTCTGTATTCTCTTTTGCCATTAGCCACTTAAAATGGCTTCCTATATCATCATTGCCTCTATATAAGTAAGGCAAATTTCATGGGTGAATTAAAATTAAAGCAAATGAGGAAGAAATATTGACTTTCTCTAGGGATGGACAGCACAATTCAGAGAGCTGATGAGAAGCCGTATGGTGTAAATTACAGGATATGTCCTGAAACCACAGAAACCCAAATGAATGTTCGCCGCTGTTTTGCAGTCAATGGCTCAGAGGCTGCACCCACTGCAATACAGACAGTTTTACCTGATCTAACTGATTTTGAGGTACTTAAATATTTTTCTCTTGCTGTTTTGCTTGTTTATCCACTGTACAGTATAGTAATCAACAGGCATAATGGTTCAAGTGTTTTCTAACAGGCCCTAGTAAGTGCTATGCACCAGGCCCTAGTTGTTCAATCAGTGGATAACACTATCCAGTAGTGGCCATGGATAAATCTATATCCAGTGGATAATGCAGTAGTTTCACCAGTACAGTCAGTCCCCGTTAATAGTGGAGCTCCACACACGTGTGAGCAGAGCCCCATACCCAAGAAAATTTGGTAATCTATCCATCCGGTAAATTTTGGTAATCACATGACCGTACATCCATCCACACCACAGGGCAACCAATGTGAAATGTCAAACTTTCTAGCTAGTGTGGGCTGCCTGTAATCTGTGTTAACTTGATGATAGACATCCATATTAAGGTCAATTGACAGCTGTCATGTGACCAGCGTCACATGACTGTATTGTGGGCTCAGGTGACAAGTCATTGAGGTCACATGTTTTTTTTAAGCTTTCTGCTGACTAGTTCTGAGCTTTTAATATTGATCGCAGGCTCAAGTTTACGTTTTTCAGTCATATGGTTCTCCCCTAAAGTTATATAGATTTGTGGATTTCTTTGCAATGGGTTAAAGTCCATTGCCTGAAGTAAATTTTAAATGCATAAATGGGAGCTCCACTTTTCGCTCTGGCTAAATCTATTTAGCATACATAACTAAGTGTATATAACTTTGCTTCTTATGTAACTCAAGGCCGTTGTAGGTAAAGCAATTCCTTTAACTTAAAATTCCTATTTGCTAAATGTCTGCAGTTCAGGGCCTCTTACTTTAATAGGATTGTCAAATGATGGAACTTCAGTAAGGTTGTAAGTTTGTGCCCCCGGGGGCTTGTGCTCAGAAATTGCCCTCAAATTCAAAATTATAAAACAAAGACAAACATGTACGGTAACACATAAACTTTTGCATTTGCCAAAAAACGCATACAGCAGCATACTGTGCCACTTTTTGACTGCAATCATTTGGCTCTCGTAATAGTTCACTCTTCAGTCTTTGCTTGGATTTCCTTGGTCCATATATATAGACAAATTAAAGTACTTGCATGGCTGAGATTTGGAAAGATCTACGCCTTCAAGGCGAGTTTCAGTAATAACTTGGTGCTAAGCTAGCCCAGTGGATTTTGAGATGCATATTTCCCTCCCAGTATAAGCCTAGACAATTTTGAAATGCTAATTTCCCTCTGTATGTAAGTCCCTCAAAATTAAAAAAGGGCCTTTGAAAAATATATAAGCCCTGGGTCTAATATTTTCGGAATTTTACAATAATTCTTTTGAGATCACTTCGTGTAACAATATCTTTGTCCTCAATCTCATGGAGTAGTGACTTTGTGAATATTTACCCCATTTTCTTTGTAGTTTGCTGGCTACAAGTCATGTGGAACAAGCAACTGTTCTTTGTGGATCTACAGAAAAACTGAGGGGTACAAGGAAAACACATACACCATGTACACAACACCTACAACCAATCCTGTAAAGCCTGTTCATTATGAAATGCTTGGATATGACACCCTTCTGGGCTCTCACTATGATAAATATGAAATGGACTTTGTAGATTACTCTGATGAAATGCCACCTCCTGATGTATTTGATGTCCCTGAAGGTATGGAATATTGTTATTTTTTGCTGCCAGTGCACAAATAATTGTAGAAGAAAGATGATACTTTTCCATTTTAGGTGGTGGGTTAGGGTGGCTTTAAAGAGGAAAGTGGCAACAGGGACTAATATTAACCCTATTCACTGTTCAACTTTCCATGTAAAATATCTCCATGGAATTCGATGTGCTAATCCTCCGTGGAATTCCATGGAGTATTTGTGGAGGTATTTTACATGGGTTACCATGGTGGTCAGTTTCCAGTGGATAAGGCTTTTGCAAATTCTGCTTTTTACAAACTTTGACTCATGAAAGAGCTTTTTAGATTTGCCTCAGAAACAGCAGTTAAAGTCATCAAGTTGCAAACAAAGCTGTTGATAGTTTTGTATTTTCAGTTTGTATCAATAATAGTGTTATTCAGGTAGCAAAGCTTGAAGCTTAAAAGTTTGTCTGATTTAAAGGTTAGTTAGAAGTATAGAAACCCATCTTCTTGAAGCCTGTGACTAGGTTGACGTCAGTGATCTCATGTCTCTATAAGGCATTCACTGACACTTTCCAACAGTTGACTTGCCATACTGGCAAAAAGCAATTTACGATGCCTTCATGCTTTTTGAAGTTTGAGAGAGTCACTGTTCTGCCATTCTGTTACTTGTGTGTATTTTTGCTTTATACATACCCCTCGCCAGCTCAGCTGAGGTGGCAGGGTGATGAATTCAGTTTTGAAGTACTGTCATAACCTTAATATTATTATTCATTCAAAAGATTTCTCCATTTCTGATTGGCTAAAAGCACACGCATAATTCATCATAAAGAGCTACTGTTGACCAAATTTGGAAAGAAGTTTGTTGTATTGAACCGGTGATGTCTAAAGTGCAGCCAAAAATGTAGATTATTGAACCGTTAACCCAGAAAACCTGGGACAAGGTTAAGTTGTTTTGGTAGTGAGAACAAAATGGCTGAACAGTCAGCCAAACATTTTACTCATTTCATGGTGAAGTGCTGTCTAAAATCATAGCAAGAACAGCAAGAAGACACCTTGACGAACATCTGCTATTCGGAGTATATTTGCAGACCTGAACAGACCTTAATTTATCTCCTAAAGTTGCCAATAAAGATGCGCTATCCACATGAACTTAACATCGACCAAGGTAGGCACATTTAAGCTTGTTTTTAAACTTGGAATTATTTTGAATGAATAATAAAACAATTATTGAATTTGGCTTTCGTAGGATATGAAGAATTCTGCAGATCTTGGCGGGTGTTATCCACCTTGCAGAATTCTTCATATCCTACTCAGGCTCATTCAATAATTGCTAAATATTTCTCAGTCAATAACTTAAAGATTATACCCTTATTTATTTATTTATTTATTTATTTATTTTATTTATTTTATTTTAGGAATGACATGCACAGGTTTCCCTGGTCCTGGATCTATGTCAAGCCTGTTAGCTAATCCCATGCAAGAATTCATTGAGCCCAATGGCCAGGAGAGAGTCCATGAAATGTTTGAACACTTCCTGCTTAAGTTTCCCAAAAGATATGCCAACACAGTGGATAGGAAAGAGCACAACCAGCGCAGAGACATCTTCAGGCAAAACTTGAGGTAACTAAAAATTAACAGAATGCTGTTAAAAAAGCGTTAAGTCTTGCTTGCTTGGAGACTAGATAAGAACTGAGGAGGCGATTAATTCTACAGTTAACAGGATTTCCTTGATGAAAGTTTTTCACTTCCTATTTGTCTGAACAAGGATAGATTTGACTCCTCAGTTGGCAATAAATTAAGTCTGTATAATGACGTGAAAAACGAAGTCATATTTGAACCTTATCTTGATTTAAAAAATAACGTTAAGACAAGAGTGGCAGAAACCAAAATGCGAATTTCTTGCCACTTGCTACCTATTGAATCTGGGCGCTACAAGAAGATACCCACAGTTTAGAGGCTTTGCCCCCTTTGTAATAGATCCGAAACTGGTGATGAATTCCATTGGTGATGAAATGTACCCACTCATCTCTTTCTCGTATAAGGGGCATCTTCTTGGAGAGCCTCGATAAACAGTAATTTTACGAATATGTCTTGCAAGGTACCATTTTTATATATCATGTCTATGTGCGATGGAAACATCATAAATCTCAGTGCCTCTTATATTGAAAATATTCTAAATTGTTATGCATCCGAACTCTAATTAAACTTTCTTACCATACGAGTAGCGTAGAAGCCGTACATAGCCAAGTAATTTTTTCTTTTATGATAATATTCAATTGTTCCTGTCTTTCTTACTTAACTTTTATTTTACTTTTTTCATTTGTTATTGTTTTGGTGCTGAAATCTTCATGTCGAAGATAAAGTCAATAAAGTTGTTGTTGTAGTATTCTTCACAATATTTACTTTTCATATTGGATTCAACGATTATTGAGAATGCGTGTATAAATACATGAAAATCAATTCAAGAAAAATAGCGTCATTGCCAGAGACAAAAAACGTGATGAGCATCGCGCCTCCAGGGCTGTCATTAAGTTTTTCAGCAGCCATAGCAACTGAAGATTTAAGTGTAACATCTCACAAAAATTTTTAGTGCCACCTTTAGCTTTCCACTTTGATCACTCTTAACATCAAGTGAGCTCAGCCATGACAGGTGTTACGGGTTACGGCCCTTAATGACACCTCTGGCATCATTTCAATAATTGGCGAAAATGAACCGCACGCTCATCACATTAAGATGCATTTGCATACAATGAAAGTTCAACATCTTTCTCATCAATCTTTTGTAAGCTTTGCATGCCACTGTGACATGTTGGGATTCTTATCCCCAGTTTCCACGGTCTTCACAGTAACACCTGGGACCACAAACCCCTTTTGGCATGCACACACGAAAAAAAAAAAAAAGAAAAGAAACATTTGTCTCACAAGGCCAATAAACCCAGCAAAAATTGTGGGCTAGAATGATGTTACTATTTTACCAGTAATTCATTTGTAAAAAAAATTCCAAATGCCGAACTTTAGAATAGAGTTTAACACCTTATGTCAAATTATTGTGACTAGTTTGGTTGGCCTGGTATAAGTTTGTGTCATCTTCAGGCAGTTTTTTCAGAAGGAAACTCAGGTAAGTAATTTTTGGTGCAGAGCGGTAACCATGGTTTTTTTTCCTTCCAGGTTCATTAACTCTCACAATCGAAAGCATGTTAGTTTCCAAGTTGGTGTCAATCATTTAGCAGACAGGTCACCTGAGGAGCTTGCAGTGCTAAGGGGACGTACACATACCAGTGCTTATAATGGTGGACTTCCTTTCAATCCAGACCTGTCAACGTTAAAAGATGTTCCAGACAGTATGGATTGGCGACTTTATGGTAATAAAATGTCAAGCCAGTACTGCACAGACATCCCATATTTAAACCTAAAGCAAAGTAAATAGGTGACATTTACATGCGTGTTGAAACCCGAGTTCTACACATCCAAACATAAACTGATTCAATAAAAAATAGGGAAGCTGAGTAATAAGCCCCGCCCTATAGTTCTACCTCTGGCTAACACTAGCTACCATGTCAGGATTTATGATGTTCAAGCACTAAAGCTGTCCTTAAAAATTCCAAAAAATGCTCACAATATTAATTTTTATCACAGTTGGGTTGTTTTTTATTCAAGTCAAAAGGATTTTGTTATGACAAGTAGTAATGTTTAATTTGTTTGGTTGACTGTTCAGGCGCAGTGACACCTGTAAAGGACCAAGCTGTTTGTGGTTCATGTTGGAGTTTCGGTGCAACAGGAGCAATTGAAGGTGCTCTGTTTCTTAAGGTGTGTGATTTGTAGCAATAGTCAGTAAAAATAATGACTAATCATCCTAAGTGATAAAAAATGCAAATTGCACAGTATTACTAACATGAACGTTCTTACAGCGGAGTAAGTCTCGCTTGCTTGGAGATTAGATCGAGAAATGAGGAGAAGATTAATTCTACACGAAACGGGATTTACTCGCTAAAGGTTTTTAACTTCCTACTTTATCGACGGTCGAGTATTCTTCAGGATATTTACTTTTTATCTGTTTCTGAATTGATAGCGACGACCGGAAATACGTCCGCGGTCTCAGGCTGTACACGTGTATAAATACACGAAAATTCAAGGGCCTCGATGCCAGAGAAAGTACATCATTGCCAGATTTCAAAAAAGTGATTTATATGGCACGTCATTTCTCACACCGAGAACTAGGTGACTGATTGCATGACTAAAACAGTTTTATATGTCATAGTTAGAGCATTTTTAAGCCAATAATAAGTATATGTATATAGTATATACGATATATTATCGTAGCTATGTCTTAATTTAATTTTATTCCTATTTTCCCATTTATTATTAACAATTAGATTTGTAAATTAGTATTTTTCTCCTTCTTCTTTCTTTGTTCCATTTTGTAAATTAAATCGGAAGAGCCACGTAGTGGAGATTTAATAAAGATACTGTACTGTACTGTACTATTTCAATCATCGCCGAAAATAAACTGCATGCTCATCACAAGACCCTGTTTGCATACAGTGAAAGTTTACAAAACCCGACTATGCCAGTTTTGCCAATTAAGATTCCTATTTTTTTTTCGACCGCGGTAGTGCTCACTTGTTCCAAAGTAATCAACGCTTTCAAGCGGTAGAATTTGTGGACCGACCAGTTCTGGAAAAACTCTAAATTTAATCTTTCGTGAGCTTTCTTCGCAAAACTTGCGTGGCTTCGGTCACGCAACGATTCCTATTCCCCGTTTCCTTGGTCTCCGCCCCGGGGTCTCCGCTAGGAACGCCTGGGACCCCAACCCCCCTAGCCTATGAACAGGCTCTCTGTTTGGGGGAAAAAATAGCGGGGAAAGGGAAGGGAAAGGGGGAGCTCGACCAAAGGCCTGTTCACAGACTACAACCGCCCTTTTGTGTCCTAAATACGAAGAAGAATTGTGAGTCTCGCTCCTTACGCTACTAAAAAGCGAGACTAATTAAAGGTGGAGAAGGGTTGGAATATTTACAAGGGAGTCAGTCTTTGAAATTAAGAACACCTGGGTGTAGATCTTGGGCTTCATGTTAATTTGTTAAATACCTCTGTAGTTTTGAACTGTCCACTTCATTCGGTTATTGGTTTGTCCGTCCATCCGTTTGGTACCGCAGCACTAACTGCAAGGTTGATTCAAATCCCATCCAAGCAAAGGGTGTTTTCCACTTTCTTACCATTAGTGGTTAGAATGTATTTTGTAAGTGCACCTCTCTTTCCTCGTGATTGTTTTATTTTCACAGACAAAGAAGCTTGTCAGACTTTCTCAACAAAATTTGATCGATTGCTCGTGGGGTTTTGGCAACAATGGATGCGATGGTGGAGAGGAGTTTCGTTCGTATCAGTGGGTAATGAAACATGGCGGAATATCTACGGAGGCAAGCTACGGACAGTACTTGGCTCAGGTAACTGATAACTGTGGAATTTCTGTTTGGTAACCTGAAGCGCTCAGCATGCTGCTAACTTTTCTAGACAAGCCTGCAAGATGGAGACAATTCTCGATCCAGCTAGAGTTAAAAGGGTTTTTTGGAAACCGCCTTTGTACAGTTAAATTGTTATCCTTTAATAATGAACGATGCTGAGTGTGTGTGAGCCAAATAATATGTGCAGCATTTATGTGCCTGCAAGTACCGAAACCTAAAACGACTCGTTATGGCAAGAACTCAGTAAAGTACTTGGCGGCTATTACTTGGAACAAGATTTCTGATACCTTAAGATTCCTGAGTACATTGTCAGCTTTTAAAAAAGCAGTCCGACAGAAAAAGTTCAAGCTAATTCTATATAATATCTATGTTCTATTAAGTAATTGGACTTTTTATTGTGAATAGCTATGTCACGTAATTTTAGGCTTAATACTGTAAATAAGTTTTTGGATTTCCCTTTCTTTCTCTATTATTTTATTATTTTTTTTCTCGGCTTATTAGCATATTTTTGCTAGAGGTCTAACCAACCTCATCAAACCCGAGATTAAATAAAGCTTCGTTCATTCATTCATTCTTCAACTGTAGTCTTATTTCTTGGTGTCTAGGATGGTCTGTGTCATAAGGGCGACATTGGCGCCCAGTTATCAGGGTATGTGAACGTTACATCTGGAGACCTTAACGCACTCAAGGTGGCTATTGCTCAGACTGGTCCAGTAGCTGTGGGAATTGATGCCTCACACAGGTCCTTTACTTTCTATTCCTTTGGAGTATACTATGAGCCTCAGTGTGGTACGTGAAAAAACACACTAACAACGAAAGTTAGAAATATCGTAGCAACCTAAGCTTGAAGCGTAACGTAACTTCGTTTTTAATAACTCAGTCGCTTTTTCGTGTTGCGAAGATCCTCATAGCGGAGCTCTCTCGCGCCCAGCGGAGCACCATAGTCAGGTGACCGTACGTCCGGCCGCGCGTCCGGCCGCAGGTATACAGATGTAAAATAACTCAATCAACAGGTATGGCAACCCAAATGCAACTCGTGGTTTTTTGGAGGGAAATCACATGGCCACCCTCGTCTTGTGAAGCAGAGACAATAGAGAGGAGAAGTCGTTACGTCACGTTGCCATGGTAGCAAAATTTCTGGATGACAACAAACCAAAACGTCACCTAAAAAGTGGATTCGCACTGTTTCAAACTTTATCGATCCTATTTAATTTCATTTAATTTGTTAAATGTTGGCGACTTTTTCTGGGTTAAATCCGAAAGGACCGTATCTAAGTTTAAGATTTTTGTGTAGTGTTCACCTACTCCATAAAGCGGGCGCGTGAAATTTGAAAGTTTCGTATCGCAGTCGTGGAACAACGGCTAAGAATTGTACAAAAAAGCGTGATGCACGTGCAAAGTTCTTTTTTTTTTTGCCAATCTGAACCTATTGTTTTTTTTTCTGTTCGCCGTCTCCGTTGCAAAACTCCCTAATTTTGTGTTGCAGAAATTTTGTTACCACGGTAACGTGACGTCACACTTCTCTCTATTAAAGAGTCAATAAAAACAAAACGGAAAGCGGAAATTGTTTCCATATCCGTGGTGTCTGAAGTATTAAAGGTGATGTTACACGGGACGATTCGCAACGACGATTTTTAGCGCAACACAACGTTGTAATGTTGGAACAATGTTGTAACTATTCGAAAAAATGTTGCAACGCTGTGTTGCGCTAAAAATCGTCGTTGCGAATCGTTTCGTGTAACATCACTTTTATGTTAATTGTCATGATCACGAATTTGGAATGTAGAGAAAGGGAATGACAGAGAAAACGAGAAAGTAGGCGACAGGCTAGCGAAGCTCAACGAGAAAAAGAGCGACAGAGAGCTACAACGAGAGAGAAAAACAAAGGAGACGAATATCTTTGGAAGAAAAACAGAGAAATTATATAGCGGTGAAAAAAAAAAAGGCGAACAGGAACACAAGCAGCAAATGTTTTTTGTGAGCACATGCGACATTTTCTCCATAAAATGTTTAACTCGGAAGTTTCACATTGCAACAACAACGGCAAAGAAATGTGAAAAAGAAAGTGTGCAGCACGTGCAAAGTTGTTGTTTTTTTCTTGATAATTAGACCTTTTTGATTTCTTTTTTTTTTTTTTATGCCGTTCTCGTTTCCGTAGCCGTTTAGCATCACACGATTGTATTGCCGGCATCATCTATTACGCGGCAGCCTAATAGAGCCGTGCGCGATTGTTCCAGGGACAGAAAAAATCTCGAATCGATGTAACGTAGAGTAATGTAAGGCAACCATAACCATTTTGAAGTTTGACCACTAAATTTTACGCAAAATGACTTGTGCGCAACTTCGGACAAAAACACGAACTTCAATATCTCGAAAAATTTGCTGTGTAAGGTTGGGATTTCAAATTCTTTATGCAGTAGAACAGTTTAGTTCACTATTTTCAAAAGACAAATACACCAAACCTATGATTCGCCTTCCCCGCGCATGTCGTGGGAGATCTGCCGTGCAGATCCCAGCTAACAGCTGGCACTTAAAGGACTTGCCTCGGCGAAAAGGGTCTTTTATACCCTAACCCTAACCCTGGGGGCGTCTGAAAAACAAAAAAAAAACACAGGTTTTCCCCGGTCACTGACCGACGGTTATGTCATGCTGATGCGAAACAGCTATCCATGGCTGCCACTGCCCGCGTGATATGGCTGTGCGCGTGCGTGAGGTAATTGACCTCCAGAAAATACCATAACATACCATAATACTCTTTCCTTGTCATCCCAAAATTTTGCATAAGCATTGTTTTCAGTTTCTCTTGGGGCCTTTTCAACTCCCATGCAAAATTTTGGGCTGTCAAACAAAGATTACTATGGTATGTTATGGTATTTGGTATTTTCTGGAGTGGTCAATGGCTGTGGGTTGGTGTATGTGTGCACCTTGCTTTAATTTACTGGTAACTCGTGATCCACCTTCCCCGCGCATGTCGTGGTAGAACTGCTGTGCGGTTCCCAGCCAACAGCTCCGACATGTGTCGTGTGGAGCTGGCGCTTCATAGACTGCTTTGCACTCACGTCGGCAATAGGGTGTTTTTGAGACGCGGGTTTTCCCCATTCATTAATCCAACGGCTTTGCCACGCTGGTGGGCCCCAATAAGGGCGAAACAGCTGTCTACGACTGCCTCCCCCTGCGTGATATGGCTGTGCGCATGCGTGAGGTACTGGCCCGGCCTGGTGTATGTGTCCCCCTCTTTTACGTTTGCACTATTTTCAATGCAATCGAATTAAGTTCAATGAATTACTGTATTTCATGACATTTCTAAACAAATTCAACAGCGCGCGAGTATAGGTAAAATCTTTGCTCGTTGACACTTAGCGATAGCTATAACTAGTATAAGTATATTAACAAGAGCTTCGCTTTTAGCCCTAATACATTACGTTTAAAACTATTTACATTCCTTGAGTCTTTGATCGTCTGACTGAGGGAGTTAAAATCGGAAACGGCATGATATTGTGTTCTTTGCTTCCCCCAATTTCTTTTGACACGTGGTAATCTAAAATTGCCTTTGTTACGTGTATTATGCCGATGAAGTACGTCTTGTCTAATCAAGTCCATATCGTGATTAATCAGGCCATTGATGCATTTGTATACGTGTACACACCTTCTTTAAAATCGCCTTTTCTCTAGAGGCAGCCACTTGAGAACGGCTAATGCCTCAGTGGAGGATGAGTACAATGGTCTATTTAAAATAACTTTAGCGGCCTTATTTTGCAAAACTTGCAAACTAGACATAAGGGTAATATTATGTTTATCGCCCCATACTAGATCAGCATATTCAAAAAGGGGTAAAACAAGACTTTTATAGAAAAGTAGATGCGCCTTGAAAGGCAATAAATGCTTTATACGCTTGAGAAGCCCAAGCCTCTGATTGATTTTCCCAGTTAGGTGTTCAATATGATCAGTCCATGTGAAATCCGAAGATACATGAATACCGAGGTATTTAAAGCTGCGAACATTACTTATACTATGATCTAAAATTGAAACAGCCCTGGCTAAATCTATATTATTATATGTTAAAATGAAAATTATCTCGTCGTGGTCTCTGAGATAGTAACTAAACTCCCTCCCATAATTTTAAGGGACAAAGTAATGTCACTGACCGCTTAAAAAGTGACTCTTCAGTTTTCAATTCGCCTCTTTCTTTCCGTGTAGGAAATAAGCCTGATGATCTAGATCATGCGGTACTGGCTGTTGGTTATGGAACAATGAAGGGACAGGCGTACTGGCTAATCAAGAATTCCTGGTCCACCCACTGGGGAAATGATGGCTATGTCCTCATGTCACAGAAAGATAACAACTGTGGGGTTGCTACTGACGCAACCTTTGTTCACCTACAATAGCTCTCGAAGCTCTTACCAACCTACTTATTTTGACGTCCTTCAACACTTAACGATTAGAAAAGGGAAGGGATAAAACTAAGTTTCCACTTACTTGCGAAGCAAAATATAGATTTTTATATTCGAACAGATAAAAGGCACTGTGGTGCTTCGTCGGCACAGCAATGATGTATAGTTAATATAAACTGAGGTGACCACCGTAAAAAAAATCAAAATTTTAATTCAAAAACCTAACTTCATTTAGCCGTTGTAACTGTATGTAGAAGCGATGCTTTGAATAAAAGTGATTTATGAAAAAGCTGTAATGACATTGTGTAAAACAAGTGGACACTGTTATTTAGTATTTGTTTATTGCATTGCTTATGATGTAGTTTGCGTCGCTTGTAACAAGTTCTACCAAGTTAGATGGTTTAACATTTGTTTAATGGTGAATCAGTGTCACCATTATTGATTCGATGATTGATTGATGGAGGGATGGATGGATGGATCCCGTTCCTCGGTCTTTCTTTGCTCCGAAACCAAAAACCAAAGGAAACGCTTGCTAAGAAGGCCAATGGATTGATTGATTGATTGATTGTTCTATCGCTCTCTAAAATTGATGCCACAATGAGTTCTCACAACAAGAATCCCCTTCGGCTGTGCCTTCAAATGGAGCTCTATTTTGGGTTATCTCCCCCACCCTACCCGTGACATTTCAGCGTTAAATCGTTAAACAGATGGGGATTAAAACAATGGGAGAACCACACTTGGTTTAACATTCTTTCGTTTAATTATCAGCACTATGAATGCTTACTCAGAGTGCTCAAGCAAGCCGCGCTTCACTAAAAATTCTGCTCTCGTCGATCTTATTTAGTTTTTGTTCTTTACTGAGTGATATTTGCCTCACTATCTTTCTGAATTGGGCTTCTTAATTATGTATGGATGCAGTGATTTATTTCCATGCTTTCTTGGTAGTCCAAGTCTAAATGGCCGATTACATGAAGTGTGTGACGATGGTCTGATCCGGGTTGGCTCTGCTTTGTCAGCATTGGCGTATTCACCTCTGGTGTGGGATAAGTAACTCCCTTGGTGAAAAAATGAAATATGTCAGTGGTGGAATTAGGAGTATTCACAACTTGATCATGTTTATCATATTTATTTAACATAACTAAAACGTTTCCCTGAATCCACCCAAACTTGAACTAGTTTTGCTTTAAAACATGTAACATTCCAGTTTAACTTGTTAGGCCTTTTTTTGGCCGCCTAAAGACCTCTATGCTTTGACCGGGTATGTTTAGTCAGGATTCTAATATCCCATTTTAAAACAAAATTTTTCTTAAAAATATGAAGAGGTCCCCTAAGTTTCATAGCCATACCTTAAACGGTTTTTGCATTTATGAAGGACTCGTATTTAGGAAGGCGTAATGTAATCCCTCAAACCGGTAATTGTGAACTCCTTTCGTCCCGTCATAACCATTTAACGAAGGCGTAGAACTCGTCATATGAAAACGTTAGCGATACCTGCAAGTGTGACGTTGGCCAATTTGTGATCCTCACTACGATTAAGAACTAGATGTTGGCTCTGATAGGTCAGCTTACTTTCCAGAGGATTATTAGTCTCATGCACAGTCTGAAAACAAAAACGTTTTATAGATCATTAGCGCTAACCCAGGGTTAAATTTTAACTCGGGTCTCTTTTTCTTTTCATCAAAAGCGTTTTCTCGGACAATTTTCTCTATTCTTTTTAGAGTAGCCAATCAAAAAATTGTTGACAAAAGGAATTAAACTGAATTTGCTTGTTAAGCTTTCATATCTGAATTCAAATTTCGAACTAACCCAGGGTTATATTAACCCAGCTTTGAACAACTCGGCGCAGAGACCGCCGCTTATTTAGCCCAATTGGCTGGATTCAAACTCAGCAGGGCCCAGTTGTTCGAACGCCGGTGAGCGCTAACCTGGGGTTAAATTTTAACGCGGGTTTCTTTATCTTTTTAACAAACGCACTCTCTCAAATAATTTTCTCTATTCTTTTTAGAGTATTCAATCATCAAATTCAAGATAATTAAACTGAATTTATATATACTTTTTAAGTTCTCATATCTGAGTTCATATTTCGTACTAACCCTTAGTTATCTCAACCCAGCTTTGAACAACCAGGCCCAGAAGGGTAGGCCCAGGTTTGACTTCTGCGAGGTTCCGAGTCCTGATCCTGACCAACACCCAAAGCTTTAAATTTACGGAAGAGAACGCCCTGCCAGTTTCGGATCTGCAGATGGTTAATTAAAGTCTTCGGATAATGACCAACCCCGCCTCTGCACTGTTTTGTGATTTTATTCTCGTAAGACGCTAAATGACCTCAAGGGACGGAACAATATAATAGGTTCTTTGTGATCTTTTATGCGTTTCAGGAGTGAGTACACTGTAGGGAGGGCACTTCACGTGGGGCCTGTGTGTCCTGTGCGTCAGTGGTGCCAAAGCCCATTGGACAGCCCTGTGCTAGTTAAGCTTATAACGTATTTTTAAAAACCTGGTTGACAAAAAAGCACAATCTCATCCGACAAACCGCATCACCTTCTCCGCTTCGTAGTTCTTAAACTTACCAACAAAATCAGTTATAATGTCGACATTTTTTAGCCACAACTAAACATGCAAACGTAGTATCAACAAAATCCGAAACAACAAAGCGATGTTTTATATCACAAACCTGAGATTTTTTCAGAGCTCCTTGGACAAACATCATAGCAAACTGCAGCATCTCAGGACCATCCAGTTCAGGCATTTCTTTCTCAATCTGTCCTCTTAGAAGGCAGTTAATGGTTTTCGTCTCATTTTCTGCATCTATAGTATAAATCGAAAAAATAAATCAAATTAATCCTCAGCAGAATAATTCAAATGAAGGAAGACGACTCTTCTTACTTGGGAACCCGTTACAAGCTTTCAGGTAAAAAAGGGGAACGTAAATGTCGACATCTTAGCTACTGTAATGGACTGCTGGAAAACTCTCTCTGGCAGCTCGGCTGTTTTCCCTTGGGATCCGGTGGGGAGAAAAACGGCTACCTCCGTCCCCCGAGTGGAGCAACGAGATCGCTGAGACTGAAAACTTGTTGCTGGTTAAAATCAGTACTTAATTGCTTTAAGTCTGCATTTCAATTTGTATCGCACTTTCTATGATAGCACAGAAGGTAAGACAGATTTGTTTTAACGGTTTTCTCTCCGTTTCTTTTGTGTGTACCTAACAATTATTCCTCGAGCCCGAAAGGGCTCTGAGACAATATCCCAGGCCGAAGGCGGAATGAGCTATTGATTCAGAGGCCATGAGGGCGAGAGGAATAATTGTTTTAGTAAAATCCAACTAGTTGGTCAAAGATATCGAGAACAAAAATCTTTTAGCTACGTTAAAGCTAGACTTTAATCCTTTTTTGCCGCCAAAAAGCCCGCGCTTTTCGCTACTATAGTGGGCCATAACATATAGCCTAGTAGTAGCTCAACCAATCAGAACACAGCATTGATAATAGACCACTAGTTGGATTTTACTAAGGCACATTAGTGCTATTCCCTTGCTATTAAAAGTGAACGATTCTGTGCACTGGCGATAGTGCCAAATGAAAATCTGTGTGCGTTTGCAGGAGCGACATCTTAGCGGTAGCTTACATGTCAACGACGAACTAGAATTATAGTTAATCGCTATGATCATGCACGAAAAAAGTTTTATGCACTGTTACACTTTGACGACAAAATTATTTTACGTTAGAAAACGAACCTGAAGCTTGAAATCCTTGATCGCCAGATTCTTGAAGGAACCCTCCTTTATTTTTCTTGTCTTCATCGCTGGCCTCGAGTAAGACATCAACTGGTGTTACTGTCTCAGTTAAAGCTTTTGTGATATCTTTTTGATATAAAAGTGCTTGCTTGCCATTCTCTTGTGTAAGAAACTCACATTCTTTTAGCTTTTCCACACCAACTGCAATATCCTTGGCTCCTTGATGATTTCCATTCCCCGACACATTGTGATAATGACGTTTAGCATTGTAATCTGCTCTGCTTATTGAGCTTGGTGTGGTCTTCCGCAAAAAAGAAAAAGCTTGTTTGCTCGCCAAAATATCCTCCTGAGTTTGGTTTTCTGCACACTGATCAGCTATTTCTTTATCAAAACGCTCGAAATATGAAGCAGGTTTCGTCCGGTTTGGCAGGCCAGTTGTAATTAGACACTCCAAACCTAAAAACTGTTCCTCGATGTCATCGCCAAATGTATCGTTATTCACGCTATCCTGTATTTCTTCTCGTCTGAACAGTGCAGTTGCTTCTCTAGTGAGTGAATAGCGGTTTCTCTGTTGTAAGGGGCACCCAACAACGTCACCTAGACGCGACTATGAACAACAGAAAATACATGCTTTTAAACTTCAATATTGACAATATGAGAGCATAACCCTCCGTCGAAGGTGGTCGGTGGGGTCCAGTTCAGATGCCGAACTTTTCATGAGCCGAAGCTAAGTTGAATTAAGTACATGAAAAGTTCGGCGTTTGAACGCCTATTTCAATTTGGAACGGCTCAGCCGTTCTTCTTGCCTAGCCCGGCGGGCAATTTCGGCTTTGGAGCGACTTTGGAACGGCTTCGATTCAGACGCCGAACTTTTCAAGTCCGAACGTAGTGCGTAAATTATTATAACGTATTTTGTAAGCAGTTTTACTGAAATTATCATTATTCTCCTTTTGAATTTTGTTCGGCTGGAATTAAGATCAGCGTCTGAATCAATCCAGCCGATCTAAATAATTTTGGTAGGCCTTAATTCGAATTAGTTTTGGCTCATGAAAAGTTCAGCGTCTGCACCGGGCCTAAATTTTCCACCGCAAAAACGGTTCAAAGGCTGGCGTTTCGAGCAAAGTTTGCGTAGGTCGATGGATATTCTTCGGAAACTTTTGTAAAATACGCTCTTTTCGAGTTATTTTTTTCTTTTCATAAAGCATCGTTACGTAAATTCATTTACCTCATCTATCAGATCTCTGTCATCTATCGTGCGTAAGAAAGAGCACAAGTCCGTCTCTTTTGTTATTTCTGGGGGCAATATAGGACAGTTGCTTGCAACATATTCGTTTGTAACCATCATTATTTTTTGCTCCTGCTCAAAATCTAAACCCATCGGTGAGAAATCACCAAGAAATTCTCCACATCTATCAGCTTTACCCTTCTCGGCCTTCTCAGCGAACTCCAAGCATACACTTCCGATGGTTGAGTTACAAGGCAGTGCAGCTGATTCTTCAAATTGCGAGATTCTGTTAGTACCGTCCACTGCTGGTACGTCAAGTTGCTGCACTTCATTAGAGATCGGTTTGTCGGAATCTCTGTGAAAATGTGCACTAAAAACTGCATCATTCTCTGAAGCTTTGCTGTTACCATCATTGCTTAGATGTTGAAAAGGTACTTCTTGATCAGCATAGAAGTGAAGACCTTCAGTATAAATAGGACTGTTTGTTTCTTGTTCGGTATAAAATTCAAGCTCCGATTCACAAGTGTTTTCTTCCTCGGGGTGTAAATCAACCGCAGCGACTTTCTCGGCTCGCAAAGCAGATGTTTCTCTGTTTCCCTTGTATGCTGACATATAACCTCGCTCGGAGTCTTTAATTCCGGCAAGCTTCTTTATTTCACGAAGTTTTTCCTCTGACAACAGCTTAGCTTTTTCAACCATGGCGAAGAAAGAAACCGTCAATTTCTGAGATTTCTGTGAAATAACTGTAAAAAACTAATCAACATTTACGTAGGGCACTAGATCCCCTAATCTGGAACTTAAAAAGATCTTTTTCATTTATGTACTCCTCTCAACATAAACAAGATCGCTATACTTTTTTTCAAATAAAATTTATGGGCTTAACTGCAGAATATCCGGCCATTTCGAAGCCATACCACAATAACAGTGGCTACGCGGCTACGTAGAATACCCGGCCACTTCGAAGCTATTACCCCTCGCGTAGCCACATAGCCGCATATCCGAGGGGTTTGGATTTGGGTTACGGTTAGGGTTAGGATTAGGGTTAGGGTTGGGGTTAGGATTAGGGTTAGGTCAATTTATGAACACATCTAATTTACGACGAATTTCTTTTCAAATAATGACCCATCCTATTTTAGCAGGTAACGAACCACGCCAAGGCCACTTAGCGTAAAGAATAACTTTGCATGATTTTCTCTCTACCTAATTAAGTTATTCGTGGTAAGTCTTAAAAAAACGTTAAAAACACGAGATGATGTGAACATTTTAAGAAGCGATCACTCGTATCCTTGGCGCGATGGGCAACCTAAATATAGAAATAGAAATATAGAACGTTTTTCAGCTGGTACAAAAACATCTGTACAAAGTGGAAACACGGTTACTCGGTTAAATAATTATAAGACTCTTACTTCGGGTTAGTTCAGACTTGACTCCAATTGCTGGCCATACGACGGGACCTAAAGAATTGTAGAAATAGACACTTCTGTTGTGGGTCTTATTAATTATTGGGCCACAAGTCCTGCTTGTTCGATCGGTGTGGGCTCTAAACCTGTATGCGCGCGTTCAAGGGGATGCAATAAGTGCGTCACAATCAGAATCAGATTTAACCTACATTTGACAAATCATAGACTGAAGATGATGTGGACTGCGGAAATATACAAATATAAATGAAAATATGATCGTCGCAGTGGTAATTACAATTTAAGCAATTGTAAATTAACACGAAAACATTTCGGGACTTCATCGGAATTCGGACCCATGGCCTCTATGCTAGGCCCATACATTGGGAGCAGACAGAATTTGTTGAGTTGAGGAATGAAACATAGAATGAAGATGATGTGAACTGCGGGAAAATCAGGTAAACAGCTATTAAGGGACGACTCATGCAAAAACTACGAAACAGTTGGTTATACTTGCGTAAAGTACCAGACAAAACTGTTGGTTTTACATGTAAAATACCCGTGGAGCAATTAGCTTTTGGTTCAGGTTTCATTGCACCACACAACGCTTGGTTCTTTAGGGTTCTTTAGGGTTCACAGCATGCCTGAGTTCACAGTAGCTGAAACTAACCGTTTCCCCATTTTGGCAGTATATAATCAGATAAAAGACCGTTTGAGACTTACAAGTTAATAGCAAACGTATGTGAGCGAATGTCACTTCTTATAACACGCCATGCCTGTGTACAAGATTTGAAATATTTCTGATGCTAAAGAAAATTGTACTCACCCTTGTTGGCAAACTCACTTTCGAAGCGTCCGTGAGGTTTCCAATCAAAATATAGATAGCGTTTCGTTCCCCCATCATTGTTCTCGGTGACATCTTTGATGCTCCTCTGTAAACACAGCCGTTTAGATGGTGGCGACGAAAGAATTAGACACTCAGAAGAGAGCTCTATTAAATTTTCTCCCAAATGCATGAGGTCACCAGTTGACCGCGATGGATAGTCGTTAGCCAGTCGGGTTTGTCCTGTTTGTGGGCGTTCTGCAGATGGGAACTGTGGCTGCACTGATGTTAAGTTCTGGTCCTTTCCCTCCCAGCTTCTTAACTCAGCAGGTTGGAAGTTCGATTCTTCGCAAACGGGAACTGTGAAATTACACTCATCGTTTACGTATTTTTCAGCACTTGTATATGGTGTCCCCTCTTCTACCTGCTGGTTAGTACTTTTAAAAGGAATGGACCCTTCGTCCGGCTTCAGAAAGCTGATAGCCTCTGCTACTGATCTCTCATCTAGTGAATACAGGAAGAAATATCTGCTGTTAATTCATATTATCTCGGTCTTTACGGTTTCCCGACTTCCAGTCGTTTGTGTTATCTGGATAATTAGCTAAAAGGCACCTGTATAATGAGTATATTACAATCGTTTATCACGCTATGACGTCACAATGAGAAGAAGCAGTACTCAACATGATGGCAGCCAGTCGGCACACGTATTGCAGCTTTGGCAAATCGGAACGCCTGAAAGAACGGGCAAAAAAACCCGACCTTTATCATTCCGGCAGTAATTATTCTCAATGATTTTCTGTAAGAAAATTTCTGTCAGAAGTATGTTCATTCATGCATATGCAGACCATCCATACATTCCTTCCGCCAATATAAGCTTAAGATCGAAAGCTGCATAACTGAAAACGATTTTATGACTGGAATGTATTAGTTATGTTTGTATTGTTCTTTATCTTTGAAGAAAATAAAAGTAAATAAATAATGCATCAGTCAATTCCAGCTGCACCCAGCTTTCCCCCAGGCCACTGAAGGACATTTGCCCGCCCTGTCAGTCTCAGGGGTGGGGCATTTGCAAATTGTGCGCTGCCCGGGCGCCGGGCATTTGCCAACCCCGGGGTAAAACCCGAGCTTTTGACACGCAGGCGGTTTCCTATTAGAATGTAACTACACAGAGGATTTTACCAGAAAAACAAGCAGATTGGTTCATTTGTTAAGGACGGGGAAAAATTGAAGAGGTTTGTAAAGGCATGTTCTCGATTTTATGCATGCATTTCTTCATTGCTTATCAAGCCAGAATTACATGGCGAAATCAGGAGCTATCGACGGGAATCAACGTTTTTTTGGTTATTGAATCAAATTTCTGTTGATATTATATGACGAACATCCTTTCATACTTAAAGAACTATTCATAACAGTTAACTTTACAGCGCACTATTAAGTCTTAATTAGAACAGCACTATTACAAAGGCAGACGTCGACTGAAACAAAAAATCTCAAATTAGAGCCCCATTTACACGGCCGAACATTTTTGGCACGGCTCGGATAAAAAAAGTACGCGTACTAAAAAAATTGGTTCTGCACGGATAGATTTAGTCGTGTAAACGACTTTGCCCCATCCGTGCCGGACCAAAATTTCACCCGTGCTCGGACCATTTCGAGAGGTATTCCGAGCACGGATAAAACTGGTACGCGATCCTGAAAATCCAGCCCAGCTCGGATAAAGTGTGCAGTGTAAACGATTAGCCGTGCCGAGCTAACTTTTCTCTGATGAGCCTTCATGCCTTTGGTTCAAAACCACCAATTGTTAAACGGTTTTAAGAGATATAGGCATATTTTTATCCCCTAAAATTTTTTGATCTGTTCGGATAAGTCTTTTTCGTTTTCGAAAATTCAACATAAAAATCCAAAAATGCAATTATACCATTTTTTTTAGATGTTCGAAAACCCTAGGAGAGGCAGGCAATTTTAAAAATTCTAGGTCTCAAATGGTCTTCCGAACAGATATTTTCCGTTCAAGACAGACAATGACCACACGTTAGTCATTGATGAGCGTGGACAACATGCAGCTGCGGGGGAAATAGCCACAAATACGTAAGAATTTGTTAATATAAATGTGTAGCATTAACTAAGTGGTAAATACTTTTTCGTTAGTTCAGTGTGTTCAATAACCACACAATAATTCAATAACCGCACTAGTATTCAATGACCACCCATTTTGTTCCTTGTGCGTAGACTACATGCAGCTGTGGGAATTCTAAGAACTTTTCGTCCGCCATGTTTTTACAGAGGAAGCAGCAGGCGCACTAGGCAAGAATCGAGTACGCTGGCCGAGATGTTGAGTCTTTTACCCGTACCAAATCATAATTTCACATCGTTTAGCACGGTAGAAAAAAGAACGTGTAAATGAGTAATCATTACTATTTTTTTGGTACGCGTACCACTTTCATCCAAGCCGCGCCAAACATTTTCTTCGGTGTAACTGCAGCTTAAAATGCTTAAAGTGGCACTACTCGTGTTGATGGAGGACCGGGACGGGACATTTGCCCTCTTTTTGTCGTCCCGGATTTGACAGCTAAAGAGTCCCCAACCCCGGGAACTTGCCATCCAAGGCCGAAAAAATGCTAATGTCCGGGTGTCAGCCGAGCGGGGGGAGGGGGTGCGTAGGCTAATGCATAAATTAAGAAATATTTTTTTACTCCAGCTTCACAACAATTTAACTGTGTAATTAAGATACCAAAGATTGAGAATGCTCGAATAGATAGACGATAATGGTGTTTTTTACAACTATTCAGAGAATTCCCATGGCTTAGGGCTTATGCCCCTTCCCTGAATTTCCTCTTCCAGGGAAAGAGGAGATTCTTAATAGCCTGGACGGAGGACGGCCGGAGTACCTTGCGTAGCTGGCGTAATTGTTTTTGCGGGTGTGAAAGGTTTGATCCTCTGTACGGCTTCCGCGGCTTCGAAGTTCTGTCGAAAGTTTGCTCGAGATAAATAACAATCCCGCCTGCTACGCAGTAGCAGAGACTTTGAAATATGAGATGAGACTAGGAGACTGAAAAACAACAACTTGCGGTTACCTTCATAAAATGAACCTTGTGAAACTTCATCCATGTTATATAAGCAGTGTTCAACGTTTTACCGATGAACCTTTCCGCTGTAAATGAAAAGAAAAAGCCACAACAATTTTTTAAAAAAATCGTTTTTTATGCGTGCGAGCTTCGTAAGCTCAAGCTTACATAATTACGAACTTACGGACCTACAGTTAAGCTTACCTGAGGAAGTATCTGGCGCTTCTTGAATTTCCTGTTCTCCTCAAAGCTTACACGATCGGTTAAGTTTGAAGTTATCTTGACAGCCAAAAAGAAACCCCAAACCCTTAACTTCTAGCTACTGAGCATGAGTGCGTGCGACTTCCTATGATTATGATGATGAAAGTTTTTTTAACAAAAACATTGCAAAAATGGCGGGAAATTCAACGCCGGCTGCCAAGTGACGTCAACGTTATAAACCTCTAATATTTTGCCTAGTTCGCTAGTTCGACTGGTTTTCAGCTGGCTGATCGGCTCGTTGTTTTGACTTTTGAGGTTTCGAGCGACCGAAGCGAAATCAAAACAGACACGTGCGGCGTTGCTGTGGTACCCTAATTGTTTTCTAAACTAATAGCATTGAATGATTTTTTCACGTTTTTTAAAAATTTTTTCTTAGTAATGGCGCTCAAAAAAAGTTCATGACTCCTCGACTCCATCGAAACTTAACTTCCCTGTGCTTCAAACGTTCGAGATTCGAGCGCATTTTATTCAAGGGCCTTTGATATCATCGATTCTGATATATTTCGTCGCAAAAAAAAGGGCCAGATCATGAGCTCCATATAGTACCTTGCCCTCCGAACCCTCCTCACTGGTAAAACCTGTGTATTAGGAAAAATTAAGCCACAACAGTTGACTTCTCTAAATTACAATAGACAACCTTGTCCACTGTTATTTAGAGAAGTCAGTGCTGTGGTTTAATTTTCTCTTTGTTTCATTCTTTGTTTGTTTGCTGTTTTTTTAACTTCCTTTTAAAGTATGGTATTGTGAAATAATGAGCTTAAAAGGAAAAAACAAATACCAAGGATGATATTTTACTCAATGTCCAAAATTTTCGTCGATTTTGTGTCGAATGAGTGCTCAAAGACCCATAACACGTTTCCAATAAGGAGAAGGCTATGTATTCCATTTGGGAAAAAAAGACTTCATTGACTGAATGTACAAAGAAACAATTTTATTAGAGACATGGTGTAGTTAACTCATTTTGAAGGTTCTAATATTAAAAGTAATCTTGTGACGTTTTTTTGCTATTCTCATTTTAGCTAGCCTGCGAACGCAAATGTATTTCCGGTCTTAGCTTCTCTTCACACCCGAGAAAAGCGGCGACAGGAAATACGTCTGCGTTCGCAGGCTACATTTTAGCAAACCTCCGAATAATTTTTCTTGATTTTAGACTTTGGCCATTTGTTAGAATTAGAGGCTGTTCATACTTAGTGACCAGGAACCAGTACCTGGTAACCGGCACAAAATGATGATTTGTTCACACGGCCTTGAGTACCAGATTTATATCCCCCGTTCCATTTTTCCCTTCCTCCTTATCCCCTACCCCCCTTTCGACGCCTGCTACGCACGCTAGACTGTGTACATAGTCAATTCATTTCGCCCTGTCAGACACCATTTCCAAGTGAAACACGAGCTTAGCAGGAAGTACAAAGCAGTTGACTGCCCCATAACTAACAAAAACGGTGCACCCTACTCGGGCACAATGCCCGGCACAAGTGTGAACACTGCCCTAATGGTTAAACGAGTTAGTTACCCGACTAAAATGTTAATATGAAACAAATGACAGCAACAAAGACAAGTTTGATGGACACGTTTACAGCCACTGGAAATGATTAAATTTCATTTAAACAATTCTTGATATATTTGTTATCATATTATTTGAGGGAACTAATACATTTTTTTTTTAATGACAGGTATTATACATTATGATAATGTGAAAGTTATCAACGCCGCATAACTTCATCAATAACACAATCACACATAAACGACAATAATTTATTACTTATGTAGCTGTATGTACGATGTGATCAAAATTGCCTTGCTTGGCAGAAAAGAAAGAGAAGGTGTCTGATCGGATCTGGCGGCTTCTGTCCAGTTCTTCTGTATCTAATAAATTATAGCTTAATTATCTTAAATGTGACGCTTTCATGCCTTAATTCTAAGTAAGGGCCTAAGCTTTGATGACCGTGGAAAAGATCAAATTGGTTTAAAACAACTTTTCTCTTAAAAAACGCGGGGAAAAAGGACTGCTACTGATCGCCAAACCTGCTCATGTCTTTTTCAGTGAAATTAAGAAAAGATGAATTACAACACAAATTTCCACAAGGCAGCAGAAATGGGCTTGGCTTATCCAAAGTTATTCCAATTACATTGTGTGAGGCAGATGTAACATTTTACATAAAAGTTTTTAAACTGCTTGAAACTTGCTACTCCCGCACCCTGCTGCCATGCAGCAAAGAATTTCTTTTGCTTGCTGGATTTTAGCGCGGTACTCAAGATAAGGAGGCTCCGCTCTCAGGCAGGGTGCTTGCATTAACTCATATAATCTCCATAGAATATACGTGCCTGAAGTCCAATTATGTTGTTTGCAAGGCAAAATTAAGTAGAATCGAGACACTTTAAAGTTGCAAACACTTTTCAGGCGATAGTTCTGGTTTTTCCCTGATATTTCAATGTCACATAGTGGCCTGTCATCACTCTACAATGCCTTAGGGCACATGCAAAGAATATGAGGATGATTATACTTAGAAAAGTACTTTTTTTACCAAATCAGCTTGCCAACAAAGAACATGCATGTATGAGAGAATCGTGAGAGACATTTCACTGAGCTTTGACGAATTTAAAGATGCTCCTTTGTGATTTCTGTGCAATTATTATCTGATATTAAAAAGATGGCTATTGTCTCACATTTGTTATTGTTTGGCAATACGAAGCTACAGCTATGTTCTCGCTAGTAAATAAATGTCGTTTTATCAACTACCTACACGCAAGCTAGTTATCACAGTTATACATGTACTTATGATTGTTCCATATACCATTATATAGGAGCTGATTACTGCTGGTAATACCGAGATGTTTTCTGTTGGTTTCCAGCCTTGTGACTTCTGCTTTGGTGATGATAATGTCTAGAGTGTGTTGAACTTACTGAAGACAATAAAAGAATCAGACAGTAATTAATCAAACAGCTTATTCGGGAGTGCACCGATCTCAATAGTATGCCTACATGCAATATCTTAATCATTCTATAAGCCAAGGTAAATCCCAGATGACTGGAAATCTGCTAGAGTAACACCCCTTTTCAAGCAAGGTGATCGAGTCGCCGTAAACAATTACCGTCCGATCTCGGTTTTCCTATGTTCAGTATTTTTAATAACTGTGTTATTTTTTGTAATAATTAAATTGGATTATTTTCAATAATCAATTTACTTCTGGGCTAGCTCTTCAGAGCTCTGGGCTAGTGAACTAAAGTAGTAGCTTGCACTTTGGGCAAGCTGCTACATGAGTCATTTTTATCTTACCCTGAAAACCAGTTTGAAATTTTTCAAACTTAGAAAAAAACTGAATCACAACAAATCAATTCTTCTATGCTAAGCCACCTTAAATGGACAGAGGATTACCACTTTTTTTTGCAACAACCAAAGTCAAATAGCAAATTGTTAAGTGATAAACAATATTAATTTTGCGTCTAGCTAGAACCCACCTGAATAATTCCCAGAGGAAGATGTTCCTTCCACAGAACTTTGGTACTTTCCTGGATATTTCTTCCCAGCACCTCCCTGATGATGTCCCTTTGGTCCAGAGTATGGATAAGGAGTATATCGGTGACTTTGTTTTTTCATCCCTTGGGGTCCCTGTGGATGGTGTTGTTGGTATTCATTCTGCAGAAATAAATAAAAAGAAATTCAAGCGAAATAAACAGCACCACATACCCCTATATAGCCAAACTTAGAGTTGTGTCAGAAATCCCAGATGCTTATTGGCTGCCTGCTGTGTGTTATTAGCTTATAACTCATTTTTAGTTTATGGCAAATAGCAAACAACTGAACAGATTCAAGTTGACTTGATAGTAACAGGGTTGTCGCTAAGATTTCAAGTTGCCGGGTATTTGTTGTTAGTAGCCGGGAAAGTCGCTAGCAGTCGTGGAGCCCCCCGCTCCCGCAAGAAGTTTTTGAAGTGCAACTTCTACCGTTTTCCAAAAGGCATTACCGCCCAAAAAAGCAATCTTCATCAAGAGTACAGCTATCATTAGCGGTTTTATGATGATCACGTCTTTATTAAAGAAAACTGCAACATTCTGAGACACTAGAATATAAAGTTTTTATTTTACGTAAAGGCTCGTTGGGGTTTTTTTTTAGTGGCCGCCAAATGGGAATACATTTAAGCTCTGGGTCTGAAAAAGAACGAAACAACTTACGGAAATCAAAGGTAAAACTAATAGTATTACAGATGAATTAACCCACGGAGGAGCGGAAAGAAGACAAGCGCTCGATGAATGTACGAAAAAGCATCACAAACATGAGGCTAATATGGTTTGTTGGAAAATAAAAGTATGATAAGGTGAAAACAAGCATAACGTATGAAAAATCGCGGGATAAAATATGGCAAAACTAAACTGCACAACTGGTAACATTAGTGGTCTCGAATTTAGGAACGAAACATCACTCAACATACGAAGAAACTGACCTACGGAAAAGCGTTTAAAAGACAGGGCTAATACTTTATAAACGTCGCTGAGATGTCGAAACGAGACACGAGGAGAAGAATGCAAAAGCAATGCTAATGCTTAACTTCTCTTTTATATATAACTTCTTGAAAGTAGAACTGAGAGGATGTGACCTGCCGACCATGATCAAACATTTCCCATTGACCATGCATTATTTTATATACTCGATACCAAAAGGTTAATGTAGATCTGGTCACTGACTAATGACAATTTATTAAACATAGCAATCAGTCAGTCTTCATCTTCAAAGCCTTCGTCATAATCCTCATCATCATCAACATCAGCATCAGGGAAATTTAACGCTTGGATGAAGCCTCAACTTCTTCTGCGATGTCAACAGAGATCTACTCAGATCTTTCATCGTGAACAAAGAGTGCAGATTCCTTGCCGCTTCTTCGACATGTTCAACACAAAGCCGACACAACAGTTGAAACTGACATTTCGCGAACGGAGATTTCTCGCGCGTGTGTACTAGTACCAAATCTAAGTAAGATGTCTTTCTTCGACATTTCTTAGTTTTCGCTCGCGAGTTTTCCAAAATTACTTAAACCTGCTGAAGATGAAACTTGCATTTAGTACGATGCATAGTCTTTGTGTGTTTCAAAGGTGTGCTATAATTCAATGCTTATGTCCTTTTTAATGTAGAATTTTCTGCTGCTCTTTTGGTTTAATTTAACGACGAAAGTAGCCGGGGACCATGCTCTGAGTAGCCGGGGGAAATCCCCGGCCCCCGGCCCTTAGTGACAACCCTGTTAATAGTAGCATAAAATTCTAGCCATAGAATGATTGTGGCAAAAGTAAGCATGTAAGAATAAGATTTTTTTTGTCCGTTGGTATAACTAACTTTATTTTTTGATAAATTCAGTCACTTAATAGTTTTTCATTCCATCAGACTAATTGCTATTAATTAGAAATCAGCCCTAGCATTTTTCACTTTCCTTTTTTTTGTAATTTAATCAATGTTTATTTCATTTTATTGCCTTACAATGATAACATTAAATTTTTACATACTTAACCAACATTACAAGTTTTGAAGGTAAAACACAAATAACTCACACATGCACGCACAGCACACACGAAACACAACAACAGTATCAATACTACTAAGCCTTATTTATCGCAAATTGTGTATACCACCCGTCAAGAGTGCTTGCAATTTCCATAAATGAAAAGACATTTTATTCTTTGATTTGGCAATGATGGTTTCTAATATTGATAAACGTTACCAAGTCTTGCCAAGAAAACTTGTAAACAAGGGTTTGTGTTTGTGTATCTACGATAATATATATACTGCTTCCCAACAAGCAAAATATGATTAACGAATAAATTGTCTTTATATAGCGTTTTACCAAACAATATATCTTTAGCTGAGAGGTGGCTGATTACCACCCCCCCTCCCCCCCCGATTGCTACACCATTTCGGCCCGAAATCTCTGAGTAATCTGGAAAGAGACAAAAAGGTGTTCAAGGGATTCATCTGCCCCATCACACAGAGAACGTCGTGGTGATGAAAAAATACCAATTTTGTTTAAAAAAATCACTGGTGGCCAGATATCTGTGTAATAATTTATATTGAACTTTGCACAACCTGGTATGGTAAGCTGTAAATTTCTTTCCAGTTGAAATCATCATTTTCAAAATATTCAACATATTTCTTTGCGCAGTTGGTTGACCAATTTCTCCATCTCTATTCTTTATAGATGCCTTTTGAGACAGCATTACTTAATAAAACTTCTTTACCAGATTAAAAAAAACTGAGTCCGCTCGTGAAGATCGAAAGAAACAACGCTATCATAGCCATAACTCAGCTCATGAGGCCAGTCCTTCGGGAGTGTGTTGATCACTGTAAAAAGTTGAAATGTGTCCAGTGGGGATAAATTAAACTCCCTTAGCTTACTTGTTATGATTTCATTAATTTCAGCAATAAGATCTTCTATTCCTATAATTCCTTTCTCTACTAGTCCTTTGTTGAAATCACCACCAATTACCACCAATTACCACCACCAATTAGGATATAACAATAATTATTCAACAGAATGATCTTTGAAATATCCACTGCATTAATATTGCCTAAACAAAAACTGTTTGCTACGAAGCATTGCAAAAAATCCATTAAACATTCCTCATAAAAGCCCAGAAGCTTGATAGGTAGCTTTTTCGCATTGAAATTGCAGCCAAGGATAAATTTGCCGCCTACTGGTTTTAGGTAATGAAGAAGAAGAATTTTCCAGCTTCTAAGGTCATCACTCACAAGCTTTTTACACCATATTATTCTTTGAGTTTTAAAAATAGAATCCAAGTGTGGAGCTTTCAATCCACCATCTTCAATGTCCCCAACAAGCACACAATGTTCCACTTTGTCTTTACTTTTCCAAATAAAGTCAAAATATAATTTTGTTTACTTCATTTACAAATCTCTACTACAGTTCCTCGAACTTGTGTTGCTGTTTGGTAAATGTTCTGGTCTCGTTATAAACTATGATAAGTTGGAAATACTGTTGCTTGGAAACTCTTTTCCCGCGCCCCCTAATCTCACTCCGTTTAAAGACCTAACAATAAAGAATTCTGTAAAGATGGACTGATTTTAGGGGTATATTTCACGTATGATCGCCATCTCAGATGCAAACTTAATTTTGATGAAATTACCAGTAGTTCAACGCAAAGAAAGCACTGAAGCACACGTACCAACTCCGTGGTATGGCTACTACCGTACGCGTGCGCACAACCATGTCACCTGGGCAGTGGTAGCTATGGACAGCTGTTTCACCCTTCTTGGGGCTCATCAGCCTGGCATAGTCAGCACAGTCTCACTTGCAATCACAGATGCTGCCTTTTTACTGCCAAGGCAGATGCATTAGCACCTCTTTAAGCCTAGTAATTCCCCAACGATGTTCCAAAAAAAATTGTAAAATTGAACTGTTCACCCACCATTACCTGGAGATTTATTGGATTCAAAAGCATTGAGGTTCTTCACACATTCTTCAATTTTTAACTTCCCTTCACACACTTGAGAATCTTTAACAGAAAGTCTAGGCATGAGCAGATTTTCCAAAATAGTGTTCATCAAATTTTCAGAAGGTTTTAGATCGTCCTTCTTAAACAGACCAGAATAAAAGCCTTCGATAACCCCAAAACTTCTTGAGGATCAGTGACTAACAATTTTTCTCTTTATTAAAAACCAAGTTATGAACTGAACTTTTAGCCTTCCAATGAGATTCTAGATTGAGGAAATATTTGTTACTTTTCTCTCCCTTTTCACACCAAGTTGCCTTCGAGCGAATAATTTGCTCCCTTTGATAATACTGCAAGAATAAGATGCAAGAAGAGCAAGTCACAACAAGTCAACTATATTTAGGCAGGATAGCCCTATAAGCCATTGGCTGGTATCAAAAGGGGCCTACACCTCAACAACACCCTAAAATGACAGAACCATCAAACCAGAGTGTGCACACATAGCATGTAAAGAAAAACATGTCTGATAGTGCTGGACTAGGGAATTTGCAACTGGCCTAGTAAGTCTTCTTCTTAACTTTTTGGGGGAAATTTAAATTTCTTCAACAACCATGTGGATTAAAAGTCATTTTTTTAAGGCTGATCTGATTATTCTTACTATTATAATGAATTGATAAAGCAAGTAATAAATTAACTTACAGTGTGATCAATTACTGATTAACTAATTCTTTTTTGAGGGGGGCAGGGGGAGGTTACTTAAATTGAATCCCAGGTCCTATTAACCCTGCAATTTACAAGGTTCTGTGAAAGACATGTATTTCTAGTTATTATGTTTGAGTCTCTCACACTACAGGTTTTTGCTGCTACAACCATTGCTCTTAGCCTTAGCCTTCAGTCAGTTTTACAGCTTGCCCAAGCTGTAGATAGCATGTACTACAACTGTAGCCTGTAGCCTGGATGGGTGACCTGCCACAAATATCCTGTCAATAGACTCCTATCTCTTTTTTTTCTCTTTCTTTCCCTGCCCTATCAAGGCTGTGCTCTAGCAGAGCCCGGTCACCTAACTTTTGTTCTTGGGCGACTAGAAAATCTTTGCTTTTTCATAGAAATCATATGCTGGGCACACTGGATTTCACAAGTTCAGAGAATTGGGCTCCCCTCAATTTTTCTTGGAGCTGAGCCTTGCCTATTTTTTTCTTAAATACATATAATAAAGTATATTTAGCATTATTTCAGCCACAGGATGGAAAATAAATTAATAGTAAGTTTGCATGCAAATAACAAAGGTATGGAACTGAAACCAGTCCATAATAATGGTAAAAATTTTAATACTGTTAATGATAGTGTAATAATCATAATAACAATAATAATAATAATGACAAAGTACTTACTGTGTACTGTTGAGAATATCCAAGTCCCCCACTGGACCTCAGTTCTTGTTTTTGGAGCTGCTGCGGCTGCTGCTGCTGCTGTTGTGGTGGTGGTGGTCGCATCTGCTGGCTCTGATGTCCTCCTTCATATAATGGTTGTCGACCTTGTGTCTGTCCACTACTTTGCTGCTGTTGGTACTGATGGGTTGCAATTGTTGGTTGCCTGTGGAGCTGCTCCTGTTGTACTTGGTGTCCATGTTGCATAGAATACTTCCCAGGCTGAGGAGGTTGCTGTTGCTGTTGAGGATGGTAAGTATGCTGTCCACTCATAGGCACTTGTTGAGGTTGGTAAGCTGTAGCTTGCTTTGCTTGGTATCCCTGAGGTTGAGAATGTACCTGATATGATTGCTGTGCCTGCATCTGATGAACATTTGAACTATATGATTGCAGGTGTGACAGATCCTGGGTATGCTGTGCCACAAAACCTTGTTGGTGTCCTTGGTTTTGCTGTGCTGTACCAGGTTGTAGTGTTTGTCCATGGGTTCCTGTTGGAAAAGCTTGCTTCTGATTACCATGTGATGCAAATTGTTGGTAATTTGACTGCTGTTGCTGCTGAGTGTGATAAGAGAACTGCTGCTGATGTTGCTGCTGTAATAAATATTGTTGATTTAGAAAACATAGTTTGACTATAGGACTGAAAATAATAACACAAACTAGAAATAAAAATTTTGACTTCAGAAAAGCAAGCAACTAAATCTTCAACTTTTCTTTGGGTATGGAAGTTTATTGCCCAACAGATCAAAACTGAAAAAGGTTCAAGAAAGACATTCAATCCTACTAATAATACAGTACATGCAAAACGCATTACAGGTTAAGCTACAATGCTTTAAACAGTAATAACTGTAACTGTTTGTCTAGACAGAGACCAGTGATTAACTTAGAATGGCAATTATCATCATGTGATTACAATCAAAGTATGACTTGTGACATCACTTTTTACCCCAAGCATAGCTACTTCTCATCAACATCTCACCAATGTGTTCATGTAACATACCTTAAATTATTTGAATCTGTCACTTTCTCATAAGCTACAGTGCAGTGGGTTGAAAAGTTAGCATCATACTTCCTGGAAACCATCCCCTTAAACTCATTGACAGTGAAACCTGAACTAAGTGGATCCCATATTAAGCAGACATTGTACATGTATATAAAAGGAATCAAGCACCAGTGAGTTCAGTCCTAAACTTTGATTCCCTTTCAATTAAACAAACTGGCAATTTAAATGCCAAAAAAGTACTCAGGCTAAAGGCTTCACTGTAAATTGTATTCAACCAGAATGTACCATAATCATAAAATTAATAGTGGATTTAGTGTAGTACCACATACCTGCTGGGGGGTGGGGGGTAGTCCTCCATGTTGTAGAGGTGACTGCCTTGGAAATGGCAACTGTGAATCTATTGCTACAACAGTAGGGGCATGAGGTGGGCCATGTTGCTTCCCTGGAAAATGGCTGTCAGGTTGCTGCAGCATTTTAAGCACAAAAAGGAAGTTAGCTGACTTAATTCCTATAACAGAAATGGTTCCTGACCTGACAGGCTTGATCAATAAGCAAAGTTTTCACTTACCTGAGCCCCAGCAATAAACGGCTTCTGTCCTTGACCATGCTGAAATCCAGCAAATCTTTCCTGTGCTGCTGGGTAAACCTGGGAGGACTGTGTTGGATAGGGAATGTGGGATGGCGGTTGAAGATTTTGAATTTTGTGAGAATGATTGATCTGTGCCTGAATAAAACTTGACAGGGGATGAGGAGGACTTCCTTGTCTTCTGATCACTCCTGATACAATAAACCACATGCATTAAAACAACATTCAGCAATATAAAAACTTGGTATTCTACCTACAAAGCACAACAGTCTAGAACTTCAGAAGCCACTTCAACCAGTTTATCAATTGTTTTTTTTTTTAATACTTTCAAGTGGTTAGAGAAAAGGCATTCTCAGAAATTCTACACAACTATCCGACAGCAGCACATTTAGTGCTCCCAGCTGCCAGACATGTACAAGTATAAACCAAAGCGCATGTTTATTGCTGGTTTGCACGTGATGTCATGGCAGCCATGTTGATGGTCACAAATAAAAACATTATTTTATCCTCTGGGATGACTGGGAACTAAACTCCATTTTCTTGAAAATAATATACACTTAATGTCAGATCCCGAGGGAAACAGTTAGTTTTGTTTTCCCAAGTCCTGACGTTTTCATCAGGACTTGAGGGAAAACAAAACCAGCTGGTTTCTCGAGGGACCTGAGTTTAAGTGTTTTGTTAAATTTCTAGACTTTCAACAGCAACAAAAGAATACGCTTTGGTGGAGCCAATCAAAACAGTTGACTTGATACTTATAAGAACACAAACCACTGAGTAGATGATTTACAAAGTACTTTCCTTATATTATTTGCATCTTTTTCCTCCACTAGTTACTCTTTCTCTTCTGGGATAACTTTGAAAATTGTTGCTTTTTAGCTTGAGGTTTCATTTTTGTGTTGTAGTCTTCATTCACCAAAAAGAAAACTGGCAGTGTTTTTCCCGCCTTCTGTCACGCCACTTTCCACCATGCCTTGATTATGTGCTGTAATGTAACCCAAGCGGGGTACATTGCTTAATGTATCACGATCGGATACATTTGATTTTAGTCAAGGCCATGTGAACAAGAATCAGGCAATGGCTGTCCCTTCTCAGTTGAGTGAAAGTCTAGGAATATAACAATTTTTTTATTGTATTAACCACCAACATGGCCGCCACGTCACGTGATTGCAAGCAAGAATAAGTGTATTGTTTGGTTCTTTCGTGATTACCTGAGTTTGAAGTATTTTCCACAAGAGCTGATTGTTGCTGTACACTTGATGTCAGTGCAGCTTGTCCTGTAGACAAACCCTGAACACCTAAAGAACTTGCTACATGAACAGAAGAGGCGGCAGCCCTCACTGCTTGTAGTTCCTGCTGTTTTCTAATTTCATCTTCATAATTTAAAGCTTTCTTGAATTGCGAAAAGAGATCGTGTTTCTTCTGCTTCAGTTCTTCTAGTTTAGCTTCTAACTTTGCGATCTCCTTTTTCACATCTTCAACTGTTTCTTTTTTCTTCTCCTGTTCCCTTTTTCGCTGTTTCTCCTCTTCTTCTTTCGCTTTGCTTTCGGCAAGAGCTTGTTTTCCTTTCTCCCGCTGTCGCCTTATGTAGGCATAGACCGCCCTCAACTGATCTTTTGTAGGTCGTGTTCTTTCGATTAAAACAGGCATTCTCTCTTCTTACACTAAAAGGCGTCTTTTGAACTATGAATGCCAATTTTGAAGGTTGATGCTTGTACAAACACCCATTTTGCGCCGGTTGACAAGTCTGGGGTAGTGCATCATTAGAGACACTATGTGATGCATTACAATAGACGATAAATGTTAATGGTGATAGCCGCTGAGCAAACCTTATGAAGTGGAAGAGACTGTGGAAGAGAATAACTGGGAAACTTAGTCATCGAAAATCTTCAAAATGTTTGGAAGAAAAAAGAAACCCTCTCAGGAAAAAGAAGGACGAAAGAAAAACGATCTTTCCAATTTGGTAATATACCTTTCTCTTATTGAGTGACAAAATAATGCGATCAATTTATGTAAATGTCGCACTGAATTTTGAACATATAATTTTAACCTTGACATAAGCTTAAATTTGTTCCTTGTTTAACTTGTAAATGAAAATTAGACGAAGCTCATGAAACAAATTTTGAAAAATTTATCCTTGTTTGATCTTGTACAACTGCATTCGAAGATGTGGTTTTAAATTCATGTCATTTGTTTGTTTGGTATAGGAATGTTTTAATATTATTATCTGACATTTGTTGTAACTTCAGCTTGGGCTTGATATCAGCCCAGAAGACATGGCTGATTTCGGTATTGGTGGTATAGGAATTGATGGTGATGATGACGATGATGAGGATGATGAAAGCCTGGAAGCTGAGCTGGCAGCCCTGCAAGGAGAATCACAACCAAGAGCAAAAAAGAAACGTATGTTTGGGCCCAGGAATTGTAAAAAATTGACTGCGACATATATATACCAGTTTATAAATGACAGTGTTTAAAGCTAAAAAGCTTATGGGGTTGTTTCCTTTTCAGGGCATTACCAAGTCTCTAGCCTGGGACTAGGCTCCATAGTCGGGGAAAAGGCCAAAAACAGGGTGAAAACAAAAAACAAAAAAATGGGCGAGCAAAGCAAGCCGAGGAGTGGACTGGAGAGGGGGGAAGGGCGACAGAGCCTGGAAACATGCCTCTGGTGCTGCCATTCCATGAAAGCAGCTCGATCTGATTGGTCAAATGTCTAATGTTGACAGATTTGCGATACTGTCAACAGTATTCGGGAAAGCTTGTTTTCAAACAGTAAACACGAATTTTGAGCAACCAATACTAATTTCTTTGTGAGACTTCTTGCATATCCCTTGGCTCCAAGAAGAGCAAAAAATATGTGGTCTGTTGCAAAAAGAAAAAGAAGCTTATGATATATTGAGGTTGTTTTATACTCTCCTGTGATAAACTACAGTCACATTTACAAGGTGATTGAGTTATAAACCAACATTCAAAAGGCACAACATTATAATCATGTTCCCACCAAAGGCATGCTAAACACCAAAAAGTAGTGGATACATGTAAAGAATGCATGTTACGTACAGCCAAACCTTGTGCTCTGAGATTGCATAAACTACAACTGTGCAAAGATAACAGCGGTTATGGAAAATGATTACTTTTACACAATTCTGAGCAGACATATCTTATAAAACGGACAGCAAATTCAACAGAAATGTGAGTAGTCTGTCGTATAAGATGCTTAACTTACACATTTTTCCTCCGCTAAGATAAACTGTACTGATCCATATTGTCTGGTACATAATAACTTGCAATCAGGTTGTCCTTCTTCCCTTTTGTTTGGAAGACGAAAGGAAAAGCACGCCCGATACATTTACTCTACGAGTCATCTGGCGGTAGTCCAGAGTCTGGACTTTTGTCTGATTGGTCGAAAAATAAAAGAACCTTTGGAGCCCCACACTGATTTTTTGCAAGCAGCATATCTGATTTCCAGTGCAATTAGTCTATCTCTTCATGACAGAAATCATGAGATGATCAAAGAATTCATTTAGCAGCAAGCTTTAGGGATATCTTTGGGGATCTATTTGGCTTTTCATCACCAGTCAAACACGGCGCATTTTCCTCTGAAATGTCTTTACTACAATCTATTTTATGTGGGCACATTAAAATATGTTTTTACAAAAGTGACATATACACTCATGCTGCATTTCGCAGCAATAAAAGTAAAGAAACATCTGTGATGAGAACTTGATGTGTTGACGTTTCAATGTCAGGTTAATTGCTGGAGGGTGGATCTGTGGACCATCAAAGGCATGTCTCCAGGCTCCTCCACCATTACTCTTTTCCAGATTCCTGCTCACCATCTGATTTTTCTTTTTGGTCTTTTTAGCCTACTGCAGAACTTGGTCCCAGGCTACAAACTGACCAAAAGTGATCATAAAAGAACTTTAAATTACTCAATAATATCTTATAATAATATTATTACCAATGAAACTGAAAAAGATATTAAAATAAATGGAGAATGGAATCAATCAGTTATCGGGTGGACACTCTACCCACTGAGCTATAGGTACCACATATGGTGAACAGGTCACTTGGACACTTGACTTTGCATTTTGCAAGTACAGTGGAGACTTACCAAAGCCAAGCACTATATCACGCACATCATGCAAGCACATTGGTAGGTAGTTTGCATGCTATAATAATTTATTGATAATAATTAAAATTTATGACATGCCTTTTCCTTGCAAATTTGATCAAAAGTGTGTTACAATGCTTTAAATGTTAAAAGCAAAATAAAAGCTCAAATGTATTGAATAATTAAAACTAAAAGAAAGTAAATAACGCTTAAAATACAGTACATATCAAAAGCAAGTCTAAAAAGACGCATTTTAAGTAAGGATTTTTTTAAAAAACATTCAAAAGTTTGAAAGAGTAGATGGTAAACACCAGTGGCCTCGAGTACGAACCATGTGGAATATCATTATAAGGAAGCCTAAGACTATCAGATATGCAGCCATTTAGAGGGAGTTGTTGCGACCTGTTTTTAAGATAAGACGTAAACCAGTTCAGGGCAGTTGCATTTATAATAATACAACTTGTACCGATACTTGACATAAGTCGAGCAAGCAGGATATTTTGGTCAACAGAGCCGTATACTACATCTAAGTGCTTGCATGTGATATTAATAGTCATTCTGGACCTTCAGTAGCGCTGTTTCTGTACTATGAACCTTTTCATAAGCAGATTGTAATAATAATACTAATAATAATGGGTCTTTATTTCACACAAAATAAAGATACATATATACTATGTTACAACTGTTTATGAATACCATAAAACATAACAAAATAAATAAACTAATCATAGAATCCTAACTATCCTTTACTAAGGTTGTGTTTAAATATTAGTCTACTTACAAAAGCAGACATGAAATGCTCAGTATTAATTTTAGGATGGGAACATTGTTTTTTTATGGAGATTATAAGTCAGAACAAACTTTCTTTGAAGGAATATATAGAGCTAGCGGGTGATTATTTATAGACTGAAGTTACTTTCTCAAAAATTTTACAGTCTTGCTTCTTTAATAGATCCTTAGTTGAAACAGGGTGAGAAATAAAACAGTGTTTATGATATCTATCTAAAAGTAGTAATACGAGACTTTCCCGAAGACGGAGTAATCTTCAGAGTGTTTTATAGAGACCTTGCTTTGTTACATCTTTGTATTTTGTTATTACCATTTATTGTTTTGTTGCAAAATAAACATACTACTCTTGCTGAAGATGGTGAAAATTTAATAAGTGCCCAGCCTCGAATAAACGCCCACTCTCAAGGTCCAAAATTTTAATAAGCACCCAAGGTGGTTAATTGAATGAATACGGCAATAGATAAATATTAGTAGACACACGATTTAGGCTTGAAGCAGCATAAAAGTAACCTGTATAAAGTCACCATAATATTGATATTAAGTTACAAGTTAAGATCTTATATCAAACCTCATGGTTTAGAACTTATTAAAAATTGTCTAGACGAGATTGTTGACAGTGAAATATGATAATGATAGTGCAAATTGCCTTTTCTGTTTCTTCATGCCTGCAGTTTCTAAGAAATTCTGCAGAAAAAGATGTTTATTATGATGTTATTGTAAAAAACGGTTGACAACATAACTCGCCTGCGGCTTGTGATTCCATTCGAGTTTGAACAATGTTTCAAAGTAATTTCTGTGATACAAAATAATCAGAGTGTACAGTCAATGGAAAATTGATGCCAGGCTAGAGTAATGCACTGGTGACCTGTCAATAAATAGATAGCACCAACTTGAGAATTGTAGACCCCTTGGCCTTTAAGCAACTATTAAACATAATGGAAACATAGCCACATTTGTTGTAATAGGATCAGGAGGGAGACATGCAGCTGATCTTGATGATGATGATGATGATGATGATGATGATGAAGACCTTGAAAACAACACTGAACTTTTGGTAAGGTTCTTACAAAATGTTATTAGTGCTGGATGGCCTTGGATGGTATTTAACTTTTTGATTTGTGTCTTGTTAAGAGTTTTATATTACATGTTTTGTTCCATTTCAGTAAATTGTTAAACCGTAAACACTAAAAGAAAGCACACCTAGTTGTAAAGAATGTAAAGAAATAGTTGAGTACTGTTATCTCATACATGTTCATGGACAAAAGAACTCTCCGAGTGTGCTTGTAATACAAGTAACTTGAATGTTGCCTTTAGGTTACAGTTTTAAGCAAAAAGACAACAACTATGTAACCCCAGAAAAGGGGGGCTGACAGGGGCTATGCCTTGCCCAATTTTTGATTAACATTATTGACATCGCTGTATCTTTACAGGCTGAGCTGCAGTGCATTGCGCCTGGGGAAGATGGCTCTGAACGGCAGGATCCAACACCAGTCTTATTGCCAACTCCTAGCAGCAACACTCAACAGGTTTTTTAATACAAAAAATACAAAAACATATTTTTTTAACTGTTTTTTTGTATTTTGTTTCACTAAAAACATCAGTGTCATGGTAATAAAGGAAGGGGAAGTACTAAGCACTGTGGGATACAATGTCCTTTTATTTTTTTTCTTTCATTTTTCTTTACATTTTTTTTTTGTTCAGGAGACCAAAGAGAGTTCATCTGACTTAAACATATTACTAGAAAGGGAGAAAATGTATAAGCAGGCTATTGAAAATGCAAACAAGGCTGGTGAGGGAAGTAAGGCGAGAAGATATGGCCGAGGACTCAAGGTGCAGTACGCAAGAATTCCTTACATTATTTAAACCCCAAACCTGGGTTAATGAATTTTTACAAGAGAAGAATTAACTTTTATCTTCTTCTTACCTTCACCGTCACCTATCCTCTTCATGCCACTTGGAACATAAGGCATCCATGCCCAGAGTGTTTCTACATTTCTCGGATACAGTGTATAGCTGCTATGGTTGTCACTTAATCCAATGATTGCCACCTTACTTCCTTTCTTCCTTTTTCAACTGTGTGCCTCCGGGTGGTCTTTGGTCTTCCTCTTCCTCTTTTTCCTTCTGGTGCCTATGTCACTGCAAATTTGTGGGCCCTGTTTTGGTTCATAGTACAATCATGTATATGTCTGATCATCTTTCATCTTCGCTTCTTCCCCTATCTGCTCTTTTTGGTAGCTCTTCAGTGCTGACACGGTCCTGTCACTGGACCATGCAGGTATTCTTTCATCTTCTGCCCTGCCATCATCACCTTTTATTTGTTTTCCATGTTTCACACCCATACAGCAAGACTGGGGCTACCAGTGTTTTGTACAGCTTCAGGTTCGTTCTTCTTGAGGTGTTTTTGGAGCACCAGATCCTCTTTAATGTAGAAAATGCACCCCTAGTTGTAAGAGTCTGTTTTTCAGGTCTTTTATACCACCTCTCTCCTATCTCCCAAATCAGTGAACTCACTTACTTCTTCTATTCCTTGTCCAGCTACAAAAATCATTTCCTGGTTCTTTGCATTAATTGTCATTAACTTTTGTCTTTGCCATGTTGATTGTGAATCCCACTTGTCTGGCTTTTATCTTTATCCACTCTTGCTGTTTCATTTACATCTTGAATCTGCTGTTTGGTACTACATCATGTGCAAAGTCTAGGTTGTCTAGTTTAGATGTGAATTTCAGTTTTCCACCTGCTACCATTCTCGCCATGACAAAGTCCTCTTCAGCTTAGCTGATTAAAAAAGAAATTCAATTGAACTAGAGGTTAAAAAATTGTAAGTATAATGCTGTGAGCAGATGCTGACAAAGTAAAACATCATTAAGCATAGCAACAATAAACTGACATACATCTAAACATTTTGATAAATGTTACAGACCTTGTTATTTGGTCAATTAGTAATTTAATATTATCCTACTTTTTGATTGGCTATCCAAGCAGAAGAGATTGGTCTGTCCTGCCTGCTCTGAATCTCCTGCTTTGTCCAGCAAGAAAAGATTTTGTTTTGGCTACAATGTAAATCCTTTATCTAGCAAGCTTGTTTGGTCGAGATCTCTGGATATTGGCAAGTGCTTTTTGCATTATTTTTCATTGACCTTAACTTTGTCTCGGTCTGTAAAGGGCAAAAAAGAAATTGACCAATACAGACAATACACAGACCAACAACCTTGACGTGAATCTTGGTCAGTAATAACACAGCGTTTATAAGTAGTTATTAGTGTTTTTGTTTCCTGTTTTATTTTGTTTGATTAGTTTCTCTGCCCTGATTACAAAATAATTTAAAAGCCCACATTGATATTTTGTCAACGCACCTCTCTGCAGCTGTAGATTTTCATTTATACCTTGTTCTGTAGGAAATAGAACAGATGATAAAACAGGCCAGAGCTGGAAAAGCTGTTGACATAGATGCTCTTCCTCCACCAGTCCTCACTGCAACTGCAGTAAAGCCATCAGTTTCTGACTCCTCTCAACAAGCTCAGACTGTACCGGTAAAGGAGGAATTGGGTTCAACCAACAAGCCTGCTAAACCCCCGGGGGAGAGGGTAATATACTTGGTAATGTACAAACAAATCCTAAGGAAAGTTTTTTTGTTTGGTTGATAGTTGGCAGATTTAAGAGATGTTACATTGAGCCTACATTACTGTTTTACATGCATTGTTTTGATGTCCTGTGAATTTGGTTCTATGCTGGTAGTCTGAAAACAGTTCACAGTACTTAGATTTTTTAAATAGACAAGGTTTGGGAGTTTATATACCATTGGTTAAGTAAGCATAAATTAAAGGTCCTTTTGTTATAAATGTTGCCATGTTCCCACCAGTTGCACAGCTCCACCATTCAACTTATAAGACTCACACAGCTCACTCCCTGGATTTGCTCAGACAAGGGCTGGCTATAAGATCAGATTATTTTGAATTGATTATTTATACATTTCACTCACCCACCTATATGGCAACACAGTTTCTTTTGAATGTAAACCATTTATTTATTTATTTATAAGAACTTTTTTTGCCTCTTAGGAACTAGTGATCAGCAATCTCAGGAAGCCAAGGTATTTAAAATGTTGCACCCTTCCTTCAGTCCTTCTCATGAACATGACATTCTTAAACATATGATTCTCAGTATTAAGACAACATTTTTGTGTATATTGGAGGGTGCTGCTGTTGTTCTGTTCAGCTCTGCTTTAACTTATATTTTAAATTCTTGGGGTAAAAGTCCTTTTTTCTTGATGTCCTTTCACTGTCAGCTTTCTGCAGCTGAGAAGAGTAAAACCTTGGAGCTTTTTACAACGAGACGAAATGAATACAGAATAGCCGCATTGACTTGCAAGAAACATGGAGACATCCAGCAGGCAAAACAGTTTTTGGCAGTTTCAAAGGTGAAAGAGTGAACAATTACCCTTTTCTTGAATAGTTATTGTGAGTTTTTCTTGCATTCCTTGTAGTCCTTATTACACATTTGTGTGATTAAAAATGTGTAAAACTGAATTAAAAAGGGCATTTTTTTTACATTTAATCGTTTTTTGTGTTACATTTATTTGTAGAAAATAGATTCAGCCATTGAAATGCTAGGAAGAGATGAGGCAGTGGACAGTTCACAGCTTCCACCAGTGCCATCTGTTCCCAGGACAAGTGAAATCTCAGGTATCTTGAAAGTTATAAATCTAGCATAGTTTAGAAGAAAAAAGCCTTAAATTTAGCCAGACAGGGTTCTTTTTTGTGTTACCTGCTGTAATTCTTCCTCTCAAGTAAGCACACATCTTTTTGCATAAGTATTCAGGACATGAAGCATCATAATTTCTGTTTACTTTTAAAGGTGAGACTTCAATTCCCACAAAACAGGCCATCCCCCACCAGCTGATGGACAGTCATCTACAGCAAGCAAAGCTCAGTCTGCAGGAGGGCCTCCACCTCCTCCAAAGGATGTCATGGAAGCTCTGCAGCAGAGGTTGGACAAATATCAGAGTGCAACTGACCAGGCAAAGAAAGAAGGAAATTCCAGCAAGGCTCGCAGGATGGCACGCATTGTTAAGGTCAGAAGAATAATCGGAATTGCAAAATTTTACAAAAAAACAACCTTTATTACAAACAAAATAGGAAATTAAATGCATGGGGTTTTCTGTACATTGAGTTGTCTCTCTAAAATAATTAGTTGTTTCCATTTTGCAGTTTTTTCTATATCTTCATTTCTGTTATCATGAGAAACTGTATAATTTGTATGAATTTTACATGTATGTTTTTTGCTCAATTTTCCTTATCACACAACAATCATTGCTTAATTCTGTTCTAGAACATCAAAGTTTTAACACTGAATGTTCACTTTTTCTAGCTTTTTTTCTATTTCGTTGTTATTTGATATTCTCTCCTTTTATAAAAAATTATAGCAATATCAAGATGCCATTAAAAACCATAAAGCAGGAAAACCAGTGGCATTTGAAGAACTACCAACACCTCCAGGATACGCACCAATCCCGGGCGTTGCTGCTTCTGATGATACATCTGAGGACACCCCTCCTGCTTCTCAGGCAAGATATAATGCCCATACTATTGAGTTTATTACCTTGTGTTTTGCAACGAACGTTGTCCAGAATTCTTCTCTAATACTGATTTGTTTAGCGGAAGTACAAAGCTTAAGTTCAAGTTTGCATTATTGGCATTTTTTCAGTAAAACAAAGGAGATTATAGCGTGGTTGTGGCATTCTTTTTTTGTTACTTACAGAAACAAATCCTAAGTTATTGAACTTCTGTGACTTCTGTTGTACAAGAGGCTCAAGGGGGACGTGACTAACTTTTGTAAAGAAGGCTCTGAATAATCTTATTTCAGTAAACTTTACTCTTTATTGAATTCGCCAAGGTGACTCAACACGGTAACAGCGGATGAAACAGGACTTACGTGCCAATTGTTATCAAGCCCTTCATTACCCAACCAGCCCATGAAAGGCTGTACCACACCGCGGGGGTCTACGCCCCCTACTCTTTACGAACAGCAGTCTGGGTTCTTTTATGCCCCACAAGAATCAGAACAGTGAAAGAGCTGTGAGACGGAGCCTACGGTTTCTCGTCCTTATCCAAGAAGACTGGAATGTCTAACCGTTTGTAGTTGTCACAACAAAGACAGCACATTCTCCTCAGTTATTTTAAGACCCTGAATGTTGGTCTTGTTGGGATTTGATCCACCGACTCGGTCGCAGGCGCACGGCCACTCCCTTCGCAACAAAGACAGACCATCCCTTATAAGTTACAAAACTGAACGCTTTAAACGAAGCTTTTTTCCGGCGATGTGTCTTTATGCTCATGGCATGTAATTTAGCTACTTATGGGAATTTAATGTATAACTTGATATATATTTCTAGATTCTAGTTTTTTTATCTAATTTATTGTATTATATCTTCTTATAATTGTAAGGCCCAATCCATTTTGAACACGATGTAATTAGTTTAAATAATTTTTTTTATTATTAATATCTATATCTTTGTAAAATAATTTCGTAATTCGCTTATTTCTAAGCGCGACGATTTTATTAATAAACCAGACTTAGATTTAGAACAGCTGTTTAAAATGAAAAATGCATGAAGGATGCATTGCAGGGAGATGCGAGAATACTGTGTGTCGGTTCCTGAACTTATGTCACATGATGTCATGATTAGCAGAATGCTCTGAGCAGAATAGGTGTACCAGTAAACAAAATGACGCCTTGACTGTGCTCTGATCTGTTGTAAAGCACGCACCAAGCAGCTAGTGCGCGAAAGACGTGTAGAGAGAAGTATGATCGAGACGTAGTCGAGTGTCCCCCCTACGTGCAAGGCTTCTATTTTTATTTTATGATAAAGAATCAGTTTCCTTCTAATTTTCAAAACAGTGTTTACCTCCCTGTTTTATACTCTCATAAAGCTCGCTTTTTCAGCCAATCAGAGTGCACGTTATATCTGAACTTACAGCGACGCTATGATATGGAATAACTTGCCCAAAAGCTCAAAAAATGCTGCATCCGTTGAGCATTTTAAGCGAAATATCAAGAAGGTAGCTGATATATCGGATTCCCAGGCGGCAATCATGTAAATCAGTTGTAATTAGTTTTAGTTTTTAAGTTAAGCTTAACTGATGATTTCCCGTGTTTAAATAAAGATTTACATACATACATACAACTAAACAAAAAAATCCAAAACCAATCGTATTGTGGGCTTGGCTTCCTGCATCATATCAATAACAATGATTAAATAAAAGAAGTTAACTCTGGTCAGGTTTTTTTTTGGGGGGGGGGGGGGGGGGTCCAGTTCGATATAACGTGGTCAGTGATTGGTTGAAAAAGCGAGCTTTATAAGAGTATAAAACAGGGAGGTTTTAGAAATTAGAAAGCAACGGATTCTTTATCGTCTCGTATTTCCCCCTATACTTCTTTCGCGCTCTAACTACTTCGTGAGGCATAGGTAAACACACTAAGTGTTACTTACTCTAGATTAAATTAACCTTAATACAGTAACCCTTTTACTCAACTGCTTGGACAGTCAGGTCTACCATGCTGAAAAACATTGGATCCAACATTTGTTATGCAATGTGTGAATTCAAACAGATCCCGAATATGAATGTTGGTATTTGAACTTTCAAGTACGTGTATGTACAATGAAATAATTTCTACCAAGTCTTACATCCAACTGTTTTGTGTTTGGACAGTTTTCTGAACCACCTCAAGCACCTGTTAGTCCTCCTACTGGTGTTGTGGCAGCCGCTGCTCCTGCTGCTGCTGCTGCTGCTTCTGTGAGTACTGCACGTCAACCCGCCTTTCAAGCTGTATCATCCATGAGGAAATCTCCTGGCCGTAATGAACAGCAGCTCAATTATCTGCTGGAGAGACAAAAGGAATTCAAGCAGGCAGCTTTGAAGTCAAAACAGCAAGGGGATCTGGAAGGTGCTAAGAACTATCTACGGATGAGCAAGGTCAGTTAGTTTACGCTTGTATTGCAAGCACTTTCTCAAACATGTGAAGAAAGTTTTTCAATAGTTACAAGGCCTGAATAAGTTTAAAAGAAAACTTTCCTTGGTACAATGTTAGCTGAATCAGTTTGATTATATGTCAGGGAATAAAGCTTTCATATACGTCATTCTAGACACATGCAGTAGTCGTTCGTATCAATTTCAGACACCTAACTAGAAATTTTCATGTAACATACATGTAGTCTTTGTTTTTCAGGGTCTTGATCGGATGATCTTGAATGCACAGAATGGACTAAGAGTCGACTTAGGATCGGTAATGAATCAAATGTTCGTTTTTGAATTTTTATGATATTCTGCATCACGGCCTTGCCTGTTGTTTTTATCGTCAGGCATTCATGCGGTACTATTTCGTTTCATGTTTTCTTATTTTGTTTTTCCTTCATAAGGTGCCTCCATCACCTTTTGTAGCTGCTAGACCTGCACCAAAAAGTGAGCTCAGTTTTGAGATGGTGGAAGCACAAGACTGTGATCCAACCCCACAGACCCCTGAAGAAATCTCAGAACTTTTTTCTCGTCTAGAGGATGCCCTTATTAAACAAATCGAGGTGAATTCTGGAGCATTGACTGTAGAGTAAATTTTATCGGCGGTTCATCATAAGAAATAGAAAAAAAGATGTTCTTCAACACCAACAATTTGTTGAAAGTTTAGTAGAGTTTCGGAACCCATCCGGATGCCTTGCTTTATCTGTTATTTGCTGGTTTTAGTAAACAACGTGTGAAAATGAACTCACTCATTTAGTACGTCATACTGTTGAGAATTGATGTCCATGCCTAACAAAGGCTTGTAAATTATACCATTGGTCCTCATTTTGAAGCAAAGGTAAATTTTTAATGTATTACGTATGGATTTGATTTATGTCAGAAGTCTTTGAATTCACAGATGTGTGCAAGAAATGCTGAACACTACCGAAAACTAGGAGATATAACCAACACTAAAAAGTAAGTCAAGATTTTTCAGGTTGTTTCCTCTAGATCCACTGTTTAGTTAAACGCAGAGTGTCTTAGTGACTTAAGATTGGTTCGATGGCAATTAAGATCCAAGTCAGGGCTTCTTGTTTTTTTGTTAAATGTTTTTGTTTGTTTGTTTTTCTGTTTCCATCCACTTTGTCCCTCTCTCTACTGTGCACCCTAGTGCACTGTAATTTTCAGGGAGTTATAATAACTCCTCTAGTGGGGCTAATTTAACTCCTTACAGTGGAGTTATTTTTCGTGGAGTTATTTTAACTCCAAAAAGGAGTTTTAAGAACTCTTTTTCAGGAGTAAAAGTGACCCCAGATATTGAGGAGTTAAAATAACCCCAAAAAAGGAGTTATCCTGTACCTAAAATTTTAACTCCACTTTCAGAGTTAAATTAACTCCAAAAAGAGTAAAAACAACCCCTGTAAGGAGTACAAGTAACCCCATTTCGGAGTAATTTTAACTCCAAGACTGGGAGTAAAAAGAACTCTTTTTCAGGAGTAAAAATGACCCCAAATTCGGAGTTAAATTAGGAGTTAAAATAACCCCAAAAAAGGGGTTATCCTGTACCTAAAATTTTTACTCCATTTTTGGAGTTATAATAACTCCCTAAAAATTACGGTGTGTTAATTATTTGCTATATAAACCACAAGGGAAACTTGGCAGACTGCGGTAGGTGATTCACGGTGGTGAATACTGCTGTTGAGGTTGAGTGTGGGACTGATGGTGGTCATGATGATGATGGTGATTATAGTAGTTACAGTGTATAACAGAATACTAATTTATTGCCTGAGGCTCGGTAAATATTCGCAATTGGTTGAATGACTGTTACTTAAAAGCAAGTATATTAATTCTGAGTTGAACAACAGAGATAAAGTATAAACTCAAGCTTCTAAGTTTAATCCAAAGACCTCCCTGTGCGACTTTTTTCAATTATTTTTCGAAGCTTTGAAACCATGTCAAAGAATTTACGTCTGGACCATGATGCTGTTCAGAGTGCAAGGAAACACAAGGATCCTCCACCAAGATTTCATTATGAAGATCGGTCATTCACCATTGTTGAGTGAGTAATAGATATACTTGTTTCCCATAACGGGGCGAAAGTTCATGTAATACTTTCTGCACAAAATAACAATGTGAACATTGGTTTCTTTATTTTATAGTTCCTTTCCGGATCTAAGTGACTCGGAGGTGGAAATTAACATTGTGAGAGGGCTCAATATCCCCCTGCCTTCTGGTAGGCCATGATATTTGTCATTCTGTGTGATAATATGTGTATTTCTTTGAGTTTTTTGCCTTGTGTCTTGTATAAGTTGAGTATCCTTGCATCGTTTTTCTTCTTTTTCAAACAGGTTATCAACCAAAAGACATGTACACTTATGTATCTTACGAATTTCCATATCCGAGTGTAAGTATTTAAAACACCAACCGCTATCCGGCATAAAGAAGTAACGAGCTATTTTCTTTCTAGTTCCCCGTAAGTTATGAGATGAAACGACATCCAGAAGTAATCATAACGTGTGATGGTTATTCAGACAACTTTGTTAGCGGTACATGCGCATGCGCGGCAAATTAGTTTTAGTGGGACCTTTTTCTTTCCTTATAAGGTGTCAGCAAAATCATTCAGCTTTTAGAAATCTTACTGCAATGCAATCAGCTCGGCTGGCCGTCCCTGCCGGGCTGTGTTAACGGCTAATTGATATGTTGTGTTACCAGGCGGATGAACCACAGACAGGCAGAACACAAACTGTTAAGCACTCGATAAATCCAGGTAAGCTATGAAAATTGATTATTCACCTCGTCAGCTGGAATCAAGATATTTTACATAAGAACTAAAGAGTTTGCTCGAGAAATTTTGTCCTCTTCGTTTATTTCTTTGTAGAATACAATGAAGTTTTTAAAGTTAACATAGATAGGAAAAATCGATCGTTAGGACGCATATTCAAGAGGCAGCCAGTCAAATTTGAGGTGAAATATGAAAGGTAAGTATTTGTAGTGTTGTACTGTATATGCTACAGGTCAAATTTGATTTCAGGTTAAATTCTTCTCGTTCCCTTTGTCTCTTAGGGCTAGGAGACAAAGGAATTGAGAATCAACCTAAGTTAAATCAAATTTAACCTGAAATCAAATTTGACCTGTAACACATACAATAAATCTCGTAAGTTAACTTGTCAAAACTCCATGCCACCTGTAAGAACGTCATGGGAAACATTTTTTGCTTTTACACTTTAAATATTATATATTCAGTTGAGAGAAGCAACGAACTGTTCTTTGAAAAAAAACTGAAAGAAAACGAACAAAACATTGTTTTGAAAGCTGTTTAGTAAGTTCACACTGACTCCAAAGCTCTCGATAACGACCGCAAGAATGTGCTGCTCGATATTCTGAAGGATGTTCATGATACCGACACAGAATTAATAGAAACCGCTCTACACAGCATGATAAACAGTACCAGCGAACTTTTTCTTTTTTCTATACTTATTTAAGTATTGTTAGGACAGTCTCAGATACAGCTATTTCGAGAAAGGTTGTCGGAAAAATGTGCACGCGACAATCCCGAAATGTAATATGGGATATGATCAATACACTGTTCCTGACACTTTAGCTGTCGAACCCACATTTGTTGCTTTCCTTTAGCACTCACAAACATACGTCCACGGCCTCTTGAGCCACTTTTTCAAATTTCTTTGAAGAACAGTGAACTTCAAAACCACCCACAATACCTTTCGGGATTGTCGCGTGCACTTTTTCCGACAACCTTTTTCAAAATATCTGTATACAAAACCTCTCTCATCTATCTTGTCATATTGAACGTCACAGCAGGTATTCACTGCTCAATAGCTGGTATTTAAATGTTCATAGCTAAGGATGTCTACAAACAAAGGTTATAGCGACATTACACCACACAGTAGTAGTACTTAGAAGGCTTTCCATTAGTTCAATCAAGAACTCCAGTCAATAGAGGGTGTACCCTGAGCCAGATCATTGGCTGACAAAGCAATAGAGTTAGAGTTGTTGTTGATGGTAAAGGAAGACGGAGATGCTGTTGTTGTTATTTTTCCAGGGGATTCCTAAAAGGTGACAAGGCCTTAGGACAAGTACAGGTCAAGCTGAGCTCTTTCGAGAACAAGTGTGAAATCCATGACTGCCTAGATGTAAGGAGCGTTCTCTAATTTTTAAAAGCAAACCTTTAACTTTTTCTGGTGTTGACTACTTTTGAGCACATAGTATTTCAGCTTAAAGTCTGCTCACAAAAAAACTTATCACCTACTTAACGTCGCTACTGCGGTTTTGTGATAATTCACAAAGGAAATTGGTAAACTGGTATGTTAAAAGAATGAAAATGGCTTGCTCTCAAAGGTTTCACGTTCACCTTAGTCATTTCTCACATGTTGCCCTGCTGTCTCCCCAGTTAACTACCCAACTTCCTGTTTCTTGCCCTGAAAGCCCCTCTCAAAATTATCTTTCGTAAAACCATAAGCGGTGTATCGCACAGCAAACCTTTTTGGTCAATGGTTTAACTTTGTAAATCGGGCATAATTATTGTAAAATCATCATATGTGTAAGTGGGATATGTTTGAACAGGGAACGAAAGTGTAATTCTCATTGGTATAAGGGCAGGACAGTTGTATAAGTGTTCTAACTCCGGTGGAACTTAAATGAAGTTGGGTTGCTTTGCATTTAGCTTATGGACACTGATCGCGGACGCAAAGCAGTTGGAGGAAAAGAACCACTTGAAAAGACGTGAAAGTTCATATTTATTTATTTTTATTTATTTTATTTGAATCAAAAAAATATAGAGAACCACTTGTGGAAAAAGACGAGGTTAAAACTATGAGCTTGAAAAAAGAGGAAATGGCTAAGTGATTGATGTTTTCATCTTACTTTCAGTTTTTCTTAAAAGAGGAGAGGGATTGAGAGTTGATGATCTTGTTGTCAAGTGAATTAAAAACTTAGGCCCTTTGAAAAAAGGGCGAGAACTCTAAAATACGGGTTGGTTTTCTTGTATTGTAAGAGTGGAAATTCCTTTGAGAGAAATCTTTCTTTGATGAATGAATTTTTGCAAGAATACATAAATTGGCCCAGTTGAAGCAAATGGATATCATTAAATTGCATTAAAATGTGATTTAAATTCCTCAATTTCGATGTTAGCAGAAACAAATAGTTGAAACAAATACAACAAGAGAAAACATGATGTATTGGTGTTATTAATTGTGTGGTGAGTGTTAGAACGTACTTCCGAGACAATGAAACATTTTAAAACTCGAACTGAGACAACCTTGTACTGGGCATCCAGCTACGCGTTATGGCGTTAACCTTTTTGTTTATCGTAATAACAAAGATTAGCTGTAAAATGCCGGATCGGTCGGCCACTTAAATGCTCCACTCTCGTACGAATGCGTCATCACTTTCTCTTCAGCAACTAGCTCGTTTATCTGCCGTGACGCGTCAAACTTGATTGCGAGAAGCAATTTGTTTTTGCAGGTTTAGGGTACAGTTCATGGTCTCCGCTATGAACTGAATATTATGGTAGCTGCACTCCTGTCATTACATTTGATCATTTTTTTTCTCTCTCTTTTATTGTATTTACAGACAGCTACTGTACCCAGGGTAGGTATCTGATCTCTAGCAGATTAATGCATGCTCAAGGTCTTAAGAAACTCCCACAAGCCTGCCGCACAGTGGCTTCACCTGGCTATTTGACATCTAACTTTTCTTGGAAAAATTGAGAAAAAGAAAACGGTGCGCTGTGAGCTGCAATCACATGTATCTAGCGCCTTTTTTTGTCCTTGACTATTTCTATGATAGTCGTACGATTGTCCTCTGTAATGCCTGTGTTTCTTAGGTATATCTAAATTTTTAAATCGATGTCAGTGAATTTCCTGTGCAAACCCGCGCAGTTTTAAACGCCATGAGATGGACCTTGTTATGAGTGTAATTAATCCTTTCTTTAATGTCTTTGTCTTGTTTTAGGAACCTGTGAAAGTATCACCAAAGCCTGGCAAAGTTACAAGAGGACCAGAGTAAGTAGCTACTTTACATAACGTTTTTTAAGCTAATAGTCACCGAAGAATGAGCCGTGTGTCAAAACTGCAGGGTTAAAGACATTGAAAAGTAAAAAGAAAAGAAACTGAAAAAACGAAAACAATCCAAGAACACAAAAGACAAGATATGTTGGCAAATTACCTTGCGTGTTTGATTTTCGCTCTAAAATTTCCACCAAAAAGGCAATTTTCCCTTAGTTAATTCTGGCTTTATTGATATTTCAACTACTTTACTGGCTGTGGCGGGTTCCTTTGTTTTCTTATTATCGGCTTTGTAAGCAATGACAGTGCTTCTTCCGGATCCATTTTCTCAATCGTCCCAATCTTTCCCAAAATCAAGGTGATCGAGTTGATCAGGAGGATTACATCAGGCTTTACTGTGACCTCCAACTCACTACCTTATATGGTAACCAGGTTGTATCGTGACCTACCATTCACTGCCTTATATGGTAACCAGGCTTTACGGTGACCTCTAACTCACTACCTTATATGGTAACCAGGTTGTATCGTGACCTACCATTCACTGCCTTATATGGTAACCAGGCTTTACGGTGACCTCTAACTCACTACCTTATATGGTAACCAGGTTGTATCGTGACCTACCACTCAATTCCTTATATGGTAACCAGGCTTTGTTGTGACCCTACCGCTTACTATTTTATATGGTAACCAGGCTTTTGTGTGATGGCTTCCACTCATTGCCTTATATGATAATAGGGCTTTACTGTGACTTATCAATCACTGAGTGCCTGATATGGTAACCGGGCCTTGGTGTGACCTTTTCCTGATATGAGCATCACACGCCATATTGATATGAATTGTCCTTCTCTATTGGTTTTCGAAACTGAAATACCCATTCTACATAGCCAAGACAGTACCAAGCAAGTAAAACTCCACGGGGGCACTGTGTTATATATACATTACATTGTCAGTGCTTCGTCTATCCACTTTTTCCGTTCCATTTTCGGGTTTGTTTAGGATTGAATTGACTGACGTGTGATATATCTGGCGAGTAAAACAATTAGTTCAGGTTTATTTAAAATTCTGTCCTATCAATGTTATAACGCTTGTTTGCCGGCACTGCTTTTACCTTTTGAACCTGATGAAAGCTGTTTGTTTTTGTTAAGTTTTGTATTTTGGGGACAAACTTTATTGCGCTATCAATTCTGACAATAAAATTAAAGCAACCGGAAATTGATTTTTTTTTTTTTGCTGCCTAGGATGCTCTAGCTAAACCGTTAAATCCTGTTTTGCTTGGTACTAAATGAAAGGCCTTTCCTGTGGTACTCGATCCATTGTTTTGGATATGGTACAGTTTGTAGCTTTAATTTGATATCTTTTTGTGCAGCCTAATAAACGTTGCTTGAGTATTGCACACACTCAAAAGTTAGAATCATCTTGTACTGCATGATGGATAGTGCTAAGATATAAAACCGTTTTATTAGCTTTGGATATATTATTTATTATATGATTCATTTAAAACTCACAAAACCAGGTGTAATTCCAATATGGAAAGAGCGAAATGTAAGTTCCTTCTCCTCGTGACAGTACAAGTCAGTTCTCTCACTTTCCTGTGCACTTACTGGTTTTGAGAGTGATAATTCAGTCCTTTTGATTTCCTTTTATTTCACTCGATTCATTTTTCTCCTCTTCTTCTCTTTCGTTCTTAGCGCCAAATCATCTGTTTGTTCTGTCACGTGACCAGTTAGTGGCCAATAGGATGAAGGAATGAAGATCATCAGACTGAGAAGTGAAATCATAGCTTTCTAAATGAACATAAAACATGAATATAGCGTGCAAAATAATCAGCACTTTGATGGTCACACTATTATATGAACCGTTATGTGTCTTTCTTTCGTTCATGAAAAGTCCTCATATTGCCAAAGACTTACACAAATTACAGGCTTGTAAAAGGTGTCATCTAGGAGGCCAAGAAATATTTGGCTATATTTCCATTATCTTGGGACCACTGAATGATAGAAGAAAACAAGCTGTAAGATTTGTATAGATTTTTTTTCAGTTTTTTGGCTTATCAATGAGGCGGTTTAAGATACGTTTGTTTTGTCTTAAAACAAATGTCAACCTGTAAAAGTAGGATTGGTGCACGAAAAAGCCATGAGCTGATGGCGTTTTTAGAGATTATGAATTGCAGCTGGTACTGCTTTTGTAGTTTTTGTAAAATTGTAAATAATAGGCTGGTCCTTCGTTCCATTTTCAAATTGTAATCGTGAACGGCTTGTTTGTGGTTTTGTCGGTTCGTGCTTTTTGTGTAAATTAGATTATCTATTATGCAAAAGTGTCTTGACAAAATGTCCCAAAAATTCCATTTTAAAAAGTGGTAATATATGATTTTAATAATTGAGACCACTCAGACTTAAAATATTGGCCTTCTTTAATTTAAGTAGCTCTGGTCTCAAGATCATCTCGAAGCTCCTTGAGGAAACAAAAATATGTCATTATTAAACACCGTAGAGGTTCAGGTATCATACTTTATTCATGTAGTGGTAGATTATTAAATGAAATCTTTTTGTAGAGGAATCATTGTAAATTTTTTAACATTTTCCACGTTGACGATGAAAATATTAAACTGGGTTCCTAAATTTCCACGTTTGGAACTAGGATTTGTTTCTTCACTCCATCATATTCTTTAAAAAATTTAAAGAACAATTAAGTGTGTGTATTGATTTTATTGAGTGCATCAGCAGTGTGATACTCAACCTTGATGATCACTGCTGGAATTGTAGCTGTTGTCCCGCTGTTTTTAAGACTACGCTCCTCCGTTTTAGCCCATGCAGGCATCGATCGGATGATCTTTGAGTGCCGCTTCATCTTGTTAGGCCCCACTGCTCTTCCTCTAGATAACCACTAGCCGTCTGACTTTTGTCTCTTTGTTTTTTACTATCGTATGAATGCATCTCGAAATAGGCCCTTGCAGGCGCTGCCTGTCAAATTATCACTTTTCATTTGCCAAAAAAGGGCAAACGAAAAATGTCCCTTTCCCTTTTGAGTGACGTCTTGTTACAACATTGATTAGTTGTCTTGAGGGAAAGTGGGGATGAAGCTTGACTTTGTCTGAACCATAGGATTATCAGTAAGTCTTTTCTAGGGTAGTTAGCGAGGTGTTGGAAAATCAGGCCCGAGTTGTGTTAATTTAGGACAGCATTAATGATTATCCACCAGATAAGTTTCTGTCCGGTAAATAAGTATGATGGAAACCAGTTTAATACTGATTTAATGAGTGGTTTTGAACAACTGGAGTCTGCTTGGTATCGTAAAGTTTCTGGCCCTTCGGTCATATGTAATTTTAGAAAAATATGAGGAGGAGCCTGGGCCTAACCCTCGTTATAAATACCATACCATAACATAACATACCATACCGTACCGTACCATACCGTACCGTACCATACCATTCCATACCGTACCGTACCATACCGTACCGTACCGTACCGTACCATACCATACCGTACCATACCATACCGTACCGTATCGCACCGTACCATATCTTATCCTCCACCCAACAACCAGGCCAAGCCAGTTATTCGAAGGCCGGTTAGCGCTAACCCAGGGTTAAATTATAATCCGGATTTTATTTTCTTTTATTCAAAAGCATCTTTTTCTTTTAGAGAAAAAGAATTTCACTGAATTTGCCTTTCAAGCCTTCATATCTGATGTCAAATTTCATCATAACCTCAACCCAGCTTTGAACAACCCGGCCCTCAGTGCTCCAGCTGTGGTGTGCGCGAAGGAGCAAACGCGGATTAAACGGCGCGTTATCCAGCTTTCTGTAAATTCTACCAGTAGAGCTTATCCAAGCCTAACCTTTATCAATATTGTTTAACTTTTGTTTCTTTTCTTTGCTGTTAATTCAGCACTCAGATGGAAACTATCAGTTTGGAAGTATTAAAACTGGAGAAACAGATGGCTGAAAAACAGGTATCTTAATATTTTTGAAAGCTGATTTATGATATTCTTCGTTAATAATTGGTGAGACACAAGGACTACCCTGTCCTATCAGTCAAAATCAATCCGTCAATCATTTATTTTGTATTAACAACTGCATCGCTAAAATGGAGGTTGGGTGCCTGAAGTAAAAGCCAGCCCCTTTGTTGCCCCCATAAAACCATGAGCCCCCCACACCAAAGGAAAGGAACAGGCAACACTGACAAACATCAGTGGAGGAAAACCCAACAAGCCTAAAAATGGGCGACAAACCCATATAACGCGCCAAGGAATCAATATTTACCGGGCATATTTACCTACCTCTTAGTTGTTAACTCCTTTAAATTGCATTTAAATTCATAAAATTCGTTTATAAACGGAATGTGTATAACTAAAATATATAATATTTACGTATTTATCTACCTAGAGTATATGTTGTCCTATTTACAAACAAACCTATCCATATCAAAGGCTGCACAATACAAAAATCATAAATATTTCCAAAAATTATATTTACGAAATTTGTTTTTAAGATTAATTATTTCTATTCCATCGCCAGAAGCTCTTCAAAATAGATTCCTCATAGAATTTCGATAGACTGCGTTAAAACTGTGAAAGGTTTGAACCCAGGAGTCATTTTATTTGTAGGTTGAGTATGATCGTCCGAGGGTTGCAGTCCAATACACTCGCACTGTAACGGTCCGTATTATTCATGTTACGATCCCTACGCATCGTATGAACTGAAAAAAACTTCATACAGCCTGTAAAGGGGGGGTTACCGTCCGTAACTTGCATCTCATCAGTGGGGCTTAGAATATTTATATTATTGGTTGTCTGACAATTTAGCCGTGATTTTATTGGCTATGAACACTCATAATGTCATTGGTGCGTTTCGATCCGTCTATTGTAAACAGTCGTTTATTGTTAGTCAAATTGTCGGTTGTCCAGTCATTCTCTAGTAGTTAGTTTTGCTTGAGTCCTTCAAAATAAGTCGTTTGTACGGTGCCGGTAACTGTTGACTACAGCGCGGACTTTGTTCTACGAAACATTCACAGTGAGCTTTGTATGGCTATATTGATGTCGATACTAGTTTTGTTAAGAGTTTAAGTCACGGTCTTACTTGACGATCCCAATCTAGTGATACAAAGTACTTGGAAACGCCCTTTTGTAAATCAGTTACTTATTAATCCTTGTGACTTTCTCAACATCAAGATTTTTAAGACCAGAATGACTTATGTTAGCAAATGTTTTTGACCCCGGTAAACCGTGTTCATAGAGACTACCAGCCTACTTACATCGGTGAAACCGGCAGAAACGTTAGTGCGCGACTGACTGAACACAAACGAGCGACAAAAATGGTGACGTCAACAACACATCACTGAACACCTTTTACACACGAAACGTCAAATCGACTGGGATTCTGCCACATGTATTACGTATTCTACAGACTACTATCAATGACTCACTTTAGAAAGTTGGTTTACTAACTTTGAATAAAGGCCACTGAATCATGGTCAACAGTTACCGGCACCGTACAAACGACTTATTGACTACGAGATAATGCCTGGACAACCGACAATTTTACTAACAATAAACGACTGTTAAACTGTGAAAATAGACTGATCGAAAAGCACCAATGACATTACGAGTCTTCATAGCCAATAACGTCACGGCTAAACTGACAGACGACCAATAACATCGCGACTTAATTTACCAATCAGATCAATAACCCGAGTATAATACCATCAACTGACGTGATACAACTCACTTTGACTCTGAAGATGACTACCGCACAGGTTGTCGAAACGTCAGTTACTGTCAACAACAACAGTCCTATTCAGGACTACGTTCACCCGGACGATCATACTCAACCTACGTAGATTGCGTTAGTTGTTCACAAGACCTTATAAAATTTGGTCTAAACCGAGTTCTTGTAAATGGTATTGTGAAGAAACTATAGAAAAAAATCCTCGTTTGTTTGAAGTGACATTTTGTTCCTGACGTAAGCAGAAGTAAAGTTTGTTTTTGATCATAATCCTTTACTGACGTATAACGTCTGGACTTTGACCTTTTTGTTCCATCAATTGTAAGGGGACGCAGAAAATACCACACTGCTGTTGGAAAAAAATTAGGGGACGTATCACACCCTGATATTGTGGCCGGCCGGTCGGTCAGGCTGTTCACAAAATCAACGGTGGGGGAGGGTGAGTTCACAGATGATCTGGGTCTTCATTGTTGACGTCCCTGCTGTAAAGTAGACTCTTTGTTGTTTGCTTATTCATCTTTTTATGGGATAACCAAGTTTATTTAAATGTTGTTGTTGTTTTTGTTTTCATTGTGTATAGATAGCTGTTCAAAAGTCCAAAGGTGAAGTTCCCTCTCCAGCCCTCCTACAACGCTGTAAACTGTGCCAGCAGAAGATAGTCGAGGTGGAGAAAACTTTGTCAGGCGCTGACAGAAATGTGTTGCTGAGTTAGTAAAACCTTGTTAGTGTTTATATCAACTGAACTGATAAAACGCGGGAAGGACTATGGCAAAGTGATCAAAATCCTGCCGCTCTTTCTCTGTAGCCAGACGTGTCTCTCGCTATGTATTTTTGCGCAAAGGACGGTAGGAAGATGAATGTTGTCCACCCCCCTCCCATGATGACTTGCTATGTTCAAACTGATTGCCTAATAACTTTACTGATGGCCGGACAGGATCACCGGGGTACTCCAGTAACTTTGAGCTGCATTTGATAATCAAATGATCTTTAAAACTAATGAGCTCATCTTTTATTACCTCTAGATTATATTCACCAACTTCAAAATAAAATTCCTCAAGAGCATACTAAAGCCCAATTAGCACTCAGATCTGGAAATAAAAGTGAGGCCCAGCTTTGCTTAACCAAGAGGAAGTTAATGGAAAACGAGGTAAAATTCGTTGATTGCAAGAATTGACTTTGACAACTTTCGTTCATATGGAAGAATTTTAGATGATTCGTTTTCGGACTTTGGTCACAGTCGCAGTCAACCCTTACCTTTATTTTGGGAAACGCGGAAGTCAGTGGCGGGTAAACTTTCATGGAAGAAAAATATCATTGGTAACCTGTATGTTTATAGTGCAATAATTTAAGTTCCCAATTCTCTACGATGATCGCAAACGGCAGGTTCTTTTGACAGATAATCGCTATGATCGTTATGTTTTCTCTATTTTTCAGGTTTCATCTATCAAGTCGCAACTTGGGATACGCTAGGATTTTCTGACTATTACTAAATTTGCTACAAAACTTTAATTCCTCGGTTTCGTTCTTCCTCGGGCTGTCAAAATTTCCTAGACCGCGCCGGGTGCAGACTACTGACACTAGAGACAGTAAACAATTGAATCGCAATCAAGTTTGTATCGGCTGTCACCTGACTCGTCCCCAGTCTATTTGGATGTGCGAATTGCAGGCGAATGACGGAACGCGTAGTCCTGCGTAGCTGGCGGTTTTGTTTGTCGAGCAGGAATGGGGCTGAAACAACGAGAAGCCTTTTTGGGTAGTCCATTCGCCGGTGGCGTACGGACCATTTTAATTGGATTCTAAATACGTAAATCATACATTTTGCTAATTTCCCAAGGGGGAAACTCAAAGGGACTGACGCTGGGTAACCGTGAAAAATGGCAGTTGAAGCACTAGCTGCGGCCGTATTGGAATCCTGCCTTACGGTCACCTCGGTAATACAGTCACATAAAAAAAACCCTCGTTAATACGGTCACCCGTTAATACCGCCAAATTTTTTTGGCCCATTGGGAACCGTATTAACTGGGTTCGACTTTATAAGAAAGAAAGGGTTGTTTACCATTTTACTATGGGGTCGAAGAGACGTAATGGCCGGTTTTTTTTGCTCACGAGCATTGGTAAGACAGTGTATTCACTTACCTGAATTGTCATCTTCTTTTTTCACGCGAGAAGCGTGAACGGCGAAGAGAGCGAGAGGGGTAACAGGAAAAGGGAAAAAAAAGGACCACCTTCCGTCTCTCTTTTCCCCTTCGCATCACTTCTCGTGCCAGTGCTCCCCTTGACCGCTCTTTCTGACTCCTTCATATTAATAGGAGACTGAGAAACATCTGGGGACGAGTCAGTCTCGTTTCATCGCACGGAAATAACGAGAACATTTACAAAAAAGATACAGAAATTAAATAACATACATAAGTAAAGAGCTTTGCATTTATTTAACCTTATATCCTCATATCTCTATCCAGCGGTAAATTTTTTTTTATCAGTAAAAGCGAAGTCTTCCGTCTCTGATGTGTATTCTTAGGGAACTTAAGATAGAGACGTTAGGGAACTTAAGATGGAGACGTTTTCGGGGCGACGGCGACCGGACTGGCAGAGAAAGCCTAGAACTGAGGCAGCCGTCGCTTCCCGTCAAAATTCAAACATTAAGGTCGCGGTGAACTCAGGAGGACGGCGCCTTTAATTAGAAGAATACCGAAGAGGAAAATATGGCTTCACATAAAGAATTAAGAGAATAAATATTTGCTATGCAGACAACATTTATCGGATAAAGAGTTTCTTGTTTTGTGGGAAAATTATGAGTCGGGACAGTTACGATCCGTTCACGCTAAAAAAAACATGCGGGATGAAGCTGAGTGCAAGGCAGAATTTTGTGTTGAAAAAAAAAAGATCTCCACAGGCTTGCCGAAGCCTTGCAAATTCCAAGAACATTAAAATGCTACCAAGGAACCGTATTCTTAGTTTGGTATTGATGAACTCCTATATTTCAATTGTGTGTTTTAGTTCGCTCTTTTCGTTAGAATATCGTATAAATGAAAGGCATTGAAAATTATATAGAATAGTAGGTAATACCATGTACTAACTCGGCGTGGGAATACTGAAATAAAGTTGTTGCCTTTGTTGTTGTTGTTGCATGCAAGTATTTCCCGGGAATTATTTCAATACCAAACTAAGAATACGGTTCCTTGGTAGCATTTTAATGTTCCTGTAATTTGCAAGGCTTCGGCAAGCCTGTGGAGATCATTTTTTTTCAACACGAAATTCTGCCTTGAACTCAGCTGCATGCGGCATGTTTTTTAGCGTGAACAGATCGTAACTGTCCCGAGGAAAATCGGGATTTTTGGACTCATAATTTTCACACAACACGAGAAACTCTTCATCCGATACATGTTGTCTGCATAGCAAATATTTATTCTCTTATTCTTTATGTGAAGCCATATTTTCCTCTTCGGTATTCTTCTAATTAAAGGCGCCGTCCTTCTGAGTTCACTGCGATCTTAATGTTCTATTTTTAACGGGGACCGACGGCTGCCTTAGTTCCAGGCTTTCTCTACCAGTCCGGTCGCCGTCGCCCCAAAAACGTCTCCATCTTAAGTTCCCTCTTGTCTCTATGTACCGACTGCGTATGGTAGCTTATGGTTGGCATTCTTGTTTTTTGTATGTCTGTTTCAATTTGTTTGTTTTTTTTTGGGCTTTGTTTCTGCGAAGGTTCTCGGATTCTGTCACCATCATGCAGCTCTCGTTATACCTCGAAGATTTTTATCTTGTAAATTGGCCATAAAAATGGATTCCGCCTTTCCCGGCTTCTTTTCCCCGGCTACCGTCGATAACCGCTTGATAGACAGCTGGTGCGGTACATTAACATCATTAGACTATCATTTGACTGTGACAGCGGGTTTTTAACTTTACTCTTTATGATTCAAGATAGGTCCCGGAAATAGGTTGACTCCTTAAAATTCACTATTACATTCTTGGCTTCAAAATATGTATTTTTTATAATGAAAAAATAAGCCTATTTTAATGAGGCTAGTCCATTTACGTTTTGATTCCGGAATGATTCATTGCCAAAAACAATTCTTGAAGGGCTCCTTTTTGCAGAAGATGCTTTGAAAAGAGAGAAAACTGAAAGTACATACCTGTCCAATAGATGCTCTACCAAACCACAGCTAAGCCGGCTCCATGAGACGGTGGCCGAGTATCTGAATTTGGATTTCGTTCGTCTTTTATTTTGCGACTCGCCTGTTATTTTAATACGTTCCATGATATTTAAACAGTCCGCACCGCACTGATATACACCTGTGTTTTTCTGATCACCGATATACATGAACTTATAATAGAGGATTTATTTACTTTAATTAAAACTACAAAAGAATAAACTTTGATTGCAACATGTTAACTAATGACAATGCGGGCCCACGGCCAGCTTTTTTTACGGGAAGGCGCTATCCAAGGAGGAGACGGATCAAAGGAGACTGGTGGAGCAAGTCTCTAGAGGGGTAAACTTGGTTGTCTAAGGCTGCATTACGAGCGTTTTTGAAAGACATGGGTATTTATCAAACTTTTAAAGTTCCAAAGTGACTTATTTTCAAACAGACTACTTTTTTACAATTTTTGAGAATGTCAAAGTCCGTCACCATTTAAAAGGAAAAAAAATAGTTGTAAGTTGTAAATCCGTATTTTTCGCTAGGTTTGCCGCGTCATGATCTTTCATTAGTTTGTCAAGCTCAAGCCTCCTTGGTGGGTGCCTCTTGAGAAACAGATCAACGACTTCTTGCACATCAATGTATGTTACATAATGAATGAGTATAGGAGCAAGTGGAGAGAGCCTCTCTCGTGCCGCGAATATTAATTTTGGACAAAGAAAACGCCGGTTTTTCTAAAATATCCTCAAAGACAAAAGGCTACACAAAAAAGAACAATGCATACCTTTATCTCCTGCGTAGAAAGCGTTTCCGTTTGGTTTCGGAGCAAAGTAAGACCGAGGAATGGGATTTTTGGTTTTGGCCGTGCGAAAAATGGAACGAGAGCCACTTTTCGCGCGGTCGACCTGGAAACAGCCTCCTCCTCAGGCGCCTCGGTTTTCCCAATGGTTTTCCCAAGGTAGAGGCGAACGACTGGTGATGAACCGCAAGGGACTATGGGAAGGGTCACCCGTTGTCTCCTTCCGGCCTTCCTTTGCGCGCACATTTTCACCGAGAGAGAGAGAGAGACGTCCGGGCGCGAGGCAGGAACGGAAACGTTTGCGACACAGGCTATCACATCTTCTTCAAGCACAAGAGGATCCAAGATCCACCCCTAGTAATTGGCTGTTAAGCAGCCAATTAGGAAACGAGAGTTTCCGATCCTTCATACGACCGATAAATTCGCAACGACATCATTAACCCAGTCAGAACGGTTGTACTGGAAGGAATCAACTTTACATTTAATTTCATGAAGACAACGAAGAGAATCAAAGAGACGACTACAACTCACCCTTGTAAACCTCGTGAAATCAACCTAAATCAAAGATTCTCAACATTCAAATCCATGCGTTAGAATATCCCGATGTATGTAGAGTCAAAATAGTTTAAAACTCTTGGTACAAGAGATTTGTAACAAAACTTTTGCGTATTCTCATTCCGCCGGAACACGATTAATCAAACGCACTCTTAGAATCAAAATCCCGATAATTTGTAGCCTCTGCTTGGGGGGGAATTCCATTATTTAGATCCTTACAATTTTTTACAAGACTCAACACAACAGTTGACAAAACAACCTATTTAAACAAATACAGTCAAACCTTTCCTAACAGTCGACACCCCATCATACCGGCTGCCCCGCGGTTCCGCATCACACCGGCTATTAAGTAGTTCCAGTACAGTTTTCTTGGTTTCAAAGAGGACAATTTCCACTTCTTCGCAGACGCCTCTGAGTCTGTGATGCGGATAATAAAATTGTCTCTTTTCAATGGTCTCTGCATCAAGGAGGTTTTGACTGTCATGTATCGTGTTATTCGAACGAGCGGCGGTATTAGAAGAATCAACCAAGCCCAGTTAGAGGTGTAGCCGCGAAGTAGCCTTTGATCAAGACTTGGATTATTGACAGTACAATGGACGCCCAATATTTGATATGTTTGGCACGACGATTAAACGGGCTGTACTTCCGTCGGTATGGAGCGGGCACTCAAGGAACTTTGCTGCTCGTATTGTCGCTGTTTCGCAGTTAACGTTTGTTTTAGAAGAAAGAAAACCTCAGCAGCCTGAGTGGCCATGGCACCGGTGGGGAAGCGTCTTGCCGAGACGGGTTTGTTCAGCTGAACAGAGTATGGTTCAGGGACTTGAGTCTTGAATAGGGTAAACAATTTCACCATTTAGCGTCTTAAACAGGGTGTCTTTCTGAACAGAAAGCCTTGGAAAGAGTTAAATCTTGGCGATGAGTGGTCTTCATGTGTGGTACCAACAAGTTTATTTCAACCTGAAAATCTAATTTCATTATGTTAGTTATAAAATTACTGTGTGCGAAACGAGATAAATCAGGGTCATAAGCGACATGAACGACTTTTGTCTTAAACTGGGTTTGAAGGTCTCGGTGGCGCGGAACACCCCTACTTAATTTCCCTGGAGTATCCTCCCCGTTTTTAAGTTTGCACAATCTCGTCCCCAGGGCGCTTATCACTGGCAAAGCCAGGGAAAAGCGCACTGGGGACGAGGCTGAAGGTTGTAACGGTTGCCTCATCGGTTTGCCAAAACTTTAAAATAGTCAGTTTTCCTTCCAAACGTGAAGAGAAGTCATAAGAGAATCTCAAAAAGACACTTACTTTTTGCCTGAAACCGGAAGCGAAACGGAGTAAATTTAAACCAGGATGCAAAACCTACCTCTCTCATTTGTTTGTAAGAAAGTGCAAAGACGGATTTCAAAGGTGCGGAGGGAACATGTCGCAAGATTCAAAGAAAAATAAGATAAATAAAAAAAACTGAAATAATCAAAACTGTCTGTTTTGATTGATTGATTATTTATTTCTTTATTTTTTATTTTTTTCTTCGAAATTTGCAACATGCCCACACTAGAACCCAAGGGAGGGGGGAGGGGGTACTGCGGATTTCAAGATCGAATGGGGCAAAAATCAAAACCCAACTGAAAATCGTTGGACCAAAAAATCCCATGCCGAATTTCTGAGCCGGCCATAACATAACACTTTATTGGCTCTTTATTAGCATTCCCACATACAAAAATGGTATTGCTTTTAAACTATTAAAATTATAAATTTCATTATATTTAAAATAATCAAATAAATACATGATAGTATTTAATTAAAAGTTATAATTAGAAATCTCTATTTCTCATGCTTTTGTTTTAATGGAATAAAATTCTCTCAGTTGAAATGCGTCATAGCGCCAGTTTTTTACAAACATATGGATCAATATTGTTAAAAAGAAATATAACTTTTTCCGATTTGTTCAACTCTACCAATTTGGAGTACTTGGCTTCTACGTCTTGAGAAAAGTGTTGTCTTAAATTTTTATATAAATTGCATTCGAATAGAAAATGAATTTCATTCCCTACTTTATTCCATGAACAAAGCCGACATATCCTAAGTTTCTCAGGAATTTAAGGAAAATGGTATCTATCAGTTTCAATTCTTAACGTGTGATTACTAGTGATCGTAATTTTGCTACTGCCTGGCGATGTTGTTCGTTTTTAATAAGGTCTTAATATTCAGATCTACTGACATCAGTCTGACAAGTGAAATAGAAATTCAACTTTTTGTAAGATGGCAACATGTTCATTTTCCTTTTTGTTCTCGCTGAAGGTCTGATCTCAATCCATGGACTCAAGATAATGTATATTACATGTAAGCTAATCAAAATCAATTTTTGAATCTTTTAAGAAATATTAATATTAACAGCTTCAAAACCTTGTACTAAAATGAACAGTTTATGTCAACAATATTAAACATATATTCAAGAACTTGAGTTAAATCCGGTTTTGAAGGCCGCGAGCCCTCAGAAAGCCGAGTTTAAACAGTAACCAATATTGTCGTCGCCCGCGAAGCGCGCGTGCATCACGTGAACCGCGCGTGGTCTTAGCCAGATGCAAAATGCGATGCGCCATAAATAAAGAAATCATATATGCTTGGTGTCCGCTAATGACGTCATGTAGCGCTACGTCATGGAGCATTTTGCCTTTCCAGGCAACATAGACCTTGCCGCTGATGACCAGCGCATTGCCAAGTATTATTCATGAAAGGCTGATGCGTTTATACATCTATGAAACAATGTTTACAATCGGTGAATCACGAGCAATTTCCCATTCAAATGACACAGGACAACAAGCACAACAAGTGGTTGGAAATCCTCGATTTTCAACCGAAACTCCTCCAGAGAACGCCGACTAAAATTCATCGCGAGCGAAGACGACGACGACGACAAGAAACCACGCGCAAAGCACAGAGAACATCGCAAGGAGCCCAGCTCCTGGCATCGCTAAGCACAGCGAAGGCAACGTCGTTAACACAGTGACCACAAACATGTGCAGAGGCAGCGACAAAATACTACTGCGATTATAATCCGGAGTACCTCGAACCCAAAGCCCCCTCAACCCACCCCCCACACCCACACACACACCCCCAATGCCTTCACCGGGAACCACAACCGATTGGCCTGTCGGTTTGTTTTCTCCTGATTCACATGAAACACCCTGAAACACTGAAATATCTTTTTGGAAACCTAAGGTCTACGCTACGGTACAAGCTCAGGGTGTGTGAAACAGGTAGTCTTTCGCTTCTACAGGAAATGGACTGTTTCCTGTAAGTTCCTATCATATGTCATATAATGTTTGTTGGTACGAGATTAATATTTCCGATGCACGTGCGCTTTGTAATGAATAAAAGCTGGTAGTGGCCTGCCAAAATATTGACACATAAATAGAATTTATTCTCTATGATGATTTTCACGTTTGTCAAGGAAGGATTCTGAAGAAAATTTACTGGCCGTCTTTAATCTCAAGAGATGAGCCTTCCCATAATGCTTTCCGTACCGTTGTATTGAAATTTATGGATATACGAATGTGTTGATGCTGTGCTGCTGTCATTTACAGTCGATTTTCCGAAAACTCTGGAAACGAGTGTCCACTTGCGCTACTGATCATGCGAGTAAACACTTGGCAGAGGTTTTCTAGCGTATTGGACATGCACGGAAAATTAAAAACATCAAAAGCCTCCGCTAGACGTAGCTACGTGTTTATAGCCCAGCAGATTTCCCAGGAGTAAAGCTTATGCTTATGTTCCACATGGTTTATGTGCTGGAATTTGTAAAGGACACTTTTAGCGTTTCAGCTTGACACGTAGGTGATCTTTGATGTCTTGTCTGTTACACCAATAATAACACGTTCATTGAAAAGCGAGTTCACGCCTGGTTGCGCTACATTTATGCGATAAACATTTACATATCAAGAACCTCCCACAGGCTTATTTTCGGAGGTATATTTTATTCTCGAAGTAGTTCATTTAGCATAACTGCTTTGCTTCGCTCTGAGTGAGTTGTGCCTCAGAATGGTGTGCCTTTCGCCGAAATTGTACTTTTTTATTCTTCTTTGTACATGGATTTCTTGTCAGTTTTTTGTTCCCTCTGATTCCCGCACTTTGTTGAGACGGGTAAGCTTCTTGAATTATTGTAAAAGCAAATGATATGTCAATATTTTAAGTTGTAATGTTTCATAAAATTTGAATTTCGTTTTGATGTTGAGCATTCACGTGAGCTTCTCTAAACTCTGTTTCATTCAAGTTTATAAAAAAATATTTAAGCGTAAGCTTACCCGAGTGTTTATTTTAGGCGGCAGGATATGCAGAGGAGAACAATTCATCATCAAATAGTACAGAAGATGAGGCGGATCCATGCTCAGAAGACAAAAATGGATTGTATCCATGCTCATCGACGGTAAGTCAAGTTTTTAAATTTTGCTAGGTAGTTGTCCAAATGAGCTTGTTTGGACTTCGCCATTGCTGCACGTATTTCCATACAGTACACTGTTTCAGCTAATTCTAAACGATCTGCTGATCAGTAGAGAATGAAAAAATATTTATAGCTTATTCTTAGTTTGAGTTAGCCAATTCTTACTCGTTCTTCAAAAATCTGTAAAACAGAAGGCTTTCCGTGAAAGAACGGGATTATTATTATTTTATCTTACTGCTGCGATAAAGTTAAGATTGTAAGATGTTTACCGCCATATTTCGCTGTCCATTTCATCTCTTTTCTTTGTTAGCAAGGGAAGCGTGTAAACAAAATTATGATAATACACGCCCGCCTGGTGCCCGCCCTAGTTCAAGTTATCTTTCGGTTCCAGTAAGCTAACATTAAAAAACGGAAAATTAGTGGGTTTTCAGCCCGAAAATTTTGAACGCTGATATTAAAGTTTACATGAATATGACCTCATTTACTGCGTCTTGTCAAATTTGTAAGCTTAGCCAGTAGTAGATTCGTTCATGGTCAGTTTCACACCTATAATGGATGAGCTCTTTTTCCAAAATGTAAGCTTAAGTCCATGTGTTTGCCCCTAAAACAGTTTTTGCTTGTTGCTATCCCATGGATACCATTATCAAAGTGTCGAATAATAACTTGTCAAATTTAAGTTTGAAAACTTTAGTGCAGTTATCTCGGCTGCTGTGTACTGAAGCGTAAGAATATTGTTTTGCACTTTCCGAAGGGTGTTGGTTTCTAGATTTTACCATCCCATTTCTCGAGAATGTACGTGTTAAAAGCCTGGAGCCGCTAAAGTACCTTTAATGCTCGTACGGACTGCAAGGTTCACCAAAATTTGCAGAAGTTTAACCCCAACCTTGCAAATACCACGTACGTTTAATATTTTACCTGTTAGTTTTTTTCGCAATCTGAGAAGTAAGACCTTAGTTTGAATTTTGGTTTCCTACTTCCGATTGTATTTGTTCAGAAAAGCAAAACTTATTTAATCCAAAGGGTGGAAAACTTGACGCTTCCACGAGCCATTGAACTGGAACGTTTCAGTGGTTTATATTTTTTCCAGCTCACTGATCAAGACAAGACGCCTGCAGAAGAATAATGCAAAAAGCTTCTTTGAAATGCAAATGTTTCTGCCCGATTACCTATTGAACGCCTGGAACAAGCTAACTCAAAAAAGAACTGTCGAGTCAGGACTCGCTAATCATTCCCTTCACAACACCCCAAAAATTAAGTAGATTTGTTTATACAAAGTGCAGTCATTGCCAGCCACTTTCATCCTTTGCCTGACCATTTAAATTCCATGTTTTAAATGGTTTCATCTTTGTTGTTTGTTTTTATGCTCATTTAACCTCAGCTTGGCGTCAAACTGTAAGCTTGAGTGCACTCCTGATGAATCAACCATTGTTATTTGTGGGCTTTAAAATTTAAATGCCTAACGGTTCTTGAACATTCCACTTTTTGTGAATATATATTTTCTGGGGCTTTAGCCACACCCACACTTGGCCACAAATTAAATCAAGGTGAATATTAATTGTAAACTTTTGATGCTAACACTTAACCATAAATAAGTCACAAAAAAGGAGGGAAACTTAAATTGGCTGCTATATTTCTCAAAACTTAACAATAAGAGCTACCAAATATTTACTCAACTAATAGTGACAAATTATAAAATAAACAACTTGTCACCTCAGTTCTCCTTAAAAGTTCTTGGGTGTGTTAGTTGAATGTGTTTTTATTTGTGCAAGTGCATGAAACTAGTTTAGTAGAAATAGGTTATTGCAAAAATCTGGTGAAACTAAAAAGGGTCACCAGTGGGAATAAAGGGAAACAAGCCAAAGGGTGTCTTGCACCCCAACTTCCTCCAGCGCAAGAGGTGAGACGACAGACCACTGGGCTATGCGGACACCGTACAATTTATTACATATAATTAATAATCTTAAAGTATTTTTCTCTGCCATTCACACTGTTTGAACCTAATTTGGAGCTGTATTTATCACAAATTCAAATATACATTTAAGGAAAAATAGCTTAAACGAGTATTTCAAAGCCTTTTCGCATTATTTTCGTGTTATTCACTCTCTGGCTTTATAATGGCCACTTGATGAACATGCTCGTCTTTTCTAGCTCTCGCCGAAGATCGTGTCACCATTCTTTCAGTGTTTTAAAAATTTTCCTCTGCAAGGATTTTTGGCCACTTTTTGAATCAGGCATCAATGGACACCCAAAGTGCACGATGATGTCATGTTGAGTGGCGTCTTTCAGAATGTGTTTGTGGTTTGTTGCTTGGCAACTGGGGATACCAAACCGATAGAAAGAAAGATTTATGACCAAAGCAAAATCGCACTCCGCTTGTGATCCGCGCACGACAAAATTATAAACTTGCTTCGCTGCGAGAATTATAATTTATTATAGTGTCTCCAAATTATTAGTGTGTAAACACTAGAATGACTGACACTTTAATTAACTATCTATATTTTTATCTATCTATCATCTATGGAGTGGAGAAGATAATATTAATAAAAAGCACTATTGACTGCTGTAGACTCTGCCATATGGTTGATAACTGTTAAATGTCACTTTCTAGATAACTGGTAACCTGCTGCTGATGGTGTTCTATGGTGCTATTCTTGGTGTTGCAGCAAAATGTATCTCTGGTATGGATTTATGACAATTACCTTTCTAAAGCTGTTTTTATTTACACAGTCTGTGGTCAGTGTTTTATACCCAGTTCATGTTTTATACTCAGTCCATAGTTTCTAGTCTGCATTTTATACCTAGTCCGTGTTTTATAATGACCAATTATGAAAGAGGTCCACAAGCTACAGTACTACAGTGATCAGCTGTCATGAGTAGGATATAACCCCAGTAAACTGGAGTGCAGGAATGACTGCAGATGTGATGTGTATTTATACCCTAAGAGAAAGCAAAGGTATGAATTTAAGAAAAGATGGAGTTAGCAGGTTTTTTTTCTTAACAGATGGTGCTGAGCTCTTGCTAGATCTTGGATGTTCTCCTTCCTTGGTTGGTAAGTGTTGGAATATTAATTAAAGATGAGTAAACAATAAAGCAAACATGAAAATATATATGTATATGACTGTGTATATCATTGTCTACTTTGTTGCCTGCAGGTGGTATTGTGCTTCCGTTGCTGGGAGCAGTACCTGACTCTGCTATCATCATTGTTTCTGGACTTGGTGATGATGCTCAAACTAAGCTTTCAGTTGGAATGGGGTGAGTTGTTAAACAAGACTGATTTCTAATGATTATAGTTAACTTAAAGATTGTCTCCTTTCTGAACATTCCCATTGTATTTGCTCATTGCTCTTTTGCTCCCATGGTTACAACTGTTAGTTGTTTTTTGCCTTTGTGTCGTGAGTTTTTGCATGGGCACTATATATATTTCTAAAGCAGGAATGTTGCCAGGCTTGTTGGTCCCTTTGGCTATTGGCTTCTCATTTGAATAACCCTTGTGTGACAGGTGCCGTTAAAGTGGGGTTGTTGACCTCGGTGAAGTTGCTATGGTTACCTCTTCATGTCAGTCTGCTTACTTTGCTCACTGTTACTTGTGTTGTCATTGCAGGGCTCAAAATAATTTTTCAACAGTGGCTGGTGTGCTGTGCACTTGACCAGTCAAAACAACCCTCCAACTAAATGTTTGTCCTTTGACTGGTCGTTATTTTGAGCCCTGCATTACCTGCATCTAACCTTCATATACTGGCCTGTTGGATATTGATGGGTTAAATCTCTAGTATTGATTTTTCTGTGTTGACAAAGTTGCAAAACTAGACCATAAAAAAAATCAATTATTGTTTCTTTGATGGTGAAAGTAACTTCTTTAAATAATTCACTATTGTGTGTTGCAACAGCAAGGTTGAAAGTAAACTTGTGTATGGTCTTTTAAACAGTACACTGGCTGGAAGTACCATCATGTTGTTGACTGCTGCCTGGGCAGGCAGCTTGGTTATCGGCAAGTGTGACCTTAATGCCTATGGAGAGGCTATTGAGGGCAGTGGATATGGAAAGATAAGCTGCAATAAGCAGGTAAACCATTATCAATAAGAGATATTTATGATAACTGTTTACTCCTTTGGAGAATTAGGACAATGTAACCGATTGGCCAGTGCAGTTCATTTGAAGCTTGTCAAGCTACTGTTTTCTTGTCACTAACGAAGGTCAAAACGCTTTTGCTCCATCGTTGTGCTTTGCAAAAGTTTCACATGACAGATAGTCAAAACGTGCATGATCAGTTACGGGTGATGGAAAGTCCAATCACGCGAGATCAAACTGTGTTCCGGTCATTTCATTCATTCTTAGCAGAAGTCCAAACAAATGCTAGCAACATACATGTGGCGCATGCGTAATAACAACCTAGAGATCAGGATTGCGGGCTCCTCTTGTCGCATGCAATTAATTTTTTTTCCTTGGCAAAGCTTAATAAATAAGTAAATAAATACATGGACGCCATATATTTGTGGAACCACAGTTTGTTGTGATCGAGAAATTTATTTTGTTACCATGGCAGCATGACATGACTCTATTAAGAGCTAAAACTTACCAAAAAGCAGTTTGTAGGTTTTTTTTTTTCCAGAAAACAGCTTTCAAAATTTGAGCATGTGTGGGAGCTGGGGCTTAAAAAAGTGGCACAGCATTGTCAACTTTTTCCTTTTGCTAAGTGCTACTTGCACTGTTTTTTTTTCTTTCTTTCTTTTGCTGTGCATTTAATAGGCATCATTTTTGTTTGAAAAGTTTTAGGAAAGCTTTTAGGATCATAGGGTCAGATGGAAGGTCTGTGGGTGGGTATAGTGGAACCTTATTTTCATCATAATTTTCTAGGTCAACTTTACATTTTTTTTGCCTGTTTCTCTGGCGTCCTTGACTGAATCATTCTTCTTCTGTCTTCCCCTGCAAAAGTTAGAGCAGAAAGTTGTCCTTTATGGTTTTAACTATTGATGTTACAAGAAAGGGGCTCAGGTAAATCTGCATGTGAAGTTATGGGCCATTCAGGAACTAGTTAGAAATTATGTTTAGGGCAGCGTTTCTGTATAGCTTACTTTAAAACTTGGGTACTTATTATCTGAGTCTAACCCCAACTTTGGAGAACCGCAATACGACCTTAGTTCATGATAATTTGGCATGTTGTGTATTACAGGGTGTAACCGTTGTACCCAGTGTCCAGACAGCAGTTGGAATTATGTTGTTGACTTCCTTGTCCTATTTGTAAGTACCATATGCAAACCTTCAGACCTGTAGTATTGTGGTACCGGTAATTACGTTAATGACAGGTTTGTCAATGATAAAAATAGTTATTGAGTTCTAGCCTGGTTTCCACATAATCATCTGGTTCTTGAGGACACATAATGAGAAGACCTGGATGACTGCATGGAAACCAGTTTATATTTTTTATAAACTACAGTTTGTTCAGTCCAATGGGATTACCCCATGTCAGTCAGCTTGTCCTTCCTTCACTCATTTTCTACCGGTCACACAAACAGCAAATCTGACCACACAAATGAAAAAAAATTATATCTCCACTGTTATTTAAATAGCTGAGAAAGCTTTATCTCATTTGAAAGGGCATACAATAAACTTTCCAAAAAATATATTTTGCCCTCTGGAAGCCCATAATATTTCAGAGTGTTCATTAGCTAGGGATTGGAGATCGGAGAATTCTCCGTTAACTACACAGAATTCTCCGGCAAATGTTCGGTAGCCTACCCCTATTATTTATTCAGATGCGGAACCTCTTTCAAAATATTCTCCTGTAACATGTTACACCTTTCTCCCGCTACTAGAATTCTAAGAGAAAACCCTGAATACTTCACTGAAAAAATTTGCAGGATACATTTTCTCATAATTTATGCAGGCACTGAAATATAAAATGTGATTTTCCAATAATATTACTCGGATGGAGCTGAAAAATTAAGAGAAAAATTTTTCTTTAATTATCTGGGAAAACAGACCACCAATCTGTTAAAAATATTGAACAATGCAGAATTTGCTATAAATTTCTTTCTAGTTGTACCTCATTATGCAAATAAGGCTAAAACCCTATTTGCATACTTTGGCATCTGTGAGTGTTTACTCACAGAAAATGTCTGTTATCTTCATGTTTTGGTCCATAAATCAATTTAATGCACACAAGATGAATTCAAACTCTCTCTTATGAAAACAAGCAGGGCTTTGAGAGTAGAAACCCAAACTAAGAAGCATTTCATCGAATTTGCTGAACATGTGTAGCAGAATGAACTCACAGGGAACTAGAGCATGCTATGGTTATAAACCTTTTCTTACCTCGACTTTTGCATTTATTTACCAGTTTATGATCCAAAAAGCTTTTAAATTCATTGTGAAGTACATATTTGGTTGAAATTTGTCGACCAAAGTACCTTGATGGCCATTTAATATAAGCTACCACAAATTCTTTACTTTATCACCCTCCATTTTTTTCAGCTTTCAAAAGATCGTTGCATGAAGCATATCAATGGTTGGGGACTGAAACTAGCCCTGTGATTGGTTTGAACTATCTAATTCCTGTGGGCCAAATTTGGTGGCGATCGGAAGTAATGCTACTTTTTACATTTTTTTGTGATTTTCCGACAAATTCGTCAGATATTCATGACACCGGTAGAAAATGAGTTAATTGCTTCAGAGTTGTTTCCTTATAGTCTTCTCAAACCCCTGAACACATTTTGAGATGATGGTTGAGGTATATGTATGTAGTTCGATCCCCCAAAGTGTTTAGTTCACCAATACAACAACAACAAGTTTATTTTTCAGTATTACCATTTCAGGATCGAAGGACAATAATATAAATTTAAGGAAATACCGATATAATTGAATGGTATAAAAATTATGTTTCTTTCGTATTTCAAATGCTTGAAAAACGTAATTAGCAGTTAGCGTGCTAATGTGCGAGTCAGTATTGTTGAAAAGAAAACAGACATTATTATGGGTATTGTAATTTGTAAATAATGTATTTCATTTGTTGATTTTAATAAAAAGAGTCTAAATCAAATCATCGCGCGCTTTTTGTTTTCAACTGAATTTAGATTTCAGTGATCACAAATTCTAAGATCTTCAGGAGTTTTGGGAATTGTAAATCTTGCAGTTTTGATTTCTGAATATAGTTTCCAATACATTGTCACCTCCCTTAATCCCTTTTTTTTAAAGTGATTTAATCATTAAAAGATCATCATTTAAACATGTTAATTAATTAATTAAATTATCTGGCCAGCTTAGTGATGTCTTGATTTTGAACATCCATGTAATATTTTGTTTGTGATTCAAGCGAGAATGCCACATAGAATAGGCTTAAGGCCAGGTACATGCAGTGCGTATGTAGGTTGTAAAACAGTATTATGACCATGAAGGCTAGTCATTAGAGTTAATGGCTGTTAAATAATGATTTTGAAACATTTCTTTCTTGCTTATCTTGGTAAGTGATTTATTAAGTATATGGATGCTTGTAACTGCTTTTATAATGGCCCAGAATTGAGATTTTTGAAAAGTAGCTATTATAACTGCTTGTGTTTTTAAAGAAGCCTTTTTGTCAGCTATTATCCAGGCTTGCATCAAAGATAATTTATCAGTCTGTAAATTCAAGTGATTGATTAACACTTTGGCATTCACAGCATTGTGCAAGGTGCAGATTGGCATTTTGGGCCACACAACTTTGGAACTCAACCAGAGTATGTACGTAAAGCTGCTTTAGCCACCATGATAATTTGCTTCATTGGATTTGTTGCTTACTTGATATTTCTGGTGAGTATCTAACATCTTTTATAACCCTACTCGGTGCCAGTGGTTAGGTTACACAGCAAGTCTGTTTGAGCCAACAGGTCCATCATTAATCTAGAGCTTATCCCAGTTTCCGTAGCATGGAGCCAGTAGGAGTATCTCGCCCAGCGCTCCCCTCCAGGATGGGATGCTTACGTCTATCACAGGGTTACATCCAAACAGAAAACTCACCAGTATCCATTTATATATGTTGTAGTTAATATTTTATGTATGCATTTTTTGTTTCTCTTTTGTTTTGTGGTATGGTTATATATTGTATATTCTAATGAAGTTTGAACAAAGGGAAAAATAATAATTACCTAACATAAAAAATTAAGTGCAATATTGTATGTTGGTGGCTGTCGGCTTGACACGTAAAAGTAAAACAGCAAACCCATCATTTATTTACTAAACAGTTTTGTCTTAATTATATCAAAGTTCCATAGTTGCTTTGTTATAAAAAGGGCTTTATTGATTTATTGCTTTATTTATTTATTTATTTATTTATTATGCAAGCACTCTCTAAATTAATTATATTTTTTTGCAGTTTGTTGACAGTAAGTCAGCCCAGATGAGAGCTGATAAGCATCGCCAAGAAATGTAAGACTAAAAGTATAAAATTTTTTTTGGTTACATATTTTCTTGTCAGCATTAATTTCTAATCTATATTTTTGACTGTTATTGATGCATTTAGAGTAATATTTGCATTCAAAGACTTCATTTCCACTACATTAAATTTAAGTACGTGAGAATTTTTTCAAAAGGAATTTATTTTAAAAACTAATATATGCTGTTACTAGAGTTAAAATACTAGTTTAAATTACTTGTGATACTTCAGCCCTCTTAGTGACAATAAATATTAGTTATTTAGCTGTCTTTGGAAAATTTGATAGATTCAGTTATATGTGTAGTTGTGTGTGTTTTTTGAATTGGAGCCTTGATATGGCTTGTGACCCTTATTTCAGGGCCGTCATTAAAATTTCAAGTTGGCGGGTAAATGATACAAGTCAGGCGAGAAATCAATCAGCTAGGGATTTTGTTTTATTCTATCTTTCTTCTATTTTCCTACAAAAGTAGGTGGGGATCATGTTCATAAATTACAGCTGGGGAAAATCTCCTGCCCTCCACCCGTAATGACAGCCCTTTATCTGTTTGGTGAAAGTTTTGTCAATTTTTTAAAAATAATATGTTTTATGTTGGCAGGATGCAAAGGAAGGTGTTGCATCGCTTTGTGATGATGGCAAAAAGGACCATGCCATCAAGTATGGGTGATCAGCTTGACTCTGGTGAAGATAAAGCTGCCCAAGAAGGTCAGCAGTGCAGATCAGTGTTCTAAACTAGTCTTTGTACAGTTGGTAGATCAGCCTCAATATAACAAAGGGTCATTAGGGACGGGCAAAATTTGTTTGCTACAATGTATAACCAGGTTTTGTTATTTCAAGGTTCTTTTTCGTATATTTTACTCTTATATTACTGGGGCAGTACTGTCCAAGGACTTTGTTATATAGAGGGTCGTTATATTGAGGTTCCTCTGTTAATCTATGCTTGAGCTATTCTGTGGTTTTTGTTTCCTGTGTATCAGGTTGTAAAAACTTTCACCACTTTAGTCGTTCAATGACAGACTCAAGTCTCATATTATTTTTAGTTTGTAGTGCGTAAAGTGTCCATCTGATGAAAGATTAAATATCTTCGATAAATAAGTGACGTAACTACTCAACAGAACGTTCTTGGAAAATATTTTTGTTTAAAATAATTCTGCAAGTAGAAATGTGTTTTTTTTGCCTTGAAATGTTGGATGTTGTTAAGGACACTATAAAATGACATTTTTCCCTCAGCCCATGTCCAGAAGAAATATTTTAAAGCCTGGCGTCTGGGGGCAGCAATGGATAAGAAAGAGCCATCTGAAACTGATCCTATTGTACCCAAAGAGGTCCATGGTGACAAAGAGGTATAATTCACTTTTATGTTGTTCATCACAAAACACTTCACTTGTTGTTAACCTTTCCTGCAGTATCTTTTAATTAATTACTAATGTTTGTGCTTGCCAGTTGCTCATCTGCACAATGTATTTGTACTGTCTTGATTATAGCCTAAATTGCCAGTTAGCTAATTTGAATCTAATGAAGCTCAATAATTGTAATAAATTTGCCAGCTATGTGTAAAAGTTCAAGGAGAACTCTCACTGTTGGATAAAAATTTCTGCTTGCTAATGTTAACATCTCCATTGATCCATATAAAAAAAAACCTTGCAGAACTGACCACAGTATTTTGAGCATCCAATATCTGCACAAAAATATACTAGTCTTTTTTACTGTTGGGAGGTTAAAATGGAAATAATTTCTTTACAGCGACAACTTCACAGTGGTTGTAACAGGTTAAGTTTGTTCTTTTTTCTTTCTTACTTGTCATCTGACAGGAACTTATTGGTCGAGATTCTTTTAAAATAGAGGAGGTGAGTTTTTAGAGTGTGATATAAGTGATATGACTAACATCTAATGACGTTGAAAGAGGAAGTTTAAGCTGGATAAATATCCCAGTTATTTTGAAATATTGCCTTCAGCTGTTCAAGTTTTCATACTCAGCCTCATACTAAATTACACTTGGCATTGTGAGACTTGAATGTAATTTTAAACTTTAAAATTACATTCAGCCAATTCATCTTAGATTTTAATACTTTCTTACACCTCTTGACTGAATACCCTCACCTGCTCTGTTCAAGACCATGTGGACCTGCACACATTCCGGGACCAATCCATGGGTTCTGCTGTCCAATGGATGGTTAAAACCCTCAGCAGTTTCAGAAGAGAATTTTCCTATGGGAATGACATATAGTAAAACTCTAACAAAAAGAGGAAAATAAGATAAGCAGTGAGAATTGGCAGTCGTGTTCCTTTTTTTCCTCACATGTGCCCAAATTTGCTTTTTCCACTGACATGGTTGAAGCATAAACCCCTTTAAACGGGCTCTGGAAAGTAATTGCTCAGATGACCAACAAAGTCTACGATACTTTGATACATTGTGCCATATATATGGCTTTGATAGCTACAATCAGCAGTTTATCGTTTTTTCTGTAATCAGTAACAGGTATTCTAAGACTACTAAGTCTCTAGAACTGATGACCATTCTAAGATGTTTTTACACTCATTAGGTTTGATTTGTTGGTAATGGTGACTTGTGATGAACTGAACTAATGTAATACAATCGATGAATGAAAATAGTATTGGTAGTCATTATGATGAGCGTACTTAAAGTCAATTTGCTCTACATGACTAGCAGCCTGGTAATTATAGATTAATTGATAGGTTACAATACATCATCACTTTCCACATATTGTGTTAAAGGCTGCTCTTTATAATTTAATCTTTAATCAGTGGCTGACCAGCGAATAACGCTAAGGAGTTCTCCGTGCTGCAATCTTTCTTTTGATTACTTATGAAACTTTTCTGTGAACTATTTACTGAAACTTTTTCATTTACGGTTGTCGATGACGTCCCTTTGTACATATTAATTTGGCTACTTATTTTGGTACTCCCTCTAACTCGAACGAAAAGTCCCAATTCCTTAGGAGTTCACCCCACTTTTCGGTCATGATTTTTAACTCAGTGAAGTCGAACTAAATTTCCTTTTCCTTCATCAAAATTTCACTGACATTTAATACGATAACTGGAATTCAGATTCTTGTAACTCCACTCGGATGCCATCCCAGACTCTTTAGCTTTTCTTTTCTAAATCGGTAGAAAAAACTAAAACCAACACTACAGCAATCTGATTTTAATTGGTGCAACAAAAGATTGAAAAAAAAATCTAAATATTGTGTAAAAAGAAAGGTGTTTTTAGTTTCAATCGTAATTGTCTGGATTATGTTGATGATTCTGGCAAGTTGAACCAACTTTATTCTTATAATCCTCGAATGAACGTTGCATTCTTCTGATTGGGTGCGGCGTTTATTCGGGGTGGGCGTCTATTTGATCTCATTTAGCCAAATTTATGAAAAAGATCTATGTTTATTACGCAGAATGTACTGGTATGAAACTTTCCATTGCAGAATAATCTTAGCCACAGCACCGTTCAGGCACATGTCGTGTTGTTTTAAAAGAATCGTAACTTGTATACTGTCTTGTCCTTTTTTTTCTTGTGAAGTGGTTGGAAAAAGTCTCGCAAACGAAAAGCATGCAAGTTATTGGCTTTATGGCGTTGTATTAATGTTTGTTATTATTATTTACCGATCAGGAAGAAGAAGAGGAAGAGGAAAGCTTTACTCATATGGCCATCAAATGCGTTTCTCTTCTGGTTATAGGAGTTGGCTTGGTAAGTTGTGACTCACTTGTAATCATTAGCTATTGACGTATCTGACTTATCAAGTGATGAGCTTTTGTTTGGTCAATAGGTGTACCTAATCGCAGCTGCCTTTATGCCGCATATGTTGTAGATTCCTGAATTTCATTTTGGGCACGTATAGTATGCTGGTGTTTTGAGACTTATGTATTTGTTCAAAATGATTGTTTTGTGTTTTCGCAGGTGACAATTTTTGCTGATCCAATGTGTGATGTGTTGGATTCATTGACAAACTCAAAGAACAAGTCTTACATTCCAGTCTCGGGTAAGCTATTTATTTTCAGCTGGCCTTAGCGGAAAATTTGCTTTCAAAGACGATGTCAGTCACATAGAAAACAAAATTCAGGTCCAAACATTTATCAAGTTAGAACTCGTAGGATTCGAGAAGCACCAATCATGGAAACTACAGTCTACATTTGCTAGAGCCACAATATAATATTCAGGACAATTAAGTCCTTTTAAAACTCTCAGCCTTGGGTTTATTCTTAAAAAATTCTTAAAATTTCGAAATTTTCAGCCTCGATATTCTTATAGAAAAAGAGAGTGTATATTGCTTGCAAATATGGTAAGCGACAGTTAGTTATGAAGAATTAGCCGGGGAATTGGAGTCAATTAGAAACGGCGAAATATTTTGAATGAATAATAATTGTATTTATCTTTTACTGACTGTGGTATATTTTTCTTTAGCCTTTTACGTTTCATTTGTGGTAACCCCGCTCTGCTCTAATGCTTCTGAACTTGTGTCGTCACTGATCTTTGCTTCTAAGAAGAAGAAGGAGAATATCTCCATGACATTTGCTCAGGTAGGCTCTTAATTTAAGTCTCAGTATAAAACAAATATTGCTAGATTGTTTTTTCATGTTTATTTGTTTGCTTGTCTCAACTTCTTTTGGCACCCTTAAGACCGCCGGTTACCAGTTAATTTTTGTTCTAAAAACCGTCAATTACCATGAGTTATTTTTATCCTTTTAGTTGGCAAGTATCTCTGTACACTTGTGTGGGATTTGGTCTTTATAAGAAATAAATGGTTTTGAAACCAGTATGACACTGTGTAATAAAAGTTTTCACACGCTTTAACACGGGATGTGTGTGGATTACGTAAGCAATTAAACCCGGCTCTTTTAACACGCTACATAAAAGGCCTTTGTCTTTAAGTTTAACCTCTCGGATTTTGGGGCTGCTTGTCAAAAAATGTGAGGGATTTGTATAATCTTTGGTTGATGATTAAGCTGGAAAATATTCTAAATTCTTTCAGCTTTATGGAGCTGGTACAATGAATAACACTCTTTGTCTTGGAATCTTTGCTGCCCTTGTTTACTTTAGAGATTTAAAATGGTACTATTCAGCAGGTGAGTAATATTCTGCTGATCAATCGTATGTGCATGACGCAACTTAAATATGCAGAGATCCTTACCTCATTACATTGAAAATCTGGAGCCAGTTGCCTCTTTGGCATGCGCAGTACCCACCAACCGATCAACCATGCTCCCCTGCGTGGGACCAATGGTTGCATGTGGCGGTTCAGGGCCTAATTGATCAGGAATGACAGGCTCTCAAAAATCGCTTTTTTGATGAAATAGTATTGTCAACGATGAAAAATGGCACAAATACTTCGGAGTCCTTATTGTGATCGAAAACCATTTTGAATTTGGAGAGGAAATAGACTAAATTCCAAACTAAAACACAGAAATGGCGGCTCCTACTTCAGTTTCAACCGGGAGATGTGGTGACCCGATTTGTGCCGTATCCGGGAGAGTTTGCAAATATGAACATGTAGCAATTAACAAGGAAAATAGCACTGAGTCTATTTGTGACGAATTTTATGAGAAAAATGAAGAAACAGAACAGCGGAAGAGATACGAATCCACGTCCTGTCTCCGCCCAACTCTTTAAAAAAAGATTTGCAAACAATTTTTTTTCCTTTCTTGTTTCTAGAGGTGACAGTGATTATCTTTGTACAATGGATTGTGGGAATTACTGGCTTCCGAATGACTTACAAGGTAAGTGTTTTCTTTCACATGAAAATGTTTGTACAATCATCAAAGATTTGAATGTTATATCAGAAAAGACCTTTAACTTTGAGAGCATCCTTAAGAGACATTCGCTGGTACGAGTAAAAAAACTTTGTCTAGATAAAAGCTTAAAAAGTAAGAGAAAATCACCTTGCAGCATGCAGCTAACATTTGTTATTTTGCCGGCATTTTTATAGCTGTGGATGGCTATTCTGGTTGGTTCTCTGTATGTGGTGTCAATTGGCTTGGTCGCGCTTCTTGAAAGCAGTGCTATTGGCTGGAAGTAACTGTGCCCGGTCGTCTGAAGTTAACCTGCAGGAACACCAAAAATGTTCTTTGTTTACAAACCTCTGCCCTGTATTGTGAATAGACACAGATTTCTTCTGTGTTTAGCTTGTACCGGTTATTTATACTTATCTTTAGTAAGAGAAAGTAAGACAGTTCAATTGAAGAAAACAGTGTTCTGCACAACTGTATTTGTATTATCAATTCTAACATTGGGAGGAAATGAACTGCTCTAGACGTATTTTGCAAATATTTTTGGCTAAGAAACTACCCGTTATAAGGTTGTGGTGAGAAAACCTCGACTTAGCTTGTATACAGGCGTCGATGTATAGTATTCATAATATTCTCAAGTCAGATACGTCAACAAAGCATGATATTACTATTGATGTCTCGTGGTCAGTAACCATAAAATTGTTTGCACGTACACGTATAGAATGAATCAATGCATGAAAGTGCTTCGTTAAATTAACGTAGCCTTCAATGAGCAGGAATTACATTGTTAACTATGGCGTAAACAGGACAGTCTTGTCAGAGTTCTATTTTGTCAATATTTTGTGTGAATGAATAGCGTCATAAACAAGGATAAAATGTGGTATTAGTTAAAAATTAAACTTTGGAGTTTGCTGTTTCATTAACGAGGAAATAAACAAGGATTCACTTGTTTAGCTTTCGAGTTGTTTGCTGTAGCGTCTACTCCGCCGATGGTTGTTAGCCAACTGCCTAATGGTTTATTATTCATTTTCCCTTGCTCATTCTTCATAACCAGCTAGCGTTGACCGAATGGGAAAGACTTATGCGATATACAGTAAAATGATGATATCGATAGAAAAGGCACGGCAACCGAGAAGCCCTGGGAACGAGGTTGCGTTAGCTCAGCTGCTTTGGTGGAGCTGGAGAAAATGGCGGAAAATATCACACCTTTAGAGACGACGAAATACCCAAACTACTGCCTAAAAACATAGCAAGAGCAGCCAAAATATAACTCGACGAATGACGAATATAAACTAGACTTGAAAGTCCTGAATTGTCGAGAACAGGCAAATGACCATCGAGGAAAGCATGGCTCAGCTTGTTTTCAAAGTATGATGTGGCGATATCTCAGGGGAGATGTTATCACGGCAAATAACACCCTCCGCCCCTCCCCCCACCCCCCACCCCAATCTGCATAGTGCAGTCAGTCATATGTATACCGAGTTAATAACTATATGATAAAAGTTTAGAGTCGTCACTTTTGGAAATCTAGAATACAAAAAGAGTTTTATCTAGAACTAATGTTCACTTGACAAACGTGGACAGTCTCGTATTTTTCTTTTGAGTCACAGTTGATCGAGAGCACGCGTGGGGGACGAGGAACGAGGGCGGAAGCCCCAATCTCTCCTCCTTTAACACCATTAATTTGCATAATCTTACATTTTCCCTTGCCGCGCGTAAAGGTAAAGCCAACCAACGAAAGTCATGCGACGAAAATATTTTCGCAACCTCGCGATTTTAAGAAATTTAATGTTCATTCTTGTGACCTTTCTATCTTTGTTCTTTCGAATCTATCTTCAAGTTCAAATCAGTCTTCGCTAACTCTGTCTTTATTAATGTAAGTATGTGCTGCTTGGGGGATTTGCACTTTTTTTTCTTGTCTTTTCCCCACCCCCGAGCACACAGAGGAATATTAAGTTAATTGCACAAAGTTTTCTAGATGTATGTTTTAAAAACATGAACACAACGTTTTAAAAACAAGAGTGAAGAAAAACCTCGTCAGACTTCCTCGAAAGAGGGAAGCTGGCAACAAGGGGACGGAAAAGTAATAGTACATAACGAGTTGTCTGATATCTATGTTTGATGCATGTACTACGCTACTCAGACTATGCGAAGAACCGACAAAATGAAACTATATTGCGTCGCAACTTAGAAATTGCGTACAATAAAAGGCAGCGTACGATAGAAGGCAGCCCATAGGGAGGGGGGAGCGACAGATGCGCCCGCAAAGGCCCCAGAGGTCCTGTTTGGCTAACACCTCGCTTATTTCTTCATTTTGTTCTTAAGGGGTAAAGTCTTTTTGGGAGATCCGTATTGTGGATTGAGCAATGTTTTCTTGCCACGTTTTTTTCACTGGGAGGTCATGTTGTCTTTTACTGTACAGTGGCTTTCTTAGACTGCAAAGCAATCGGTTTTTCCCTCAAAATCAGTAAATAAATCGGTAACGCGTGGCGTAAGAGTCTTATGCGCGCGAACCGCGCGAGCCCCAGTCTCGCTCTCTGTTTTCAGCCTCGTTCTACACCTTTTGTTTGACTGCTCGCGGGTACTTGAATACGCAAAAATGCGGACTGTTTTGCAGTCTATGGCTTTCTGTGGTTTCTTATTTTTGCTCTGTCAGGAATTGACCTGTGATTGCTAGCTGGAGGTGTTAGTATTTTCAAAAGTTGCTTAATAATCTTTAGAGTTTGTTTCCATAGTTTCCTTCAAAGTGTTCAATCTGAAGTATCATTTTAACAGTGAGTAAGAGGTTCCCTGGTTAGTTTTTACATGCTGGACCCAGATCTTTAGCAAATTTAACAAATTGCACTGCCACTCGGTCAACAGTGTTGCTTGCATCAGACCCCTCCAAGCCCTTTGGTGTATACTTGATAATGCAAATCTTAGTACTGGCGGCTATAATGTTATTTTTTTCTCTAAGGATGTATTTCTCGTGATATTTGCCTGCGAGAACTGAATGTAATTAAACCGAACCGTTTTTTGTTATTATGTACAAAATAAAGGGTTTTAGAGAGAAAGTTGTGTGTGTAATAGTTTCGACATTTCTCATTTTCATGTTTACTAATCAGTTGTTACTCGCGAATGTGTTTTCTTAGCTGTACTATCTAACTCGTGCCAAAAAACAATGGCGGACTTCCTTTATAAATCGTCAAAACCATGACTAATCGATAATATCGATGTGACACAGCAAATCAGTTTATCGATTTTCACCGATTTCCGTTATCAATCGATAAATATCACTTGATTGCTAGCGATTTTTATCGATTGACTATTCCGGAACCTTATCAATCACTTTTTTGTATTATAGTTTACGTTATTTTTCTCATTTTCAGTTTATCATAACCCATTAGGACCCGTTATAGTATTTTCTTTTAGTGTAGTTGTGGCCCCTAAGGAAGGTTAATTTTGTTAGCCGAAATATTGGCCTCAAATTAATCAGCCTTTTGCCGTATTGCCAGCCTTGCCTTCAGTTTTTTTAATTCCCACTTCAAGTAGCTTTCAAGTAACGTCTGGCTCTAACATCTCTACATAAGAGATCCGGCAAGATTGAACCAGTCGGTCTTATTTACACTTTGATAGGACCTCTGACTGCCATATATGGGCTATATAGGTATGTGCCACTGTGAAGGGTTTTCAAGCAATTTACTCTAGGATAGGGTATATAAATCAGAGCGTTTGAGTGTTGAATAGGGTATCATTTTTCAGGAAACTGATCAGTTAGTTGAAGATTTTATCTAGACTAGGGATTGTGGTATAAGGTTTTGTTTTGGCTAGACTACTGTGCGAGTGACCTCAGTAGTTTCTGGAAAACAGTTACTCTAGGATAGGGGGGATTTGGGGAGTTTACTCTAGTATAGGGTAGCAAAATTCAGCTGAACTAGCTCTGGTATAGGTTAAGGGTTCCGGGGTCCCAGCGGCATATCCCCACCCAGAAATTCCTAAAGTACCCCTCCCCTCCTTGGGGCTACATGTGCTAGTATGATTTAAATATAATTTCTGGAAGACTAAGAGTACATATCAAGCAACCTATATGTCCTGTCGTTAGGTTTCAAAGGCCGGAATGAGATTACTGAGTATTTACTTCTAAAGATCCTAGCTCCCATCTTTTTACCAAAGACAATCGGCCAATTGCTAAGGGGTTTAAAGATTCTATTTTACTTATTGGTCATACAGATCCTTCTTTTATAACGAGGGTTTATTTTTCACATATACTTACGGCAAGCAAATCTTATCTAGCTCAAGTTCCGTTCCATGCCGTGATGATAAAATTGGGAAACCATAACACACGCCAACTACAAGAAACTATTGTTAGATTCCTGTAGAGACCCAATATGGATGTAAAACTCAGTCGAACCCCTCTTAATACGGACACCCCGTTAATACAGACACTTTCTAAGGTCCCTCCAGTGTCCCTATCAACGAGGGTTGACTCTGTTTTAAAACGTGGTGCGGATTTTCTTTTCCAGGTAAGTACTACCACAACTGTTACCTCCCACTGAAAGTTCCATCTCATGCCGGCCATGATGGTGAAAACTGACGAAAACACTAACAATGCCAACTATAGACGCGTCTTTTGCTCCGTACTTCTGACGCCTACGGAATCACTCAAACCACCATATTCCAGTTATTTGAGTCATCCAAGTACCACTGCACCGATCTCTTGTTCAAGGATTCAACAAAGAAACTTGTTGATGTTTAGGGAAAAGACACCTACCAGAAATATCTTGGTGACGACTATCTGAAGGACCTGGAGGCCTTAGATGCTTTGTCCACCTACCGACCCATCTGCAGGAGGCAACATTAACAAACTACTATCATTGGTTGTCATGGTCTCCTTCATTGTACTTTGTTACACAGGAACGTTGTTTGAATCAAAAGCAATGAAGCAGTCAGGCTTAAGCGTCCCAGCAACTGAAAAAGCGCCCTTTGTTTCTGCCTCAACTAAACATTCAACTGTTTGGCAGTGCAGCTTCGTCAGTTGTTGCCAGAACTAGCGCCTGTACAGTAAAGTGGAAACCCGTCTTAGATCAACCCGTTCACACGACCTTCTTTTTATTATGACTAAAATTCTTTTGATTAATCACAAAATCACTCAGTCAACTTCTTATGTGAAGACCAAGTTAATAAGGCCACTTCTTTTTTGGTCCTTTGCGGTTGGTCAGTCACGTGGTTAAAAAAACGCAATGCTGAGACGAGAAAAACCCACTGGGAAGAGAGCAACGAAAATGATGTGAGCTGTTTGCTTGTTTGTTTGTCTTGTGCCAGCATGGTGTTTATGTACCACGTGACTAACCAGCTGCAAAGAACCTATTACAGCTAGTTTTTCATGAACCTTGAGCGGTCTCATTTGCGAGGTTTCACACTATTTTTCTAGAAAACGTTGAGTGAATGAGAGATCCTTTTCACTACACGTGAAAAGACACTTTTTTGAGGTTAAGCCTCAAACTGTGTTCCATATAATAATTATGTATATCTCTAACAGAACAATCCAAAAGGCTACTCGAGTTACGTGGTATCACTTCAAAACGTTCATGTCATCAACAGACTTCAACCTTGAGTGCCAATCACCAAGTAGGGAGAAGATAATGTGTCCTAATGAAGTTAACCTGAGGTGCAAATGGAAATTTTTCCCGAGGTAGATTTTTTATGCAACGATTTAAAAATAAAAAATGCAAAGAATATATATATTTTTTATTTTACAAGTATATTTTACCAATCAAAATGAAAAAAAATCGTTTTAAAAATCCACGTTTTACGAAATCTTGTTTTACAACACACATTTTTTACAATTCCAATTCACTCTATTGTCCAGTCCACTCCAATCCACTCCTGTGAATCAGCCCCACGATACCCCAAGAAAATTACTTTGCGTGATAACACAAAAAACGGCTGCATAGGAGACTAAAATCCAGCCGGGTGCTCATGTTTTACTACATACCACTCG